GCAATAATTTCTGAATTTACAGTAACTCCTTTGTCGCGCGTTGTGTACTGATTGATAACTCAGTCTGGGAGAACAAGATTTATTTCAGTACCAGTTGTAACTAGGTTTGAGCAAACTTCCAGTAATTGCAAATACTCTTACGTCGGTGCTTTGTGTCTATTGTCTTAATGTTAGTTTTTTTTGTGTGTCTCGTACCAATCTTTTGAGTTAATTTGCTGATTTGTGCAGGTTGTTATTTTATTGTACTGTTACACCATTGTCCCAGCTTCGGGATGGGTTGCTCACAAACATGTTGTTGTACTGTTACACCGCTGTCCCAGATTAGGGGGAGGATTGGGATCCCGCTAACATGTTTAACCCGCCACATTCTGTATGTATGTGCTTGTCCCAAGTCAGGAGCCTGTAATTCAGTGGTTGCCGTTTGTTGCTTTGTTATACATATTTGTGTTTCGTTCATTTTTTTGTACATTAATTCGGCCGTTAGTTTTCTCGATTTTTTTTATATTTTTGATTTCGGGGCCTTTTATAGCTGACTATGCGGTGTAGGCTTTGCTTATTGTCAAAGGCCGTACGGTGACTTATAGCTGTGGATTTCTGTGTCATTTGATCTCTTGTGGAGAGTTGTCTCATTTGCAATCATACCACATCTTCGTTTTTATATCCACCCTGCCATATTTTTTATTTGCCTGTCCCAGGGATGGAGCCTGTAGTTTAGTGGTTGTCGTTGGTTCATGTCTCGACTCATATTTGATATTTTGTGAATTGTTTTGTTATGTATAATTAGGCTGTTAACAATAAATAATAAATTTTTCTTATCTTATCTTATCTTATCTTATCTATAATTGCTTACATCCACTTCATATTTGAACTCCGGTGGATAGTTGCCTTATTAGCAATCATATTCCATCTCTTCATTTTTATATTATATACGTGACTTCTACACTCGTGTTTTCCTGAACAAGCATGAAATAATTTTCACTGGGCGTTAAAATTAGCAACAAACAATCAATCAATTTGAACTTATGTTAAATAAGAGGAAAACCATTTGATATTTATTTATTTGTTGGGGTGGGGGACAGAAGGATTTCATATATGAATATGGTTGCCTGGTAAGAGCTGAAAAATAGGCATGATTAGTGACAGATTGAAATGAATAATAATGCCCTCTCTTCCCTTCCCCATCCTTCATCTATAAATTTAAACTGACCACCACAGAATAGCCCAATAGTGTTGAAAGTAGCGTTAAACACCAATCAATCAAAATCCCTTCCCTAGTATTGAAAAGTAAATCATTTAAAAGTCATGAAGATAAAATATGTTTTGAAACATGCCCTGCATACTTATTTATGCAAAGACATATAGTAATTATTGAACTACTGTGGGGCTTGAAAAAAATCTATTTAAGGGATTCGGAGACGAGAACAGTTAAAAAAAGCTCTGCAACGAATCCTAAATGTAAAATGATTTGCAGCATAAGACATGAGAGCACATATTATAGATAGTATTAAATATGAAGTTCACGCCTCATATAGTGAAGTCCTATTTCATAGGACTATTGTTGTAACATGGGTTAGTAACTGGTTCCAATTTATCCTGAATTGTCTTTATTAAAGAATTAGTTCCGGAGTATAACAGCTTATGTCTCTACTTGTGGGTTTCTGGTTCTGCTGTCGTAATTAGGTGATTTTTTTTCTACATGTAGTAAAAAAGAGGGGGCTAAGTCCAAATAATTGTAACGTCCTGGATGCTTTTTATTCTTTTTTCATGTGTGCCTTCCTGCAACGTCTCTGATGATCAAGAAAAGTAAAAAAATGATATAGCACTAAAGAACGTCATGATTACATGTATCTGGACTTAGAAGGGGGAGGGGGGCTAGCTATGTATTTTTTTTTTTATTTCAATGTGTAGACTAGGAGAGTTATTTCAGAAAAGGTTTTCATTGGAGGTGTTTTTGCCATGCACGCAGGCATCTGTTTCTATCCATGAACAAGTTGTGTGTCAAATTAATTATTATTACTTGTCACTCGCATTTTTTGCTCGTCCTGGCCATTATTGGCATTAACAGCCAGTGCACGAACTCGCACGAAAGCCAAATTTAGTTCGAGGGGCGATATTCTGACACGTTTTTTAATTCTTGGTCACTCAAGTTTAGAAAGAAAGGGGAGAAATCCAAACAATTACCGACCAATCACAAACGTTGTTGCAAATTTGACCTTATGACGTCAAAGAATTTCCCATAATGCAATTATTGCATATAAATAAAAAAGCTACTATACCAATTGAATAAAAAATATTGCATTCAAATGACATTTTATACCAATTGAATAAAAAATATTGCACTTGAACGAAAATTATACCATTTGAATGAAAAATGATACCATTTGAATGAAAAATTACACCATCTGAATGAAAAATTATACCATCTGAATAAAAAATCTTGCATTTAAATGAAAAAATATACCATTCAAATAAAAAAATATTGCATTTAAATGAAGAAATATACCAATTAAATAAGAAATATTGCATTTAAATGAAAAATATCAAATTTTTGAAACCAATACCATGCCATAAAGGGATACAAACAGCTTGGCTATTTTTTATCATTTCATTAGAGAACATACTAAATCCACTTGATTTAGAATTCTTAAGACCTTTTATTGCCTTTTCTATTTCCTCAGGTGTTATCAAGTAGTCAAGTTCATTAAAAAAAATATTATTATGAAATGATTCAAGTTTCTTCTTAATCAAATCATCACTGTATTGTTCATTTGTATTCAATTTTTAAAAGCATTCTTGCCATTCAGATGGTTTGATATTATTCTCAAGAGTTGTTTTGACTATTATTTGAGATATTTTTAATTTTATCTAGTAGTTGCCAATAGGCTTCGGGATTTTGATCATATAAATTATCAAGTTTATTCATGATGTCTTGTTTGGATTTCTTATTTTTGCTCGTCTTTGCTTTTGATACAATTTCAGGCATTTGAAAAAGGACCTTTGTATACAAGTATAAGGATCTGTGTTGTGATTTTGCATTAATCTGTATTTTCAATATAAGTTTTGTTTTAAATTAATTATATCTTGATCTTGCCATTCTCTTTTCTTTTTAATTTTCTTCTTCTTGCTTTCCTTTGGTTTTCTAATAATTTTCTTAAGTGATATATCTGCAGCTTTTAGGAAAATCTTATTTAAATCTTCTGCTGCATTATTAATTGAATATTGGTTGTAAATTTTACCTTTATACTCTCTAATAAAATTTTTGATTTCATTTGAATTTATAGCATCTTGAAACACTGAGACTGAGTTATCATCCCATATATATTTATCTGGCAATAAAGCTAGATTTGAGTTTCTTTCATATACTTTTGTGTTGCATTTTAACATGCATGAGATCTGACAATGATCTGAAAAATCAGGTAAAAATTTAGGAGTGTGAAAATATGTGAAATGTGGTACGAGTTCTTCAGATGCTAAAAAATAATCGACAACACTGCTTCCTAGAAGCAAGTGTATGCACCCATTAAATCACCCATTGTTCTGCCATTAAGGATATGCAATGATGAAGATATACATAGAGATAGGAGTTGTCTGCCCCTAGTGTTAATAGAGCTATCTTGACTTTTTCTTTGAATTATTAAAACTAGAATCACATTTGTAATTGTCAAATAATGGTATCTGTTTGTCTGAATCCATTTGGATATGATCAATTTCACCAGCATTTCTTGCATTTAAATCCCCTGCTATCATGATTTTTACTGATTGGGAATATTTTACTATATCATTTTCAATCATTTCAAGAATATTTTAATCCAATTTTCTATAATAGGATGAATTTTCAGGTGGATTGTATACAAAACAAATATGTAAATCTTCCTGAAACCCAAAGAATGTTTTGTCTAACTTTAACCATATAAAAGCATGTGTGGCATGTTCTAAAAATTTAACACCCTGTCTGATTGTATTAATTATATACACTGATAAGCCACCATGTCTTTTACCACTAGGTTTGGTTCTAGATCTTATAAGATGAACCAGTCTTTGAAAATTTGGAAGTTCTAAACAATTATCCAGATCACAGTGGGTTTTATTTCAAGCAAAAAGTGTCTTGCTGTAAAAGATTGTCAATAAAAATATCATCTTCAAAGGAGTAGGCCCGGTTAGACCCCTTTTTGGCCCCAAAATATAGCATTTCAAAAATTTGTTAAAGATGTAAACTGTAAACTATTTATTGGAAAGAAGAATACTTATGTTACATAAATATGGACTGTTTTTGACAATACAATGCACATGCATCAGGTACTAGCATCATTAATTAATGCAAAATTACTGAAATATTCACAATTTCAGCATTTGTGCTTATTTTTAGGCGGTTTTTGTCTAAAATGGAAGTGGCCGCACTTGTGTTCAGTCTTAATATTTGAATATGTGTTGTATTTGATGATGATACATAACATATACAAAGGTTGAGACTGAACACGATTGAGGCCACTTCCATTTTAGACAAAAACCATCTGAAAAGTGACGTTTTGTGGCATATTTGATAGATTTTTCATATTTAAGCTTAAATTAAGGCATCTTTAATGGCAAAATCAGTTCAAATCTTTTACATAAACTGATTGAATGGACTGAAGAAGACACTTAAGTGTTTAAAAAATGTCAAAAATCTTTTATCAAAGGTACTTCAAATTGTAGGCCAAAATAATCCCTTACCGGACCTTCTCCTTTGTTAAATCCCTTACTGATACAATCATTGATATTCCATGTTGAAATTTTCAAGTTTTTTTTTTGTATAAATCATATCTGCTTACAATGATCAATAAAATAAGCATACACTGGAACCAGTAAATATAATTCATAAAAATGTGAGTTGCAGATAACATGTTTAAATAGCAAATATTATTTTGCCAGAATAAAAGTTCATAAAAATTAAAAAAAAAATTATTTTGATATCTCAAAAGTTACAAGAAAGGAACTTATTTCAAAGGATTTTTCTATTCCAGGCTGGACTACCGTTCAACAGATGTTTGTACTTCAAATATTCCTGAGTCTGCTGCAAAACTTGTCATTCCTGGTACAAGAGGACTTCAACATGAAATGAAGGCAGAGACAGAAAGTATGTTAGTCATGGCAGGGTCATTTTCATCAGAGAAAAGCAGCGAAGACACATCCAATAGAAACTTTACAAAAAATGATGAAAACAACAAAGCATCTGATGCAGATGGAGCAATTGTAATTAATTTTCCAGAAAATGACCAGCAATCCCTTTCTTCAACTGAGACTTCAAGCATTGTAGAGGAAAGTATAACTGGAGAGCAATCACACTCAAAAACGGATTTTATCAAACAAGAAGAAAATAAAAAAACAACTGAACCAGGAAGTGAAAAGTCCATAGAACTAGACGATTCTAGTTCTCCTAATGAAGATTTACAAGCGACAACAGGAAACAATATAGACCCAGCTAACTCTGCCCTTGAACCATCAAGAGAAGACAATGGATCAGAGCCAGAAAGAGATACCTCAACTAGCTCACCAGAAATTCTACAACCATCAGAGGAAGAAAACTCTAATGGATCAGAATCATCTGTTAATGAAGACCAATATGACTTAGTATCAGATGATTTGAGTAAATTTGGTGGTGCTTCAGAAGAAAATGAAAATGCTACTGGTTAAAGAGAGGTGTTATTCATGTGAATGCATTTTGTAAAGTTTGCATTTGCATTGAACAGAAGTCAATATTTATGATATTTAAAAATGATGAAATGTTGTTATATCATATTTTCACCCTCATTTTAATAGCCATAATTTGGAATAGCATTGTTAGTCTTTCTGTCATCTTTTTATGCCCCAACTACGATAGTTGAGGGGCATTATGTTTTTCGGTCTGTCCGTCTGTCCCGCTTCAGGTTAGAGTTTTTGGTCAAGGTAGTTTTTGATGAAGTTGAAGTCTAATCAACTTGAAACTTAGTACACATGTTCCCTATGATATGATCTTTCTAATTTTAATGCCAAATTAGAGTTTTGACCCCGATTTCACGGTCCACTGAACATAGAAAATGATAGCGAGAGTGGGGCATCCTTGTACTATGGACACATTTTTGTTTTATTTATGTCACATGAGGCTACTCAACCCTAATTTATAGAAATTACCAAACATTGTCTTTTTCATTTTGTAATTTTTCTAAGTTTGATTATATGACATGAAGAAGATCTACTAACTTTGATTATTTGATATGAAGAAGATCTAAGTTTGATTATTTGACATGAAGAAGATGAAATGATATATGACGATGTATAATAATAAACTGAGTTTATCTTCATTTTGAATTATTTTACACTTTAAAAGGAACAGCAATGGTCAGTCTTGTTACTATTTGCTAATTGTGTTATATTTTGAATCAAGTATTGGACTTCAATTTTGAATCAAGTATTGGACTTCAATTTTGAATCAAGTACTGGACTTCAATTTTGAAAAACATTGATAAACCACTAATCAAATGATAGTTGCCATTTCATTATTCATAAATTTAGATGGTTGTTGTTAGTTGTACATAGAAAAACACATATATTTTGTTGAAATATATTTTGAAAAAAATGTCTCATTGTTCAAAAGTTTTAATGTATTAAAAATTAGTTTGAAAATTGTGTATTAATGTGTTATTGACTATCAGTTTAAAAAGTAGAAAATAGTATCCCAAGAAATGGTATCTGATGTATGTAAGAGTTGGTTTTAATTCCCACATCTATACATATACAATGTACTTGAGGTATGATATATCCTGTTTAATTCTAATCCATATTCGAAGAATGTAACTTTGCCATGATATAGATAGACAGTACGTTGAGATATATATATATATCAACCTATCAGTCAGGAAATTGTTTGTTATGTTTTGTTATATGGATTGCTGTAAAACAGCAAATTTTTAAAGTTTTATTATTGCAAAAATTGTGATGGGACTAGTATCACATTAATAAAAAGTCACAATTTATATCTTGATAACATTATTTGTATACAGCATTTACTGAAGTCGCATTTAGACACAAGCTTTTTTCCTGAAATGGACATGCTGCTCTTTAAAACCAAAGGCTTAGCTTTTTACCAAGCCAAGCACCTATTTTTCTTTGAACATGCCAATATTCAAAACTTTGAATTTCTGTATGTAAATGATCTTTTTTAAGACTGAATAAGTTTTTTTTCAGTTAAACACAAGAAAATGCACAATTTTAATCCTGTGAACACTAGAAAATTGAAAATAAGTATGTTTCTTACAAGCTACCAAATTATTTTTTAAATGCAAACTTTACAGCACCGTAATTTTAAAATGAAACTTTATCTTTCAAGAAAGAAGACTATTTACTTACATAATTCTGTGTGTTTCTCAAAAATATGTGTGTCACTTTTTTTGTATTATTCTGATGTAAAATATCAATAAAATTAAAACGCTGAAGAAAGTTTTTCATGGTATTCTACCTACATTTTGGACAAAGGGAGATAAACCAATTCAAATTATAGCCTAAATATGATTTTTGCATAATACAATGCAATGTTCAATTTTTTAAGTTCACAATGCACAATGAAAGCAATCTTTACCTCCTCAGTGTCAAAGTACTTTGATTATTGTCTCCTGTTGACTATTTATCAGCCCAAAATGGCTAATCAATACTTAATAAGTTTAAACATGTACTTCAGGAAAATGGAAATACTCAAGTTTTCAATTCAACCATTGCATATTTAAAAAAAAGTTTATTGATTTTAATAGTTACTATTAATATTTCCTTTTTTTTTTTTTTGTCTGGCCTGCAAATTTTGTTTTCCAAAATGAGATAATAAATACTTTTGGATGATAATTGAGGTATCAGTAAGATTAACATGTTTCTATTTCATAGACATTACGTTAGATCACCATTTTTCTTGAACAAGCTATATTTTTTAAATATATAATACAAAAAACCTTTTGCACCGAATTTTTTCACCATGCGTATATGTTGTCTTTTGATGAATGAGCATCTCCAAAATATTTGTTCTAAATTTTGATGATAATTGATTTAGCGAGTTCCTCAGTTTAAACTGCCCATGATAAATTAATTACATGTATGTATCGGTAGTCTATATTATGTATCATTTATCATTTGGTGATCCATAGTATGGTTCATGTATGATTTTAGCAATGAATGTCCTACTTTTTTTCATAAATTTCACCCATTTTCAGGCTCAGGGTAAAATATCAACAAAAATATTGCAAATGTTAACAAGCCATCAGCTTCCATAAATTATTTTGATAAACGGACATTATGTAGAAGTTGTATAAAGTAATAGTTCATCTCTGTACCATGTTGACAGTCATATACACATTTCATTGGCTTAGAAATTCTTAAAAAGATGCTACACATAACGAGTTCCAGACAAATGACTGCCATTAATGTTTTACTGCAATAATTGTAAATTTATATGTAACTAAATGAGAATATGAGAATGAATGAATAATTACTTTTATTCCAAGATGCCAGTAAAGAAAGATTTGTAATAATCCAGTAATCCAGTAATGGCAGAAATATATCGAATTTCTTGTAAAATTACAAAAGCACTAGGTGCATAATTTAGTTTTAAAATCCAACTGACTGGATTAGCCTCAAAATTTATCAGAGTATACAATAAGCTTACGTAACGTTTAGCAATGATCAATCAATCAATCACAATAAGGTACCAGTTCAGATATTTATGAGATAGCTGTCTACCTTTCATTAATAATCAGTGATAGAAAGTTGTACAGTAAATATATATCTATGGAAGGGCAACTATGAAAATGTTAATTTATGGAAAAGTCATATAGACATATCTAAAGTGTTTAAAAAGCCAATTTCTTTAAAAGTCTAATTTCAAAGAATGAACTTTAAATTAACCTCACTAGACACACTAAACAAATCAAGAGAGTTTGCCTTCACATTTTAAATGTTGATGGTTGATTAAAAATAAAAAATTGTTTATAAAATAAAAGTGAAATTTTCTGTTACCATACTGGGTTGTTTTAAAAAATGCATGTGATGAGATTAAAGTAAATTATCATTTACAGTAACTGTGATTCATAAATTGTACATTGTCTATAATATTGTCATTATATATTAATTGCACTAATTAATAAAATTTGGTCAGTTGATAGTTGATTATTTAATAAACAGAGGTTTAAGCAAGATTTGTATAGTTATAATTTATTAGGTTTTAATGATTGATTCTTAATGTCCAGTTGCAGATACTTATGGTTTTTGTCTCGCCTTGACTGAGTCAAAAAGCGATACATAGGTATGCTGTTTCCGGCGGCGGCGTCAACAATGTATTAGTTTGTGATTAGGTCTAGTTCATGGTGAACCACAAGTGGTAGGTCAATGATATTTGTTTGCAGTTGTATAATAAAATTGAGAATGGAAATCGGGAATGTGTCAAAGAGACAACAACCCGACCATAGAGCAGACAACAGCCAAAGGCCACCAATGGGTCTTCAATGCAGCGAGAAACTCCCGCACCCGGAGGCGTCCTTCAGCTGGCCCCTAAATAAATATGTATACTAGTTCAGTGATAATGGATGTCATACTAAACTCCAAATTATACACAAGAAACTAAATTTAAAATGATACAAGACTCACAAAGGCCAGAGGCTCCTGACTTGGGACAGGCGCAAAAATGCGGCGGGGTTAAACATGTTTTTTGAGATTTCAACCCTCCCCCTATACCTCTAGCCAATGTAGAAAAAACAAACTTACAACAGTACGCACAGTAAAACTCAGTTTAAGTGAAGTCCTAGTCCGATGTCAGAATAGGAAACAAAAGAAAATAAACAAAATGACAATAATACATAAATAACAACAGACTACTAGCAGTTACTGACATGCCAGCTCCAGACCTCAATTAAACTGATTGAAAGATTATGTCTTCATCATATGAATATCAGGCACAATCCCACAAATCACCTCATTCATGGTCTATTGACTTTGAAACTTTTGCTTAGTTATCATGTATTAGTTTGTGATTAGGTCAGTTTAAGGGGAACCGTTAGTGGTAAGTCAATGATATTTGGTATGCAGTTGTATAAGCATTGGCATATCTCATTTCCATGGAGAATATTTGGTCCCGCCACCTCATTCATGGTCTATTGACTTTGAAACTTTTGCTTAGTTTTCATGTATTAGTTTGTGATTAGATCAGTTTAAGATGAACCGCTAATGTTGTCAATGATATTTGGTATGCAAATTTATTGGCATTTGCAAGTCTCGTTTCCATGGAGATTATATAGCCCCACCCCCTCATCATGGTTCATTGACTTTGAAAATTTTACATAGTTTACAAGTCAATGTTTGTGTTTAGGTTTGTTGAAAGGGAACGACTTATGATAAGTCTATGGTATTTGGTATGCAGTTGTATTAGTATTGGCATATCTCATTTCCATGGAGATTGTTTTGCCGTGTACCTTCAGTCATGGTTCATTGACTTTGAATATTTGCATAACTTACATGTTAAAGTATTGCTATTTTAATATCAACATTTGCATTATCAAAAGTACAAAAAGGCGAGACATATCTCTGTGTTAACAGTTTATTAGTCTTTTAAAATGCATGATTTTTTATCAGTTGTTATTGGCTTTGAACTAGCGGTCAGTAACTGTGAATACCCTCAGATCTGTACTTGGTGTCTTTTTTATTTGTGGGGATGTATAAATACACTGCCACATCTGGTCTGTGATTGTTTAGATATTTATCTGCTTTGTAGTGATCTGATGAGTTAAGACCTTTTCAACTGATTTTTGTCTCACCTGTGAGGAAAGTAGTGGAAAGCGAGACAGGGATTGCTTTTCTGGCTAAGACAACAATGATGACGATGACCCGTCAACAATTGTTAAGTTTTCTGCTCAAGTTAGTTTGATAGGAACTGCTTGTGATAGATCAATGATATTTTGTATGAAGTTGCATTTCAGTTTGAAGACCCTTTTGAGGTCCTGCCCCCTAGGTCATGATCCAGTGACTTTGAATTAATTTGCAATATTCAATGTTAAGTTTTCTGCCAAGTTACATGGCTAGTCTCTCTAAGGTGCACATGCACATAAAATAATAAGGCTTTACGTTAAACAGTATCTGAAAACTGGCAGTAGATACACACACAGAAGTGGATAACTAGGGTGCTCCATTTGCCCCATTCAACTTTATTTCTTCGCCTTATACTGGAAGTGGATGTGATATAAAATGAAAGCACACATTTTTGTTTCGTTTCATCAATAATGCAATGCATGATTCAAATGAAGCATTAACTTTACAAGAGTGGACATGCTGAAATCTTGCATTCATATTCATATTGACTGGGCATTATGTTTTAAGTCTAGGAGATCAAGTTAAAACTACATGTATCTAATACATGGATGCATTGCAATCATAAAAGACTATAGATATCAGGTCTTACTTGAACATCATGAAAGCTTAACAATGACCAATGTACCATGAAAATGATGAAAATGTCATGTAACCCATATCAGATGGACTTGTATGCTCTTCTATATTTTCAAAGTTATGGTGTATTTGTTCTTGAGATAACTTCTCTTATGTGTGCCACATCATTCTCTCAATTTTAGGCCAGTGTGTGTACTAAAATTTAAATAAGACGCACACCACCTCATTCCTATCCATGTTAAATTTTTCAGAATTTTTGATACACCAAACCAGGCACTCATATCTGAGAAACAGGCAATATATGCCCTCAATTTTAGAATTCGTTCATACATTTTTGTATTATTCAAAATTATCAGTAAATTATGTGTTCTACAAGGATCACCAGTCCTTCACCTTTCATCTGATACCTTAATTACTAAAATATATGCTACATAGTTTCATATATACATATAAGTATTTCATGCAGGCATCTTATTATGTATTTTTAAGTTATTCTTACTGACATTAATTTTCTTTGATTTGTTTGATTGTTTGATTTTCATACTGCCATTTCTATTCATTTGTAAGTAAGCAGGGTTACAGACTGAAAATTGGGTGGCTATGGGAAAAGACTACCATTTTTTTTTGTAATCTATCCTCCTTTCATTTTATAACCAAGAGCTCTCTTACTGCCTAGAATGTTTGTATATACAATACATTAATGAATTAGACATTTGGATATTCTTGGCTGATTTTTCAAGTGGTAAATTAAGTCAATTTTCAGCAAAATTCTTCTGGGTTAAACACCAAGTTTGTATATGCACTAAAGATATTTACCTCACTTTCTTATGAATATTTTTGTCGGTTAGCTAATATCTAATGGGATTTTAGATTTTCTCAAGTTTGCTTATATGTAGAAATCCTTGCTAGCCTTCAAATACTAATGTCCTTACCAATTATATGGCCTTCCATATTGCAAACTTAGTTTTGCAACCCCATAATTTTAATTCTTTGACCAATTTTTCAAAAATGGTACTAAAAATTTATGACCTCATGGCCTGGAAAACAAGTCTGCTCATTCTCCAATATTCTGCAGGCTAAGTAGAGAACAGACATTTATCAATTTCAGTCTTAATGTCTCATTTATAACTGGAAACAAGAGTGCACACACTGAAATGTCTCGCCTGTTTTACTGACCATTGATTTTATGTTGAAAGATAAAGGTTTTACTACAAGTATCACATAAACTGAACATTTTTAAAAACTGTCACACAGACATGTACACCTTACAATTATTCCATACACCAAATATAGTTGACCCATTGCTTATGGTAATTGAAAACAGACCAAAACACAAAAACTTAATGTTAACCAATGAACCATGGAAATGAGGTCAAGGTCAGATAATACTGGTTAGACAGACATGTACACTTTACAATCATTCCATAAACCAAATATAGTTGACCTATTGCTTATATTACTTGAAAAACAGACCAAAACACAAAAACTTAAAGATAACCAATGAACCATGGAAATGAGGTCAAGGTCAGATAATACTGGCTAGACAGACATGTACACCTTACAATCATTCCATAAACCAAATATAGTTGACCTATTTATAATAGTACTTGAAAAACAGACCAAAACACAAAAACTTAACATTGACCAATGAACCATGAAAATGAGGTCAAGGTCAGATGAAACCTGCCAGTCTGACATGTACCCTTTACAATCATTCCATTCACCACATATAGTTGACCTGCTGCTTGTAGTATCTGAGAAACGGACCTAATGACGTAACTTTAACCTTAATCACTGATCCATGAATTGAGGTTGAGGTCAGGTTAACCCTGTCTGACGTACATGTAGATGTTGCAAGAACCCATAAACCAAATAAAGTTATCCTATTACTCATAATAAGTGAGAAATTCACATGACAAAAAAACTAGTTTTTTTTCAAGCAGTGAAAATGAGGGCAAGGACAATGGACAAATGACAGACGGAAACTTCGTCGTAACATTATTTTACATAAGGTATCTGCATACAAGGTATGAAGCATCCAGGTCTTATATCTACTGAAATATAAAACTTTATGCAAATAGTTTATGCCGCCTCCGGATAGTAATACCTATGTCTCGCATATGTCAGGCAAGACAAAAATGGATCAGGCCATAAACTCCAAGCATTTTAGGCTTGCAATCTACCACGAAACGACAGAGGGGTTTATAGGGAAATTAATATAAATATTTCAACCCAACATATTGTGATGTTCCTACCCGAAATCCAGAACAAATGTCAGCAAGAAAGTCAGTTTCAGTTTGGATCTATATTCTCTAACAACTGATCACACACAGGACCATTAAATACTTACTTAATTTTAGAAGCACCAATTTTGCACCTTACATTTTTATGCCTTGATGAAAACAGTTTATAAGGTATCATACCAACATAAGTTGTTGGGTAAACCATGTCTTTCTTTTATTCTTTTAACATCTTCGGAGCATTGAGACACTTAAATCTATTCACACTTAATTGTATCATGGAGTGTTTTTAACTCTCTCAGTATTGTCTTGTAAAACTTGTTTGGGTAATATAAACTCCCTCTGGAAGGGTAAAATATCCTTCTCCAAATGCCCATCTTCAGTCTTTGTTCGAAAGCTTTTGAATTGCAGGAAAAGGTGGTGTTTGCTTTCTAAACAAGGCTTTGTTAACATTGACAGTTTTATAGATGCTGCATGCTGATCTAGTATAACCCCACCACATTATCTGTGTGCCTGTCCCAAGTCAGGTGCCTGTAATCCAGTGGTTGTTATTGGTTGATGTCTGCTATAATCGTTTTCCTATCTATTGTTTTTAAAATAGATTCAGCCATTGGTTTTCCCTTCTGAATTTGTTTCTAATTTTGTAATGCCAGGCATTGCATACCTTACTTTATGGTTAAGGTTTTGCTCACTGTTGCAGGCCATACCTTGTCATATAGTTGTCTCAAAGGCAATCACACAACATTTTTTTATTGTCCTTATTTTAAAAAATACACATTTCTTCACTCCAAAAGTACTGTAAAAACAGAAATTATTGCGTGCATTTATTATTGCAATTTTTGAAGAATGAATTAAATTGCAAATTTAATTATTGCGATTTAAGAAAAAGCTACATACGGATAATGTACAAGATATCAGAATGCGAGTTCTTATTATTGCAATATTCAAGGAGTCACATTATTCACATTTATAAAAACCTCGCAATAATTTCTGAACTTACAGTAACTGATATCTTTTCAAATGCTCCATTAAGCTTTACAGAATACATTTTAGTTCTATTTTTTATCAAACATGGAAGTTTATAATTCCAAGCTTTTGTTTCAGTTTCATTTAATCACACCAGGCTTTATTGGTTACTTTTTAAAACTAATTTTAAGGGTTATTTGTTTACCAATCTTAGTTTGTGTTCTCATTCTGTTATCTTGCACTTTCCGCTTTTGTTGTTAGAATTTTTAATTTTCCCTGTTCCAACACTTCATGAATTATCTTACTGTTAAGTGAAGAAAACACACATTTGTATAAATTTATTGTGAACAAATTCTGTTATACATGTTTGGTATAAGGTAAATGATTAAAATTCATTTCTTTTTTTTTCCATCAATATGAACAAATGTGCTATCTCTGTAAAAACATAATTGTCACCATGACGAAATCAATCCCACTCTTCTGAGGTTCATTTTTAAATGAACATAAAAAAAAATAGCAAAAATTGTACATTAATTAAAAATGACATAAACAAATTGATACAAAATATGTATTCTGTTTTCCCTGCACTATGTTTAGTGTTTACAAGATTGCATGCATCACAGTTTCTTTATTTTGAGTTGCAAGTAAGCATGTTAACACTTAACAAGTACAATTGATACTGGGGTGCAGTGATGTGTTTCAATGGTATCTACACATCACTTGAACTTACATGTAAGCACACCTAAGTGAAACCCTAGTTTGTTTTCTTCTATTCTAAAATAAAGCTATGAAAACAGTAAAATTGTTTCATTCACTAGACCTGTATTTCATACATAATATCTATACAAAATATTCAGAGTGAGAAAATATCAAAATACTAGAAAAAAATATCTAACTTCAAAACAATAAGCAGTTATGATGAGAATAAAATCTACAAATGCCCTCTAAAGAATGCAGAAATGTTCTGATATTTTGTCACTTTTTTTGTTCTTTTCATCATAATAAATAACAAAAATATGATTTTAATACTTTTTAACATTTTTTTGTTGAACTACATAAATACTGTTTATCATGTACATGAACTAATAATGGTATACGAATTGCAGACAAAGACAGTAAAAACAACACGTTTATGAGAACAATATACAAAATGTACATTGAGCTTTTTTCAATGATTCTTACAAAGTACTTCCATTTTAAATAACAATATACATGTTCATGATCCTGTAAACTAACATTTTCTAGGATTTGTGCCACTTATTGAAAACTGGTTATAATTACTAAGTCAATTCTACAATCTCAATTTGAATTTCCAATTCACCTACTGTAGATTCAGAAATTATTGTGAGGTTTTATTAATGCGAATAATGCGACTGGTGAATATTGCAATAATAAGAACTTTCATTCTGATATCTGATACATGTACCTATATCTGTATGCAAAATTTCCTGAAATCACAATAATTAATCTCGCATTTTTGTCCATTTATCAAAAATCGCAATAATAAATGCATGCAATAATTTCTGAATTTACAGTATCAACCACATAAACCTGATCAAGACCAAATTTTCAGCTGCTTTGGTTCACTTATCACTTTAAGCTTTATATTACAAGGCAGCTGGGAATTTGGTTTCAACTCCGATAACATCCCTTCCAGGTCAACAAATTGGAATGTACACAATCTAATATTTGACAGTGTATATTAAATTGCAAAATAAAAGCAATGAACAGAGTCTGAAAATATTTTTATTTTCTACTGAGCAGAAAAAAAGCTCAACAAGCTTCAAGGTTCTTCATTTTCCTTAAGCTTGTTCTTATATCTTATATCTTTTCAACACTGCCATATATTGTGCATTTACCCAGTTTGAAACTGACTTATTATCATGATTTTTTACAACACCTGAGGTATTAGGAGTTAACTATACATAGATTTTTTGCTGCCATCGACGTAGGGTTTGATGAAATACAGATTTAATTTCACCTAAATTGTATTTGAATGATTGTTTTCATATATTTTGAGCAAACATTTTTGGGAAATTTATTTTCTCTTTTTTTCTATTTTTAGAAACATATATTATGACTAGCATTTTACCCCGTTCATCCACTATCAAATTTTCAAATTTAACTATCCTCAGCAGAAAAATATCAGAATCAATAGGTTTTTGTGATAGAGTCTACCTTTATGGTTTTTCTGCTGAGTATAAGCAAACTCTCAAATCATTACCTACTATTATGGATTAGAGTGTATGAAACTAGCAATCAAATTTCTCATTTCTACTATAATATCTAGACCTATTGAATGGCATTGTTTTGTTGTTGAAAATATAAATATTACCCAAATGTTTAATAAGCCAATAAATAATCCAATGTAGCTAAAATTTATCAAACAACATTAACAACAAAATCAAATGTTTATAAATATGATATCACAGCTGATTGTTGAAAGTGGACTTTGAAATAAAGTAAATCCACCGAAACACCCTCCTTATGAACTATACATGAAACCTTTACCAACCATTGACCTTCAGTATCATTGATCTAGTTTTTACCATTTTTTTTTTATTTTAGATTTTCAAATATACATTTAATATGATAAACAAAATTTTTTTAAGTACACAACCAATTGGAAATTTCTGCATACATCAGTTTTGAATGAGTATTGTTTTCATCCTACAGAAGTTTCCAACAACAAGAAGTAGTTATATATTCTTTGAAATTTTAAATGCCTATACCATATTTTAGAAAACAAATTCAAGGTTTTGTATTCAATATATTTACAAAATCTAAGGTTAAATTTGAATGGTTAGAAATTGGCCTTCACAGTGGGCAGGTGGAATGACAAAATCCACATTAATCGTATAAATCAATTTTGATGAAAATTTGTCATATTTCTTTAATGAAAATATTAACTTGATGTAGTAGAATTTTTTTAATATTTTTTATTACTTTTGTCCCAATCAATCTGTTTCGTTTACTTTACTTACCAAATAAGACCTCATGCTATTTCCAAGATGTTTACAATTATGGGGATAATGCATTGTGAAATTTAGAATTATCATTACACTTATTTTCAATAGCTGGAGTTTTCAATGTCTTTAATATTTAAGCTCCTGCACTTTGACATTTCCAGGATAAAACAAGTTAAACACCCTATACAGGCACTTCTAAAATAACAAAATGGCAGCCAGTATTGTAGTACAAAATTAGAGCATGCTAGCTTCAAGTAATATGAATCTAACTGAGGAGGTTCGCAGGGTAGAACTAAAATGGGGTTCAAAATAAACTATAGTTAGAATCAGGAGACCATTTTGTTTTCATATTGCTGCAATATCTATAAATACTATTATTATATGAACTAATCTGAACTGCAAATTGTGTTGGAAAGTATTACATAATTTCAATATCATCGCTCGTAGCTAATGTCATCATCCAAGAAACCAAATTTAATATTTTAGACAAGTCAATGGACCAGGCTGTTGCATGGAAATAGTTGGGACTGTGAAAATCAAACTTTACCAGCATTGAGATACTTAAGGGGCCTACCTCTGAAACAGTAATTTAGGCAACAGCAAAAACAGGGGAAAAATCAACATTTCATGGTACAGAGTAATGTTGCAAACTTATTATGTCCTTATCCAAAATGCAGAAAGTGTTTTTACTATTTTCAGACATTCTCTTGGAATGGTAATTGCAGCAAGTGACGATCAAGAATGACCTGCATTTCATTGGACATAAGGTTGCTGAATTATAAATTTTTACTTCAAAGCAAATTTTAGTTGTCATCTGAAAACTGTTTTTCCATTTTGAGATAATTAAAAGGGCATAACTCTGAAAATAAAAGTTTTGGCAATGATCAGTTAAAATTATACTTGATCCTGCTTGCATACAACTGTAGGTATCAACTTTGCAAAGTTATAAGGTCATACTATAAAGCAAACCTAAGCATTTAATGAGAAACAATTTGTACAATTTGCATATAGTTCAAGGGTTATAACTCTGGAATGATTATTGCTACAACAGAGAAATTAGAATTAAAGCCACATTTGGTTGTGGTAGTAAGGGAATACGATGTTGTAAGATCCTACTCCAAAGGGAAATTAGGTTATCATCCAGAAACATTTTGTTTCAGATGCACAGACAGACAAAGCAATGGCTATACCATTCCTAGAAATTTTTTCTCATTGCTACTAAAAAATGAAATTTGCATTTGTGTGGAAGTGAACCATGAATAAGCTTGTTTTCGAATTGAGTGATTTTTTTGAAAATAGACTTAATTATCTGATAATGGCAAAATGTTGTATATATTCTGCTACTGGCTAACAAACCATCATCTTGGGAAATTAATTTGTCGTTTTTCTATGCCATTTTTAATTTTGTATAAAATGAATGACTGCTGTTATACTTCATCAAAAACGCTTTCAATTAATCAAGATGACCTGCATTCTATATTGCAGCAAAATTGACTACAGTTATCATCATTAACTGTCTCAGACACTACAGCAAAATGCTGACTAAATTTTAAGACAATTCAATCACACCTCACATACTCACTTCCATACACACCTGAAAAAATATATCAGTGGAGCTATAAGTCTTTCTCAAATTTAAACAATTGCGATATGAAATAAATAAAATTAGCACTTGATAATAATGCCTGAAATGATTAAATAAGTACAAATTAACAAAATACCTAAATTAAACTCTGATCAAAAGTGAGGAGGACCTAAAGGGGGAGTTGGGGGACGGGTAGGTTGCTCTGATGGCAGTGGAGGCATAGCTTCATCTGAAAGAAAGTCAATATCAAACAAAGATTGCTGATATCCAAATTGAGACTGTAAATACTGGTTACCATACTGTTGTGCTGAACCATATGTTTGATATAATTGTGATTGTTGAAATGGTGGCGGTGGTGGTGGAGGAACATCTGGTGGCGGTGGTGGAGGTGGTGGCGGCTGTGTTGATAAAGGAGGAAGTGGTGGTTGAGGAAATGTTGGTGTTGTTGGAGTGCCAGGTAAACTGTTTGCTAGAATAGGATTTGTAGATTTGATTAAATCTATAACTTGGTTCATAGCTTGTATTTGGTCTAGCACTTCTTTTGTAGCCACCCCTTTTTTATCACCATTGACACTACCATCTACTGAAGCTGAATCAGACATTTCCATACTAACATTAGAATAGTTAGAAGATGATCGAGTCAATCCTTTAGAATCTACTTTAGAAATTTTAGTCTTGCTTTGGGAACTAGCATCAGAAGTAGGACTCATTTGTCTTTTGCGATTGCCTGAACTATGGGAGGATTCTTTCACACTTTTATGTGAATGTCCAGATTTTCCTGAGCTTTTTTCGTCACTAGAACCTCTGTCAGAATGACTTGATTTATGTTTTTTGGATTCAGACTCATTTTTGTGTTTATTTATAGCAGACATACTTATATGTAGTTTAAGTTCAGGTTTCCCATTGGTCCCAGTGTGGCTTTTTCGATGTTCTTTATCTGAATGTTTTGATTTATGAGACTTGTGTTCACTGTGAGATTTATGTTCACTATGCCTAGATTCTGTCAGCATTTTTGAAGAAATTTTTAAACTTGGCACTTTCTGTTCAGACTGATGAGAACTTTTGTGATGCTCCTTTGATATATTTTTAATTTTCATTTTCAAGGGAGAAGCAGCATCTCGAGAAACTGTTGGAGAAATACCAGTTTCTGTTTTGATACGTGGTGAAATACCAGTTTCTGTTCTAACATGAGGTGAAATACTTGACTCTACTTTTAATCTAGGTGATATGCCAGGGTCTGTCTTTATTCGAATTTTTGTTTCTGATCCAGGAACTATCTCAGCTTCTTGTTTAACAACTAAAGGTGATCCTCCTGGCTCAGTTTTAATTCGAATTTTACCAATCTCATTCACATGCGGTACTGCTCCAGATTCAGTTTTTATTCTAATTTTACCAATCTCATTGCTAGATACTTGAGAAGACGTAGCATTGTCATGATTTACAATATGTTTGCTTGATTCAGTGTCTGAGGCATGTTTATTTTCAGCATGTTTTGAATGAGAATGTCTTTCACCATGTTTCCTACTCTCATGTTTATGTGATTTACGATGTTTTTCACCATCAGGAGTATGTTTGTCACTATGTTTTTGCACATCAGGGGTATGTTTTTCCCTATGTTTATGCTTTTCCTCCAATTTATGAGTGTCTAACACATGTTTGTCACCTTTTTGTGCATCAACAGTATGTTTAACATCGAGAACATGTCTATCACTATGCTTTTGACTTTCCTGAGGTTTGTCATTCTGTTTCTGTATATGGTCAGTCCAATGTCGACCTGTTTGTTTTACATCAGGCTCTTGTTTACTTTCTTTGGTTTCCAATTTCTCATGTTTAACATTAGTCATTTGGTCATTAGATTTGTTCAATGCTAATAATCTCTCTTTTTCTTTTCTTTCTTTATACTCTTTGAAAGTTGTAATTGTTGTTGAGGCTGCAGCAGACTGTGCTGTCGCAGTGGGCTCTTCTGGCTCACTTTTGACTTCAGTTTGAGGTTCTGCCTTTAAAGTTGGGACTACTGTTGCTGAAAGACTTTTTGGTTTGCTATCTATAGCATTTTTGTTTGTGTTTTCCCCTGATACAGATTTGGTCGCATGATGTTCTGTTGATGATTTGTGATGGTCACTTTTCCGATCATGGTTTGATAATGTGTGATGGTGAGATGACGGGTGAGATTTTGAAGATGAGGTTGATCCCGATGTAGAAGTCTCCATTTTCACCTTTTTTTCTGGTGGAAGATTTAAATCTGCATCGTCCATTAGCTTTTCTCTTTCTTTTCCAGACTGAAATTGTAAAGTTAATCCAAGATATATACTGAAAAAAGGCAGATTCAATTCTCATCAGAAGAGAAAATTACTAATGATAGGTCATTGGTATGAAGAAAGTGCAGTGTAATAAATAATATTCTGAGAGTCCCTCACTAAATATTTGTCATGGTGAATAACATGTTTCTTTAAAATGTTAAGATAATTCTAGCAATGAACTACCACTAGTAACTACTTATTCAACACTGATGTCAGATATGTGGATAAAATTCAAAGACACACTTAATGTGAAAAGTTGATAATGGTGTTTCTTACGGCTGCTGATCTGAGCTGTACTATAAAAGAAGGTTGTAGTCTGTGTAAAAAACTATTGATATATCATCCTCACAAAATCTTAACCAAGATTAATATAATGTAAAAAGGCATTATAATGCAACTGTTTTTTAATAAATGATCTTTCTTTTAATTAGGAAATATAAAGTGTATTATGTTGTTATGTGTTATTATGGAGGACTGACCAAGCCTACACCCCTTACTACTTTTCTTGGAATAGGCCTTATACAATGTAGAAATTATTTTTCATCGTTTCAGTGTTTAAATTTTCAAACCAATTATCTCTTACTAAACCTACCCTCCACATGAGTATCTTTTTCTTTAATTTACTCGGACATTGGTCTAAAATGTTCAGAAATTCTTGAGTAAGCTCTGAAAAGAAAAATATTCAATATAAATTTCAATTACATGTTAAATTATTATCTGCATATGTATTAAAAGATAAAAGAAAACTGCTAAACTGAGCACTGACTTAACTTATAGATAATTATTTTTTAACACTCATATAAGAAAAATTGATAAATACACTAAGTGGGGGAAATGTTTTCACTATATAGAACACTAATTTTGTTGTCTCTTTGAAAAAAAAAACTTATTTGAATACCATATTTTACTGAATATAAGCACATGTCCTATTAAAGGCTGCCTTATTTATAGCAGAAAAAAATGCAATTGAATGTTTAACAGAACTGGCAGAAGTAAATAAAATCTACTGTTTTAGACAGTTTATTTTACAATTGATTTACATATTCCCTTGTTTTACATATAAAGTTATGAATTATGTTTGCAGAAATTAAATGCTGGCAATGTTTTTGATCAAACAAGCAATCGTCATCAGGTATTGCAGGTTCAGGGTTTGACACCAACACTAGTCCTGTTGTCGAGGCTAGTTAAAAGCATGAAGAACCAGTAAACATGTCTACCTCAGTAGTCCTTTGGGTTAGAAAAAGTTCATCTTTCAACCACCCTTCCCCACCCCAAATTGTATCCCGTTTAGTCAGCGAGATTTATTTCTTTACAGCGGAATTTCGACTGCGTGCAATGTTACTGTATGGTGAATCTTCCTCTTGCAGGAGCACTGCAGAACTGGTTCTGTGAATATCAATGGGTAGAAGTAAACCAGTATGCGGACATGAGTTTGAATCGAATAAGTTCACATTGTTCAAATTTCCAGACACCCCCGTAATCCAATTATCATGTCAGTGGCAATTAAGAAATTTATAAATTGTTAATTGGATGGAACACTGCCTAAAGAAATTATATTAATAGTTGATAATATTCATTTAAATTGCCTCTCATGGTTGAACAAGGCGAACATCATATGACAAAAGTTTCTTTTAAGTTGAAAATATTAAATAAATTGCTTCGCCGAGCGCAGCTGGATACGACCACAGTGGTCCAACCCTGAACGTTGGGGCAAAAATGGACACAAATTCGTGCTTGATACAGGTCAGAATTTGGATTGTAATTAAATATCGGACACATAATAGGTTTCTGACACAGAATAACTGTAGTCAAAGAACTTAGAATTAGTTATAGGATTTGAATTTTTATTCAAATTTTTGCTTTTGTGCAATACACTATGCTGTTGCAAATTGACCCCCCCCCCCCTTTTTCTTTTGCAAAAAAAAAAAATATATTTTAAGAAATTTTCTTTTTAAATTATGAAATCTGAAATGAGAAAATGTCTTTGGACGACGACAACGTGATACCAATATACGACCGCAAAAATTTATTTTTGCGGTCGTATAAAAATGTAAATTTGAGACAAAAAAAACTGTCAGAAGCTCTCAGAATGCAGGATTTTGCATCTAATTTTTCAAAATTTTCTTGCTTTGCGATCTGAGCCAAATTGGGACTACAACAAAACTGGAAGGAATAGTCGTTTTTTTTTACTAGTCCTATGGACTACTACCTGTTTTAAATAAATTTTTGCGGTCGTATAAAAATGTAAATTTGAGACAAAAAAAACTGTCAGAAGCTCTCAGAATGCAGGATTTTGCATCTAATTTTTCAAAATTTTCTTGCTTTGCGATCTGAGCCAAATTGGGACTACAACAAAACTGGAAGGAATAGTCGTTTTTTTTTACTAGTCCTATGGACTACTACCTGTTTTAAGTTACATGTAGTGTCAACCCCTGAGGTTGGGTGAAAATGGGAAAAATGCTAAAGATCAATAGTGAGTCATGCTTGCTGATGGGTGCAGTGCCTTTTGGGTAAGCAAGTAATTATGGAACATGCCTTTTGGGTAAGCCAGTTATTATGGAACATTGGTTGGCATTCTTGACTGTTGCAATACTTAATTTATTTGAAGGTCAATAAAGTCTGAAATTCATGTTGAAGTCAAATGAAACCTGTCAGATGCACATGTACTTCTTATAATTAATACAAATATGAAATATTGTTCACTTATTAAGCATAATTTTGGAGATACAGACCCAATCCAAAATTCCAACTGACCAACTGGGAACAGTAATAATGATAGGCATTGTCACATTTGTCATTTAAGGGCTATTCTAGAATTAAACACATGGGGGCATGGGAGGCACCTTTTTTATATAAGACCCTAAAAACCCATAATATGAATTTTTCATTACTTAAAATGAAAATTGTTAATTGATTGAAAGTCACTGGACCATGACCTAGGGACCAGGGCCTTAAAATAGTCGTCAAACTGATATGTACTGATAGTAATGCAACTTTATAGAAAATATCATTGATCTATCACAAGTAGTTCATATCAAACTAACTTAAGCAGAAAAACTTATCATTGAAAATTGCTAATTAATTGAAAGTCACTGAACCATGGCCTAGGGGCAGGGCCTTAAAATAGTCGTCAAACTGATATGTAATGATAGCAATGCAACTTCAAACAAAATATTATTGATCTATCACAAGTACTTCCTATCAAACTAACTTTAGCAGAAAACTTTACAATTGTTGACGCCGTCATCGTCGTTGCCGGAAAAGCAATCCCTATGTCTTGCTGGAGAGACAAAAACCATAAATATCTGAGTGATTACTGGTTGATATATATATATATATATATATATTCGATTCCTAGCATCACCGAAGAGACATTAATTGTCGAAATCCAGATATGGTGTACAAATTTTTGCACCTCATGTTTGCAGTTTATCATCTTTTCCACAAGTTTATTGTTTTCTGTTTGGTATTAAATTAATAATTCAGATCCATTTTGTTACATCTGGTGATCTATTTATTTGGCAATCGCCATGGCAGTCAGCAGTGTTTAAGAACATCCGTTGTTCGACCTACTAGTCAAATGCGTTTGGTTAAAATGTACTTTTTCACTTCTTTGGTCTTTTGGAAAATGTTGTTTGTAATGTATTTAGACCCCTCTGCCAAGAAATTTGTTTTGCATGCACACGTATAAAAATTGCAGTTTTTTACCAACGCAATCATAGGTTTAAACGTTGTTTTCAATTTAGACTTGTTTATATATATATATATATATTTTTGCACCTCATGTTTGAGTTTTACCATCTTCTCTGCAAGTTTATTGTTTTCTGTTTGGTATTAAATTAATAATTCAGATCCATTTTGTTACATCTGGTGATCCGTTTATTTGGCAATCGCCATGGCAGTCAGCAGTGTTTAAGAACATCCGTTGTTCGACCTGCTATTCAAATGCTTTTGGTTTAAATATACTTCGTCACTTTTTTGGTCTTTTGGAAAATGTTGTTTGTGCTGTATTTTCACCCCTTTACCAAAAATTTGTTTTGCATGCACATGTATAAAAACGTTGTTTTCAATTTAGACTTGTATATATATATATGTACAATATTATATAACAATGTTAGATCTGTAAATTTGCAGAAGCTAATTTTTTGTTCTTCCCTGGCCGGGATTCTAACTCATGCTACTGAGATATCGTGGCATATATATATAGCCTTTTCAATAACGATTTCCAACCAGTATATTGTGGTCCAACATAAAATAAATTGCTTCGCCGAGCCCAGCTGGATACGACCGCAGAGGTCCAACCCTGAACAGTTGGGGCAAAAATGGATGCAATATTCGCACTTGATACAGGTCTGAATTTGGATTGTAATTAAATATTTGACACATAAAAGGTTTCAGACACAGAATAACTGTAGTCAAAGAACTTAGAATTGGTTATATGATTTGAATTCATATTCAATTCTGCTTTTGTGCAATACACCTTGCTGTTGCGAATTGACCCCCCTCCCCCCACAAAAAAAAATTAAAAAATTTACCCCCCCTTTTTTTTTGCTTTTGTGCAATACACTATGCTGTTGCATATTAACCCCCCCCCCCCCCCCCCCCCCCCTATTTTGTTTTGCAACAAAATAATATTTGAAGAATTTTTCTTTTTAATTTCTGAAATCTGTAATTAGAAAAAATTACCCCCCACAAATTCTTTTTACCACACCCCCCCCTTTTCCCCAAAAAACATTCTTTCCCTCAAGATATGGTCATAATCTCAATTCAAATTTCAAATGAAGTTTGCAACCATAATTACCCATTTAAATTTACCATAGTGCTAACTTAATCTATTTTATAATATTTATGAACATGACTTTGATGTATTCAACTTAAAAAACTGTACAACTAAGAATCTTACAAAACAAACAAATTGCCATTCATAATTTGACATAAATCTACATTTGCCTTAGATGCTATAACATTTACACTGCAAAAGCAGAATAATTCTTTTACACTACCAACAAACTGAAACTTATACTGCCACTTTTTAAGACCTAAAAGACTTATGATAATTGAAACAATTATACACTTACACTTTCCATTAAGAGTTGAAAATTGAAAAAAATCTCCTCGCTATATATCAGATTTTAAATCCAATCACTTAGTCCAATACACTAATAATTAATTATACAGAATATGTTAATAGATGAAAGACTCGATGAAATATAAATTACCAGTATTAAACTACATTTCCATTATTGACATTGCACTCCGATGATGCAACTAAAAAACAGCACTTGAATGCACATTTTAGGCAAGCCTTAAACCACCTTAAACAGTAGTAAATTTTCTGATATAGGACTCACTATTCTAAATGCAATGCAACTTCAAACAAAATATTATTGATCTATCACAAGTACTTCCTATCAAACTAACTTAAGCAGAAAACTTTACAATTGTTGACGCCGTCATCGTCGTTGCCGGAAAAGCAATCCCTATGTCTTGCTGGGGAGACAAAAACCATAAATATCTGAGTGATTACTGGTTGATATATATATATATATATTCGATTCCTAGCATCACCGAAGAGACATTAATTGTCGAAATCCAGATATGGTGTACAAATTTTTGCACCTCATGTTTGCAGTTTATCATCTTTTCCACAAGTTTATTGTTTTCTGTTTGGTATTAAATTAATAATTCAGATCCATTTTGTTACATCTGGTGATCTATTTATTTGGCAATCGCCATGGCAGTCAGCAGTGTTTAAGAACATCCGTTGTTCGACCTACTAGTCAAATGCGTTTGGTTAAAATGTACTTTTTCACTTCTTTGGTCTTTTGGAAAATGTTGTTTGTAATGTATTTAGACCCCTCTGCCAAGAAATTTGTTTTGCATGCACACGTATAAAAATTGCAGTTTTTTACCAACGCAATCATAGGTTTAAACGTTGTTTTCAATTTAGACTTGTTTATATATATATATATATATTTTTGCACCTCATGTTTGAGTTTTACCATCTTCTCTGCAAGTTTATTGTTTTCTGTTTGGTATTAAATTAATAATTCAGATCCATTTTGTTACATCTGGTGATCCGTTTATTTGGCAATCGCCATGGCAGTCAGCAGTGTTTAAGAACATCCGTTGTTCGACCTGCTATTCAAATGCTTTTGGTTTAAATATACTTCGTCACTTTTTTGGTCTTTTGGAAAATGTTGTTTGTGCTGTATTTTCACCCCTTTACCAAAAATTTGTTTTGCATGCACATGTATAAAAACGTTGTTTTCAATTTAGACTTGTATATATATATATGTACAATATTATATAACAATGTTAGATCTGTAAATTTGCAGAAGCTAATTTTTTGTTCTTCCCTGGCCGGGATTCTAACTCATGCTACTGAGATATCGTGGCATATATATATAGCCTTTTCAATAACGATTTCCAACCAGTATATTGTGGTCCAACATAAAATAAATTGCTTCGCCGAGCCCAGCTGGATACGACCGCAGAGGTCCAACCCTGAACAGTTGGGGCAAAAATGGACGCAATATTCGCACTTGATACAGGTCTGAATTTGGATTGTAATTAAATATTTGACACATAAAAGGTTTCAGACACAGAATAACTGTAGTCAAAGAACTTAGAATTGGTTATATGATTTGAATTCATATTCAATTCTGCTTTTGTGCAATACACCTTGCTGTTGCGAATTGACCCCCCTCCCCCCACAAAAAAAAATTAAAAAATTTACCCCCCCTTTTTTTTTGCTTTTGTGCAATACACTATGCTGTTGCATATTAACCCCCCCCCCCCCCCCCCCCCCCCCCTATTTTGTTTTGCAACAAAATAATATTTGAAGAATTTTTCTTTTTAATTTCTGAAATCTGTAATTAGAAAAAATTACCCCCCACAAATTCTTTTTACCACACCCCCCCCTTTTCCCCAAAAAACATTCTTTCCCTCAAGATATGGTCATAATCTCAATTCAAATTTCAAATGAAGTTTGCAACCATAATTACCCATTTAAATTTACCATAGTGCTAACTTAATCTATTTTATAATATTTATGAACATGACTTTGATGTATTCAACTTAAAAAACTGTACAACTAAGAATCTTACAAAACAAACAAATTGCCATTCATAATTTGACATAAATCTACATTTGCCTTAGATGCTATAACATTTACACTGCAAAAGCAGAATAATTCTTTTACACTACCAACAAACTGAAACTTATACTGCCACTTTTTAAGACCTAAAAGACTTATGATAATTGAAACAATTATACACTTACACTTTCCATTAAGAGTTGAAAATTGAAAAAAATCTCCTCGCTATATATCAGATTTTAAATCCAATCACTTAGTCCAATACACTAATAATTAATTATACAGAATATGTTAATAGATGAAAGACTCGATGAAATATAAATTACCAGTATTAAACTACATTTCCATTATTGACATTGCACTCCGATGATGCAACTAAAAAACAGCACTTGAATGCACATTTTAGGCAAGCCTTAAACCACCTTAAACAGTAGTAAATTTTCTGATATAGGACTCACTATTCTAAATGCAATGCAACTTCAAACAAAATATTATTGATCTATCACAAGTACTTCCTATCAAACTAACTTAAGCAGAAAACTTTACAATTGTTGACGCCGTCATCGTCGTTGCCGGAAAAGCAATCCCTATGTCTTGCTGGGGAGACAAAAACCATAAATATCTGAGTGATTACTGGTTGATATATATATATATATATTCGATTCCTAGCATCACCGAAGAGACATTAATTGTCGAAATCCAGATATGGTGTACAAATTTTTGCACCTCATGTTTGCAGTTTATCATCTTTTCCACAAGTTTATTGTTTTCTGTTTGGTATTAAATTAATAATTCAGATCCATTTTGTTACATCTGGTGATCTATTTATTTGGCAATCGCCATGGCAGTCAGCAGTGTTTAAGAACATCCGTTGTTCGACCTACTAGTCAAATGCGTTTGGTTAAAATGTACTTTTTCACTTCTTTGGTCTTTTGGAAAATGTTGTTTGTAATGTATTTAGACCCCTCTGCCAAGAAATTTGTTTTGCATGCACACGTATAAAAATTGCAGTTTTTTACCAACGCAATCATAGGTTTAAACGTTGTTTTCAATTTAGACTTGTTTATATATATATATATATATTTTTGCACCTCATGTTTGAGTTTTACCATCTTCTCTGCAAGTTTATTGTTTTCTGTTTGGTATTAAATTAATAATTCAGATCCATTTTGTTACATCTGGTGATCCGTTTATTTGGCAATCGCCATGGCAGTCAGCAGTGTTTAAGAACATCCGTTGTTCGACCTGCTATTCAAATGCTTTTGGTTTAAATATACTTCGTCACTTTTTTGGTCTTTTGGAAAATGTTGTTTGTGCTGTATTTTCACCCCTTTACCAAAAATTTGTTTTGCATGCACATGTATAAAAACGTTGTTTTCAATTTAGACTTGTATATATATATATGTACAATATTATATAACAATGTTAGATCTGTAAATTTGCAGAAGCTAATTTTTTGTTCTTCCCTGGCCGGGATTCTAACTCATGCTACTGAGATATCGTGGCATATATATATAGCCTTTTCAATAACGATTTCCAACCAGTATATTGTGGTCCAACATAAAATAAATTGCTTCGCCGAGCCCAGCTGGATACGACCGCAGAGGTCCAACCCTGAACAGTTGGGGCAAAAATGGACGCAATATTCGCACTTGATACAGGTCTGAATTTGGATTGTAATTAAATATTTGACACATAAAAGGTTTCAGACACAGAATAACTGTAGTCAAAGAACTTAGAATTGGTTATATGATTTGAATTCATATTCAATTCTGCTTTTGTGCAATACACCTTGCTGTTGCGAATTGACCCCCCTCCCCCCACAAAAAAAAATTAAAAAATTTACCCCCCCTTTTTTTTTGCTTTTGTGCAATACACTATGTTGTTGCATATTAACCCCCCCCCCCCCCCCCCCCCCTATTTTGTTTTGCAAAAAAATAATATTTGAAGAATTTTTCTTTTTAATTTCTGAAATCTGTAATTAGAAAAAATTACCCCCCACAAATTCTTTTTACCACAAACCCCCCCCCCCCCCTTTTCCCCAAAAAACATTCTTTCCCTCAAGATATGGTCATAATCTCAATTCAAATTTCAAATGAAGTTTGCAACCATAATTACCCATTTAAATTTACCATAGTGCTAACTTAATCTATTTTATAATAGAATTTAAAATATGGTGTCAAATCTTTCATATGGATTTTTTTGTAAAAAAAAAATGATGCAACATTTGCAGATATTTTTACTGGTCTTCCTTTATAAATATGCATTTCTGTAAACATAATTTAAAAGCAGTGTAAGGGAGGTAATCAAAAGGTTGTATTTGGATTACCTCAATTACACTGCTTTTAAATTGTCTTAATTGTTCATTACCATTACTTTATACATGATTTAAAAGTAGTGTAAGGGAAGTAATTCAAATGATGTATTTGAATTACCTCCCTTACACTGCATTAAATTATGTTTTGTACTAAAGTATTTGTCCATTAACCAGGACACCCGTTTTTCCCCCTTTTTTGCCCCTAATTTCTGAACGGTTTGAGCCATAACCCCCAAAGCAAATCCTAACCATCCCTTTGAGGTATGGAAACTTGTGGTATAATTTCAGAGAGATCCATACATGGTTCCACAAGTAATTGTCTGGAAACTAGAAAAATGCTTATATGGGCCCCTTTTTGGCCCCTAATTCCTAAACTGTTAGGACTATAACCCCATAAAATCAATCCCAACCTTCCTTTTGTGGTTATTAACTTTGTGTTTAAATTTCATAAATTTCTATTCACATTTACTAAAGTAATTGTCCGGAAACCAAATGTCTTCAGACAACGATGATACCAATATACGACCGCAAAATTTTTTGCGGTCGTATAAAAACTGTCTCACAATAAATACCATCACTCTATAGAAACAAATCTAAGCTTATTGAACAAAGATAGAACTCCCAATTTAGTGGACTTTTTTCACAGCTTAAGGGCAACTGCAATTTTGGACACTGACCTGTAACTTACCTATAAAGGTACTACTTTACTTATGTTTAAATCAGAAAAGATTTAGACAACAGATTTAATGTGGTGTATCTTACACACCTTCCAATAATTCTGTTGTCACTGATGGATCACTGTACCAAAACCATTCTTTACCCTCATATGAACTTGGAATCTGTGAATAAATCAAATCAATTTTTATTGTTTAAAGTATCAAAGAATTATATAGACAAATTTACTTGTATATGCATGTACTGTAAATATACACTTCTCATAAGTATATTGAGTGTTTATCCATCATAACTGTGCACTTTTTTTGTCATACTTGTCTAATTCAAAAGAAAGATTTAATATAAGCCTGTTTTAACTAAGATGGCCAAGATGGCAATGTTAAGCCTTTTTAATCAATAACCTTTGCCATCATTATTTACTTTTTCCTTCCAGATCTATAAGTCATAATTTTTATTTGCAACTACATGCAGTTTGAAATGTCAAAGGCATCTATTATCTTAATTGCTTAAAACTTGACTCTGTCAATCTTGGGATCAAATATAACCTTACCAATTTTCCTCAAGTAACAAAGGGCCATAACTTTTGAATGGGAAATATTCTTAATGTAAAACTAAACAATATGTTTATTTATAAGGTCCATGAAACTGTCAAAATTTCAGATAATATGATTTGTGTGAATGTAGCGTGATAAGAATCTGTCAAGGAATTCCTATCAAACCAGTGCTAGGGGCTGTCTTGAACTTGAGATAAAGTGTTAGCTTTTACTGGTGTAGAAGGCCTCATTGTAGCATTAAAATATTATCAAAAGCCTCGTTTTTAACTTTTGGTTTTGTCAAGCATGTCATGAACACATAATTATTTTATATCATGATTTAATACAATATTTTCTTTCTTTTCCTTTATCATATCTATTACTAAAATGAACACCATGTAACTCACCTCCCATTTTGACCATTTACAGGCAAGATGAACACATACACAGGCTACAATAGTAGGCTTATATTGAAGACACATGGCGGTCAGATGGAGGCTGAAATTATTTTTACCATTCAATATTCTTAGCATGGATGAGCAAACATGAATACTGTGGATTCTTTTATTTTTGTGGGTTAAAAAGTTGTGAATGGAGAAAAATAAGTTTTTTTAAGGGTACAGTATTTGATTTAGGGTTTAACAATTTTTGCATACAAGCGTTGGATAACTTGCATTTTGTGGAAAACATAAATTTGTGAATATTTTTAACCAACAACTTCTACGAAAATAAGTGTCCCATCGATAATAATGAATCCACAGTTATGTACAAGTATGTGATTTTTGTGCATTAACTATCAACACTCTTACAGACTTATCTGAAACAGAAAGATTTGATCTACGCCATATATATTAGTGGTAATTCAACGGAATAGATGCAAAGGCACTTGCAATCATTAAATCTACGACTTAACATTGTAGTTCATATACAATATTTTAATGTAGTATCCACTGTAAAGTGTGCACATATAAAGTGTCTTATTTCCTGTATTCCATGCATTGCAATATTTCTTTAAAATCAGTTAGTTTCCCAAGAGTGAATCTGATTTTTTATCAATTTTCAAAAGTTTTGCTTATATTAAGAGCATTTTGTTCAAATTGATTAATATTGAAGAAATATTTGTTCTACATCTAGGTTCATACAATACAATAGTTTGCTGAGGACAGTATTTCCCATTATCTGTGCATTAAGGATGTGCGCTCCTCTTTTTAAACTTTTGCCAGATATTTGGAATCCTCTGGTTTTATTCATGTAGAACCATTAAAGATTTTGCCTGCTAACCCCTACTTTTCTTTTCATAATTTTATTACATCTAGTTTAAAAAGCCATTTTGAAAATCTTATAAAATCCTTATTTTTTCATAGTTTTTGAAAGAAAAAGGTGCCAATGTTAAATGTTTAAAAAAAATCTCGAGAGAATCATTTCCAGCCAAATTTTCAATAGCTTATTTCTCGAAAACAAGCTCACAGACCCTTCATTTTTTCTGCTTTTTTAGTTCCTGTATTTATATACTATCAATCTATAACAGTCTTTTAAAGAGCTTGTTATTTTGAAACAGAGTAGCAAACATCCTTAACCTGATAATATCAATGTTTCGGCTTAAACACATATTCAACTTTTTTATCAAGTTTTTTTATCCCATATATATATGCACAATGAAATCTCACCTGTTTGTTGCCAGGAAATATGAGGTCTGTGCAAGATCTTTGGTAGCTATAAAATAGAAATTTATAATACCAAGGCTAGGTAAAGTCTTAACAAACACAATCTACAAGTTTATATTGCTTGGTAACTTTGAACTGTACTTGTTGGGCGGTAGTCCTGGAATGTTAAACATATGTACTATTATCTTCAGGTGCCAACAATGCTTTTTACAGTCAATTTCTTAATACATAGAGAGTAAGGGTTTGGTTGGCTTGCTTGCCTTGCTTGCTTTGTTTGTATTAATGTTTGCTCAAGCATTGTAATTAAGATTGACATCTGCAAACAATATAAGTAGGAGGAGTTAAACCTGAATATAGGTAAATTTGATTATTTGATAGTGTCCAATCAAAATTAAGTATGAAGTATACAAGTTTAACTCTGCCTTTATATATTGTTTTCAGATATCAATCTTAATTACAATGCTTGAGCAAACAAGGCAAGCAAGCCAACCAAACCTTTAAGTCATTCTGATAAAGCTGCTTCACTTACACTCTTTAAAGGTAAATATACATTGGGTTGAAGATAAAAAGTACAGTAAACTCAGTCATTTCTTTACTATAGGCGCCAAAGTCTGATAAGAAGTTCCTTACACTGGGTGTAAATTTGAAGACCATCATATTGAAAAGAATCCTTAAATGTGTCTATGTTCAGGATAATGAAGGGGCATACATCAGGAACTCCAAATAAGAAATATATGAAAAGGGAATGAAAATAACACATAGTGCGTCCAAATCGCTTTTCTGGATTTACCTACATCAAGAATGCTCAAACTCAAATATTTAAAAGTCAAAGAAGTATGAATGATTGAATACTTAAATTGTATCTCCCTTCAATGATTAGATGCCATGATTGCTACAGATTTGACCATATTGAATTCATATGTAAACTATCTGATGACTTGCAGTATTTTTTTCCCTTTTTTAAGGATGTTCATTAAAAATTAGACCATTGACCACTTACTTATTTCAAAATTGTTTCAGAGGCCTTTTTAATGTAAGTTAAGACTGATATAACAACTTAAAATGTTGACTTTCTTGTCCTGTTGTCTTCAATTCAATGCAATCAAATAGTGAAAGATTTTGTAGTTTGCTTTATCTTACCTTTTACAAGCTGACATGTTTTCACTACATTGGTGTGTGGATGGTCTACTGTCAGATCAAAACCTATTTAAAAGATTACAGAACATGATTAAATGCAAAAATCCTTGTAAGGAAACAATATAAATCTCATTCAAAATGTGTTCTGTAAATAACTCTTCCAGGTATGGTAAGCACAAAAGCTTTGATCTAAAATTGAAAAGAACTAAACCAGAGGATCAAATAGGTTCTACTGCCCACTTAGTATTTATGTCCAGTCTCAAGAATGGGCACTCTATAGTATAAAACCAGGTCAGCTTTTTAAAGTTTGGTAGCAAGTTTTTAGAATGTTTTTGTTGACTGTTTTTTAATATGAAGAGTGACCTTTTTTTTTTTTATTAAAGACAGATTTTCTTCTGAACATTTGTTTTATCCATATTTTAAATACAAAATAATTGGTAAAATCTATGATATTGTGCGATTTAAACCATATTCAAGCATTTACTTAACAATTCATTTTAATGTTCAGAAATGCAGTATAATGTTGTTTTTAACAGTCACACAAATCTGTACAACTGACTGACTTTTGAGAGAAGACTAAGACGTTGGAGTGAGATTAAATTAAACTGAAAGATGACACAACTTCTAATGCTCAATTACAAAGTATAGCTTTCTGTTACCCTCCTTTGCTGGAACCATCATATTATATTCATAATACTTACCAAGAGTTTGCAATAGAATGCTTTCATTGATCACAAGTTGATGAGCTTCATTTAAATATTCCTGAAAATACATTTTACATATAAGAGTTTTAGTTAATTAATGAAGTTCTATACAATGTTGGTGCATTCTGCTACAAAATTCAAAATATGAAATGTGAAATTGAATGCAGTTTTTTTTTAAATTATATGTGATGCAAGCAAGTGACATTCACATTTTGCATGGAAGGTGTCAGAAAGCACAATTTTTGTTAAAATCACTAGGTTACATTTTGTATAAATTTTCACAAATCAATTTACTTCAATTCTTATATATAAGGATCTAAAAAAATATGTTATCACAGCTCTTTTCATAATGCTAGCAAGGCAAAGATTTGTTTGGCTTGCTTGCTTTGTATGTATCAATGTTTGCTCAAGCATTGTAATTAAGACTGACATAGTTTAGTCAAACTTTTTAGTGGACATTTGTTCTTTTTAGTGGACAAAGGTTGATCTTAAAATTGTTTTATACTTTTAAATAATTTTTAATTTTGAAAAATTATCTTTAAATTGTGTATGCATTTAATGTGCATGAGGTTAAAATGTCTCATGTCTTTTAATGCACGAATCTAATATATTCTTATGCTGCTTTTATCTGGTGTATAATATCTTATGCATAATATTAGATTGTGAAACTGTAATAAAATATTAACTTACTTACACATGTACTTACTTACTCTATATCATAGGATAATAATTCATTGTCACATATTTCTATAAATTATCTATATTTTAGTCTTATATACATGATTTTTTTATTGGTTGTTATTGTCTTTGAACTAGCTGTCATGATCAGTAACTGTAAGTACTCTCAGATCTGTACTGAAGTGTCTTTTTAGTTTTGAGGGATGTATAAAAGAGGGACGAAAGATACCAGAGGGACAGTCAAACTCATAGATCGAAAACAAACTGACAACGCCATGGCCAAAAATAAAAAGACAAGCAGAAAAATAATAGTACAGATGACACAACATAGAAAACTAAAGACTAAGCAGCACGAACCCCACCAAAAACTGGGGGTGATCTCAGGTGCTCCTGAAGGGTAAGCAGATCCTGCTCCACATGTGGCTCCCGTCGTGTTGCTTATGTTATTACAAATCCGGTAAATAGTCTAATTCGTTAGGTCACATTACTGCCACGTCCAGGCAGTATTTTTGTTACATGTTTTCCTGCTTTGTATCGATCTGATGAGTTAAGCCCTTTTCAACTGATTTTTATAATTTGTTCTTATGTTTTACTGTTACACCACTGACCAAGGTTAGCGCCTTCAAACATGCGTAACTCCGCCACATTCTCTATGTGCCTGTCCTCTGTAAGAAGTCTGTTGTTCAGTTGGTTCATGTTTGTCAAATTTGTTTTTTCATGAATTGTTTTGTAGTAAATTAGGCCGCTAGTTTTTTTCAATTGAATTGTTTCCTCTTTTATTATGTCGGGGCCTTTTATAGCCAACTATAAGGTATGGGTTTTTCTCATTGTTGAAGGACATACGGTTGTCTATAGTTGCTTACATTCACTTCATTTTAACTTTTTTTGTTGAACAGTTTTATATCGGGTTTAAAAAGAAAAGGAAGTACAGTATTCTCCCCAGATATTTTATTTAGCATCCTGGTAAACAGGGGAAATTGAAATACCTTCTTGTTTCTAAAAATTATAGCATCACATCCATAACATAATCTATAAGAAAACCACTTCAGATAGCATTACATTTAAGAAATATAGCATCACATTACCATGATGATAAAAGGACCTGGGGAGAACACTGAAGTATATAAACAATAACCCAAAACTACTTGTATATGAAAAGCATTCAGACTACTTACTTCACTTTTAGTGTCTGGAGTTTCTTTATTCTGACAAATATTTGACACTTTGACAACATGCTCTAATTTTCGAGGTTGTTCTTCTACTTTAGCAGCTAAAAACAAACATGCTGCTGCCATTGCCTACAAGACAAATATATATGAATAACAAAAGTATAAATGGTGACATGTTCAATGTAAATACTAATCTTATAAATGTAGTTTTAAAAGAAAAACATCAAGTTTTCATGTCTATCACACATTTAAATAAAATTTAAACAGTATTGTTGAGATCATTTGGATAGAAAGCCTAATAAAAACATGATATAGTGTGAGCTACTGCTCAGTAGTTTGTACTGCTGCTTTTGCTTTGGAGTGAGAGGAATGATGTGTCTTGTTTTTGTTATTGAGTGTATTTGGCATTGATGGCAGATCTTTAAAAAACTTTGCCTGATTCAAGGCAATTAAAGCTTGACATATTATATAGACACTTGTCTTTTTGTATAAGACCACATGTTGACCTCAAAGACACCTTATCGTTTTTATATAGAGACCTATACCGAATTCATATTATACGATATATATCGCCCATAAAATTTTTCCATAAAAATGTAAATTATATACTTACATTGCGATGGAACTTTTGAAATGAGTGGAACATATAAAATCTGTGCATGTAAACAATGGCTGTGTTGATACATAGCTGAGTACTGAAATCAATGTTAAGGAAAACTGTTCATCTACATTAAGAAACTTTCTAGTGCCTGTACACAGCAAAAGAGACAAGCACTCTCCCACTGTTTATCTTTAAAATTACAACTTGATATACATTCACCAGTGTTATTATTACTACATACTACAGTCATGAAAGTTGTTCCTTAAAAAAGTTTGGTTTCACCCACCTTGCATCAGGTTATTAACAATAAATCAGAAACAAATGTATTTTTAGGTCAAAATAATTCATAAATTATATATCTTTTTAAGGAAGCCGATCTGCAAGTAAGAGTATTATCATTAGATGTCATCACATCAAAGCTATGTCAACTCAAGAAAGACAATACATGACACAATTACTGTTAATGGTTTATTTTTGCTTCTCCATTTTTTTTTACTTTTATTATTATTATTTGATTTGAATTTAGTAACATATATATCATTGTATATACAGTGTTTAATTATTTACACTATATATAAATTATCATAAAATAAAATATATAATTAGTTTACACACATATAAAACATATTGATCACTTTTGATTTCACAGATCATTTATAGAGTTAAAATTTAATTAAGAGTCCAGATTCTTTACAGTACAGTTCAAGGAAATTATTAACTAGTGGCATTTTACATATGTTTAAGATTTCCGTACCCAACTGTTGACATTGAGTAGTTGATTGTCATAGTTCTCGGGTGCAAGAACTAATAGACTTAACTGATTTATTTTTCTAAACATGACAATTTAAGAAGAATTTTATTTGCTACATGTATGAACAAAATTTCACATTCTAACCTAAACTATCAATTCACATAATGAATTTCATGAAATTTGAGTTTACTTTACGTTTTTTTTTTTAACTTAAAACGACATCCATTATAAATATTTGTTGTTGTGTATTGCCAAGTTACCACATGTTTTCATCATGTTCATTGGTCGTGTTAAAATAGATTTTACTATTGACCAATGAGAAAAATTCGATATGTAATTCTTCAATTAATCAGGAAAACCATGGGAAAAAACGTTTCATATTTATATTTCGATCTAAATTCCAACCCTGAAACACTGATGATAATCTATGCAATTACGCTAGCTGATAAGGCAAATACAGATACAGGATAGACAGGGAGTTGATCAATAATTGCATAATTTGGTGTAATATTGATTTTCAACATAGCTGTGATCTTTAACTTGACAAAAGTTATCATCATATCAAAATAAACTCACTGTGGGATTATCTTACAAGACACTTTGTGCCAATGTTGTGGGGACAACAAAAATATTAGGAAGGGGCTGCAACCCCAGCATCATATCAGCCTAAGGAGAACACTTATATATGTCCTATCCAAGAATCTTTACTTTTGTAAATTTTTCTACTTCAGAAAAATAAAACAATCAAAGAAGGATAGTTCCAGAAAAAAGACCAGATCCAAATAATTAATTAAAATGACCCATTGCATTGGGTAGTATATTTATCAGTTGAATAGAAAGACATATCAGCTCTGTCTCTATCTTTAAAAGGACAATGAAGGACTGGCACTTTTAAAGCCAACTAGTTAGAGGTATTTGTATATCCATTCAATGCATAAATACCTAAATTCAGATGATAATAATCAGTTGTTAATAGGCGTTCTATTTTGAAACAATTCAGTTTTACCGAAATACCGCAAAAAAATTACCATGAACAACTGTGTACCACAAGAAGAAAAAAAAAGTATAGAGAGACAAGTTGTGTCACTGTTGACCGTAGGATCCGTTTTTGAATCAAATTGGCTGCTTTTGAACTAAGCATATGTGATTTTATGTTTTCCTTCATATAATGATCAGGACCATGCAAGACCCACCTGGGTAGTCAAGGTTCTTTATAATTACAAATATATAACTTATTATATACACCCACCAAGAACATGAATTGGGCATTTAAATATATTGTTTGTGCATACTTATAATCTCACTGTTGCCCCTTGTGGGCCCATTAATTTGAAACAAAGTATATTCTATTCTATATAATATTGGAATAAAGTATTTAATTTGGGTCGAATAGTAGAGTGATTTTCAAGCATCTTTACTATATGAAGATCAGAAATAGTTCAAATTCAATTGCATATATTTGTTAGGTTAAAAATCAATGGTAAATGAATCAGTTCAAAGTAATCTTGACACTACTGTTTATTTTCTGAACTACTGTTAGGATGTATTCGTTAAATGAAGACCAAAGCCATTTCTATTCATAAATATTTTCAAATAATAGACCAAGCAAAAATAATATAAGATTATATAAACTATTGACTCGAAAACTGGGGTTTCAATGCAAAACTATTAACTTTCATAAACAAACACATGTGCTAAGGAGTCACATGGTTGGAAACACGTGACTTCATTTTCAGAAAATGGTCGGGCATGAGACGAGTTTCAGACCAAATGGTAAGGACTTCTTCATAGCTTGATATTTTCTTTTATTTTTATTAAAATTATTCGATTTAAGCTCAGTGTGATCATCCGTTTGGGAAAACGTGACGACGGTAGTGAAATATTAAGTCGAACTTCGCGTCTCGATGTTTGCAGTGTGCCCCCTTCCCTCAAACAGGATACACTTGGAGCCGTTGTCCCATATCCTGGATAAGGTTGGCAGCTTGTTGCCTATAAATAAGTTCTTTGTCGTTTTCTATCCCACTCTTTCGGCTGGGGGTATTCAAAAGTTGTTCTTTTGTGAATATCCATCGCTCCCCCGCCATTTACACAACTCCGAGGAAAATGGATAGGACGCATGCTCGCCTCAGATTCATAGGACTGGACTGAATATATAAATAAAACCAATTAGTTCAAAATCAATTGCATATTTTTGTGTTGTCACCTGAGCAATGTGAAGATTTAAATTAACATTCTTTTATTTTTGCAGAAATTTTCTTATTATTATTTTAATGACTCGCAGCTTGAATAATAAATTGTGATGTAAACATTTTACCAATTCATATCAATACACCAACAGGAAAGGTGCCGTATATCAAAGCTTCCAAATACCTCGCATTTCAGGTAAAATTGAATAGAAATGCATGGAAAATATATTTCATTTATTTACCCTACAACTATTTATCCAGGAAGACGCATGTTTAATTTACGTATATGACAGTTGCAGATAGAACGGGAGTCAAAATGTAAAATATAAGATTTGACCGATTTACATATTATATTATCCGACACCTACGCTAATAAAAAACAGCACATTTGAAACACAAGGTTTAAAGCACATTACAACTTAAAAATCTCTTAAATTTTGTGAGCCTAAGATTATAAAGGTTAACTTCGTTATTAATTTGGAAATTTGTAAAAATTCCCCAATTCATCCATTTGAGAAAAAGTAGGTTACTGGTACCACATTCTTGCATATATTTAAAAATGTATCCTTATGCTATTCTTAGGATTTTTATGCCCCCATCGTAGCGGGGATATTAAGTTTTACCCTTGTCCGTCTGTACGTCTGTCCGTCCATACATCCCTACGTCCCAAAGTTGGTTTCGGTTCTCTAACTTTAGTTTGCCTCAACCAAATGTTATGAAACTTATACACAATGCTTATTACCACAAAACACAGATCAAGTTTGAATTTTGGTGGCCTCACTTTAACCGTTCTAGAGTTATGCCCCTTTAAAAATGGAAAAATTGCTGAATTTTTCGTTTCCGTTCTCTAACTTTAGTTTGCCTCAACCCAATGTTATGAAACTTATGCACAATGCCAATTACCACAAAACACAGATCATGTTTGGATTTTGGTGGCGTGACTTTTACTGTTCTAGAGTTATGCCCATTTACAAATGGAAAAATTGCTGAAACTTTTGTTTCCATTCTTTTAACTTAAGTTTGCCTCAACTAAATGTTATGAAACCTATAAACAATGCTTATTACCACAAAACTCAGATCAAGTACAAATTTGGGTAGCGTCAATTTTACATATCTTGAGTTATGACCCTTTATAACGTTATATATAAGCGAGGGCATCATCTGTGTCCCATGGACACATTCCCCATTTATTTGGGTAATTTTAACCTAGACTTCCCACTTTTTTTACCCCCTATATCGCACATCCCAAAAGAGTGTCATTCCCCTCACTTTTTGATTGTCACAGATCACCCCATTCAAAGCAGCCCAATATAGAAATGATTTATTTATATTTTAGAACATGACAGTTGAGCAAATTTTTGAATCAAAAATTCACATTCTAACCCTAAATATCGCTTCACATTATCTTTTCCCTTGTACTGTTATATTTGATAATTCGGTACTTAATAGATAGATGATTAATATAAAAATAAGAAGATGTGGTAGGATTGCTGATGAGCATTGATGAGACAAATAAATGACGTAGAAGGTAAGCAACTATAGGTCACCTTACTGGCTTCAACAATGATCAAAACCCATATCGCATAGAAAGTCATTTAAAGCCCCAAAATGACAAATGTAAATTCAAACAAGAAAACAAGAAAAAAACAACTTTTTGATTTGTACAACAAAAAAAGAAAAACAAATATGATATACAGCAATAAACGACAACCACTGAAATAGACACATACAGAATGTGGCTGGGTTAAACATTTTTCAGGCACCAAACCCTCTCCTAACCGGGGACAGTGTTGTAACAGCACAACATATGAACAAACTATAAAAATCGGTTGTAAAGGGCTTAACTCATCATATCAATACAAAGTACAAAAACAAATAAAAAAAACAAAATAGACACAAAGTACAGATCAGAGAGTACTCATAGTTACTGAAACCTAGTTCAAAGCCAAAAACAACTAATAACAAAATCATGTATCTAAGACTTGTGCGTAAATTCAACAATGATTTCTATATAACAAGTTTTTCAATAAAGATAAAGTTTACAAAATGTCACTTCCAGTTCATTTGAAGGGTTCATTCATGCTGATTCCGAAAATATATGGTTTCAAGGTTTTTTTCACAAAATAAAAAATACTACTTCTGGTTTACTTCTCATGTCAAACAAAAAAATTTTAAACAACTTTTATGAATTCTGAGGAAAACTTGATTACTAGAAAGTATAGAATGTGAAGGTCGTAGATTTTAAAGGGTGAGTTTCTAAAGTGCAATAAAACAAAAGCGATACTGTATATCATGTTTGTTTAATTTTCACTTTGTTTCCCGGCAGCTGAGAAAACATTAATTTTTGACACTGCGTAAATTTACCTGCATTATTCAAGATTTATTGCTGATTAAATGTTTCATACATTATACTGTTAATTATCGAGTATGCACAACATTAATATGTAAACTTTTTTCCACCCTTAAGATGAAATAACATTACCTATAAAATCAGTCTTTTGTCTTCATCAGGGATGTGTATATTCAATTAAGATCTCTGTTTTCATAATAATTAAATTAGCTAATGATCATACAGCAATCAGCAACATTTTCATAAAGATTGATTATTGATGATATATTGATTGTTGTCAAATCCCAAGCATTTAGAACATATTGTAAAAGAAATAAAAATAAGATACTTTTACACATGGATATTTTGTATAATATAAAAACAAGAAGATATGGTATGAAAAAAAAATGATTGTAAATGAGACAATTCTCCACCATCAACCAAATGACATAGAAGTTAACAAGTTTGCCTCAGAAATGCTCTGTTATACAATAAAAAATTATCACAACCTAAATTTTTTAGCATGCCGCATGGTACATAATTTTCTCCTTGAATGTTCTCTGAATTATGTGTACTTTAGTTTGTAATATTCATATTTATTATCTATTTTCTGTCAGTTTATTAAGTTTTTGTTGTTAACATCTTTGTACACCACAATGATTTTTTTGTGTGCATTTTCCCAATAAGGGATAATTATACACAGTGGACATTTAACATGCCCATTTTGTCATCAAATCGTGAAAAAAAAGCTGATGCAAAAAAACAGATCTACAGTATTTCAGAAACAAAAGTGGTGGAAATAATAAAAAAAACTAAACTGCACAATATCGAAAGGTGGAAAGACCTAACAACAAATGTGGACTTACAGGGTTAATAAATATCTGTAGTTTACGTCTAAAAATATTTATTAGTCCCCTACCGATGAAGTCGAAGGGGACTTTAGGTTTGCACTCTGTCCGCCTGTCTGTCTGTCAGTCTGGCAAATCAGCTTTCCACACTTTTTTTCTTCGTTCTTGAAGATATTGATTTGATATTTGGTATATAGTTTTATCATGACAAGTTATAGATCCAGTTCAAATTTTGTTCCGGTCTGATGATTTAATCCAGAGTTATGGACCATAACTCTGGACCATATCTAATGTTAGAGTACTATGTTAAACCATATTTCTGTACAAAGGGAGATAACTAATTTTTTAAAAGACATTCTTTGTTCAATTATTTGAAGAATTTTTTGGCAGGTTTGTTAGTTATTTTAACTTTATTTAGTATAAACTAATTTTCTGAATGTTAAATATATAAAAAAAAATTATGAAGAGAAATCCTTTAATTAGATAATAATCTATTTTTTATTATGTATATATTTCAATACATTACATTGTGTAGATAAAAGTTGTTGACATTTTATAGATAAGTTACAAATCTATATTAGTTTGTGACAAATGGAAGAAAAAATATTTGGAACTATTAATTATATTTGATTATAATTTGAAAATAGATATACACTGTATTACATCATATCTAATTTTAGAGAACTATTAATCATATCTAATGTTTTTTTCATCATGCTTATAGGATATTGATTGATAATTGGTATATAGTTTTATCATGACAAGTTACAGACATGACAGATCAAGTTCAAATTTTTGTTTCGGTCTAATAATTTTGTGCAGAGTTATGGTCCTTGGACTTGAAAAATTCACTCATATAATCAGTTTTCCGCACTGTTTTTAGTCATGCTTGAAGATATTGACATGATATTTACTTTTTGTTTACACCATGGCAAGTTATAATATAACAAGTTAGTATTTTGTTCCAGTATAATGAATTTTTACCCGGTAGGGGACTATGTATTGCCATGCAATACTCTCAGAATGCTTGTTTATTTTCTCTTTCAGAAATACAATGATACGCAGTAAAATCACACAACCACAGGTTAGAAAAACAAAGCAGCCAGTTGAAGGAGTATTCTGTAACTATTCCCATAGAACATGTATGCACAATCGTTTAGAAGGATTTGAATATTGTATAAAGCATATTCTAGAAGACAAAAATGGACCATACAAACAGTGTGGATTTATTTCCTTGAAGAATGGCAAAAGATGTATAAATGCTGCTCCTAAAACAGATAAAAGAGATGGGTATGTATTAATGATCCATTTTCACTTTGTCCATAAGAAAATATAGCTATGTTTCCTGTCTCCCTACTGACTCCAGATTGCCTTGCCTTCCCTAACACTTTTTATGGACATTTAATTTTTAGAAAAGCTTATAAATAATATAAGTTGAAGACCACACATTTTTGCATATTAAAGTTAAGAAAGTTTCATTTATACCTTATTATTGTCTATGTAAATTAGTTTTCAAAATAAAACTATTTTAAACAACATCGTGGTAACCAATTTTAAGCAAATTTGACAGGAATGATCTTGAGTGTGTCTAGAATTTAGCTATGATCTGTAAACCATTGCTGCTATGACTGAAAATAGAGGAAACAAGAAAAATGCAAATCATTGTCGAAGTATTGATTAGATGAGAAAATTTTGAAGGGTACTTTGACCTTGACTTTGACATTTGATACTTATGAAAGTAAAACCATGTCTGTTTTGTGTCCTGCACATAACTTTTGTACAGTAGAACTTTGGTTGAAGATAAGAAACTTGGTACGCAGTTGCATCATGAGATAGGGGGTGTGTCATATATCAAAGTCAGGTCACTCTGACCTTGACCAATATTTCGACAATTTTCTTGTGTGTCTGAATGAGATTTTGCAAAAACTTGTTAGTCAGAATAAAATTTTACAAACTGGGGCATCAGATAAGTTGCTAACAGTGCAGACTTTTGCAGCATCATCATGGGATCGGGATGTGTCCAATACCAAAATTAGGTCAATCTGACCTTGACCCCTATGATAGTTATTTGTGTTAAGGGCATAACTGTTCTTAGTGTAACTTAAGTTAACCCTAAAGTAAATCAAAGTAGTGTGCAGATGCATTATGGGAGGATTGTCCGTGAGATAAGGTCATTGTGGCTAAGACCTTTGATCCCCAAAAAAATGAATCAAACTCTTATTTGGGACAATCTTCAGAGATTCGCAATATTAAACATTGTTAAATGGATGCATTCATTTCTGAATTTACAGTATACAATCTTCAAACTTTGTTCATGAGTCATTCTTATATGATGTTCTTCTTTGGCTTTGGAAACAAAGCCATGTTTTTCCAAAGCCATGTTCTAATTGCAATAGAATATATAAGGCTGCACGTGGTTGACGTCACAATTGAAATTATAACGTCAGTTGTATTTTGAACAACACCAGAGAACAAAATGGACATTTGTGATAGTGTATCTCGCTAGGAAATTAAATAAAATCATTTTAAAAGTAAATTTTTTAATTTATCTGTTCATTTTTTATCGCGAAACTGTGATTTTCTATATCGTTTTGGCTTCATAAAATCATAATTGCTGCCTTTCAAACATATATTATAGGCCCCCTTCGATGTACAAAAGTTCTAAATTTTCCTATTAGAATACAAATAATTCTATCATGCCATGCTCTATGCTCATTTTAACATGGGTAGGCATTATATTTGTCAACATTTAACACCTTGCTGACGCTTGGTATAAAGATATTGACAAGTACAATGTCTACCCATGTTAAAATGAGCTTGGAGCATGGCATGAATTATTTCTTATGTATAATTCTGTCAAATTGGCCCATCAGTAAACATGTGTCAACCTAACACACAGGCAATGACTACATAAAATAAATGGCAGAATGCCAAAAACTGTCATTGTCGCAATACTGAATTTCACAGCAGCATCTGATATGCAAGTATTTGGGTATAAGTCACGCTATGTGGACAGTTCTTGTTTAAATTCCATTTTGTTCTGTATAATTCCAAAAATGTTTTATTCTATGCATAAATACAATTTATATACAGTTGTCTCAGTTTATTTCTTGATAAATTGGCATTTAAAATTTAATTAAACTGTTTAATTCACAATTTATATTTTCCACTAGTCAAACACAACCGTCCTAATATCTAGCTCTGTTGCAGATTTAAAGGGAATTTTTTTTTGAAGATAACCTCTTATCAATTTCATTAAATTCAGTGAGAGTAACTATTTTATTTATCATATTCTTTGCTTCTCATTAAAGAATGTATGAATTTAACAAATAGAAACAACTTATTTGCATTATAAAAATATTGAAACTAATAAGGGAGTCTAACCTAATGTCTATTTACTCTTTTAATGTGTGTTGAATGCGTAATTTTTCGATGTTGGGCTCATTATCTGAGTATTATCCTTATGCCAGCTGAGCAATTCCTGTGTTTGTAATTATCATTGTAAATGAAATAACACTTAGTAAATTTCATAAATCCTAAGTGCTGGATTTTCTTTTATCATGACTGCTCAGTGCTCAAACAGAAACATTCTCAAGGAGATATATAACGAAACTGTAAAATAAATAAGAATACAGATTTATGAAAAATAATAAAAAAAAATTTATTATAAAGTATGATTTGTGTTTCAAAATTTATTTTTCATCAATATGGTTACATCCCAAAAATTGATTGCATCATAATTAGAAGGGTTGATTTATTTATTACTTCTAATTCATCAGTTCACACACAGGTATGTTCTATCACATCTTTACACTGTGATTATATACCTGAATTATGCTGGACAAAATATTTTCCCCCTTTATAGTAAAGTCATACAGATACTCTTAGTCTTACACAGTTTAAAAGTTTTTGTAAATCAAATTTGAATATGAATAAAAAAAATTATTCCAACAAGTTTTCAAACTACAAGCTTAACATTCAGAAGAGAAAAAAATAATCTGTTATTAAAGACAGAATAAATATCTTCAGGTTTGTACCAGGACTTATCCACAAATACTTACGTAATTTAGTACATCCTCTGCTATGAGAGTTACTGTATTCTATAAATAAAATGGAAATCTGTCTATTTATATCTTTAAAATTTCCCAAATACTAGTAAATACTTATATAAGAACCAAAAATATTAAATCCATTCTTTAGATTATATGCACTATTTTTAAATCCAAGACCTTGAATTTATTTAACAATTGTGTTTTTAAAGTGCTTTTGTTCCATTATTCTGAATAATTGTCTGATGCAATTAACCTGTAGACATTTAAAGGGCATTAAAGGTCATGATTTAGACTGTTATATAAAAGCACATGGTATTTGTAGGATATGGATAATGGGAGATATTTAACAAGAAGGTGAGATTGAGTTACCATGGTCAGTGCTGTTATAATTACTTAAATCAAATGCAAGTGAATATATCAAGTTACTTTTTTCAAATAACTTTATTATTTATCAGTTTTTGAGATTTTTAAAAGTGTCTAACAATGGCTGATCACAACTTTATTATGGACATTTTCAATTTATAGATACTGTGCAGAACATGCAAGAACAGCAGCTGTCACAAGACAAAAGTCATCAAGGAAGCGTCAGCCATCACAGTCTGCAGAATCCTTGTTAGAGTCCATTGATCATTACAAATATGCTGATGTAACTAAGTCAAGACCAAAATTATATACTGATTCAACATCAAGTAAAGTTTTAGGTCAGTCTTTCAGTATGATTTCACAGTTGAATGATATTTTTTAAAAACTTTACCAATTTTGCATAAAACAGTATTAGGATGTTATTTATACGAAATTATTCTTGTAGATATTGAGCTGATTTATGATAATTTACAACGAATAATGTTGAGTTACACATTTGGGTCAGAACTTTGTACCAGATGAGTTACTATTCACAGAATTACTCTGTCCTTTCATTCAACAGACATTCATTCAATCCCTATATATCAAGTTATTTGAAAGAGTAAATATATGAAATTATATAAAAATTTGATATACACTGTGTATAATATGAGCAAATTCACATGTATTATGTAAAAAATAATTTTGCATAAAATTCAGAAGTGTGGAGACCCCAGTTCAATGATTACCTTGAATATTTTAAAAACAACTTTTGAAATTGCACAATGATTTTTTGTTCAAATTAATGTGTTAATTATAAACATCTTAACTTATACAGTATAAAATATTTTGTAATTTTATCACAACTGGTACAGAATTAATTAGATGGAATAAATTAATGCATTCAATGAAAAATATTATTTATCTACCACATGTCTACTGTTGTATGTTTATCAATGGTAAGAAAAATCTTTTTAATTTTATTTCAGAATATGCCAGTTCAAGCGATTCAGATGAAGAATTACCGTTGGTGGATCAAGCATGGCGGGGTGATGGGGAAAGTGATGCTGAGAGTATAGACAGTGAACAAGAAGACTACTTGAAGTAAATGGTTTTGTAACGTGATAATTTGATATAAATTATAATACAATACATGTACAGCTATGATGGATTAAGATTTTCCACTTGTCATAAGTGGGGGTGCACAGAATAATCAAAACTTCTAGCTTGTCCCATTAAAAAAATTGGAAATATTGTCTTTTTTGTTTTTTATACAACCGCAAAATTTTTTTGCGTCGTATAATGCTATGATGTCGTCTGCGTCGTCGTCATCGTCCGAAGACACATTTGGTTTCCAGACAATAACTTTAGTTTAAGTTAATGGATCTCTATAAAATTTTACCAGAAGGTTCAATACCACAAAAGGAAGGTTGGGATTGATTTTGGGGGTGATGGTACCAACAGTGTAGGGATTAGGAGCCAAAAACAAGCATTTTTGTAGTGTCCAGACAATAATTTATGTGTAAGTGTATTGATCTCTCTGAAATTGTACCACAAGGTTCCATATCACAAAGGGAAGGCTGGGATTGTGTTTGGGGTAAATTGCCCTTAACGTTCAGGAATTAGGGGCAAAAAAGGGGCCAAAAACAAGCATTTTTCTAGTTTCCAGACAATAACTTGTGTTTAAGTGTATGGATCTCTCTAAAATTGTACTACAAGGTTCCATACCGTAAAGAGAAGGCTGGGATTGAGTTTGGGGGTAATTACTCCAAAAAGTTGGGGGGATTTTTTTTTTTTCCAATTTTTTTTTGGGGGCTCTTTTTTTTTCTTCAAAATTTTTGAAATCTTCAATTGCACAGTATTGTGCAATAGCACAGTATTGTACAATAGCACAGTATTGGGCAACAGCAAGAAATCTTCAAATGTACAGTATTGCGCAATAGCACAGTATTGAATAGTAGCACAGTTTTGCGCAATAGCAAGAAATCTTCAATTGCACAGTATTGCACAATAGCACAGTATTGCGCAATAGCCAAGAAATCTTCAACTGCACAGTATTGCGCAATAGCAAAAAACCTTCAATTGCACAGTATTGCGCAACAACAAGAAATCTTCAACTGCACAGTATTGGGCAATAGCACAGTATTGAACAATAGCAAGAAATCTTCAATTGCACAGTATTGCGCAATAGCAAGAAATCTTCAATTGAAAATAAATGTAAATGTTTTAACCAATTTCGATGGGATTAATTAAGTCTTTAATTTTTGGGGGTTCTAACCTTGTATAATTTTTTTGGATATTAGGCCCCATTTTTAAATTGGTCTACATTGAGGTCAAAAGGGTCCAAAAATAAAGTTTGTTTGATTTCATCAAAAACTGAATTATTGCGGCTGTATGATTTGCTGAATCTTATTGTGCATTTATGATTTTTATTTTGGGCCCTGTTTTCAAATTAGTTCATATTAAGGTTTGAAGGGTCCAAAATTAAACTTTGTTTGATTTCAACTAAAATTAAATTATTGGTGTTTTTAATATGCTGAATCTAACCATGTTATTAGATTTTGGATATCAGACCATTCTAGGTAAATTAAATGTCCCATTTCAAATTTTAAGATCTTTGACCACATTTTTTTTGTGTCAGAAACCTATATTATGTCAAAAATTTGATCACAATCCAACGTTTTTAATATATTATAATGTATGCATTACAGAACTGACACTGTGTCATGACCAGATAGTGAAAAAATTTCCAAAATAAAAAATTATCTTTGTAGTGTGAAAGGTCCATAGACAGTAATAGCAGTATTTTATGACACATAACAAATAAAAAGAAGTGTAAATGATATATAATTTCTGCTTTCGTACTTATTTCCTGATATTGATTTTGAATTGTAGGTATGCTGGGATATACACAGCAGAGGAGGTGGCATTAATCATGAGAGACAAACTGATACGTCTACAATCTCTGTATATTGACCAGTTCAAAAGATTGCAGCATATTATGAAGGAGAAGAGAAGAAAATACTTGCATACATACAAACAGGAAAAGGAATCTTTAGGTGTGATATGTAATTAATTCTTTAGTTACAGCTCTTTTCTTAATGCTAGCAAGGCAAAGGTTTGTTTGGCTTGCTTGCTTTGTTTGTATCAATGTTTGCTCAAGCACTGTAATTAAGATTGACATCTGAAAACAACATAAAAAGGAGGATTTAAACTTGTATACATTACATGTATATTTAAATTTGATTGGACATTATCAAATAATCAAATTTACCTTTACACAGATTAAACTCCGCCTACTTACATTGTTTGCAGATGTCAATCTTAATTACAATGCTTGAGCAAACATTGATACAAACAAAGCAAGCAAGCCAAACAAACCTTTGTCTTGCTAGCATTATGAAAAGAGCTGTAAGGCAAACATAGATGTTACTTTTCAGGCATCGTTGTCATCATCAAAACAGGGTTTGGCAAAGTATTACTAGGTTCAGAATAAGATATTTAGTAAAGAATTGCATCAGTATCTGTGTATTTCAATTGCATATAAGGCCCATTTTGTAATGGTGTATTGACTTCAAAATTTAAATGTTGATTTTTAGCTCACCTGGCCCGAAGGTTAACTTTTTACATTTTGAACTTCTTCTAGAGAACCACTGAATGGAATGAAACCAAACATTGCATGAATATTCCTTATGAGGTGCTGACAAAGTGTTGTTACTTTGTAGCTGATCCATCTCCAAGATGGTCGCCAGCGGGGGACTTCGTTTAACATAGGACCCTATGGACAATACATGCATATGTCTTTTTTAGCTCACCTGGTCCAGAGGGCCAAGTGTGCTTTTCTCATCACTTGGCGTCCGTCGTCGTCGTTAACTTTATACATTTTGAACTTCTTCTAGAGAACCACTGAATGGAATGAAACCAAACATGGCATGAATGTTCCTTATGAGGTGCTGACCAAGTGTTGTTACCTTGAAGCCGATCCATCATTCAAGATGGCCGCCATCGGGGGACTTAGTTTAACATAGGACCCTATGGGAAATACATACAAATGTCTTCTTTTAGAGAACCACTGAATGGAATGAAACCTAACATGGCATGAATGTTCCTTTTGTTGACCAAGTGTTGTTACTTTGAAGCTGATCCATCATCCAAGATGGCCGCCAGCGGGGGACTTAGTTTAACATAGGACCCTATGGGAAATACATACAAATGTCTTCTTTTAGAGAACCACTGAATGGAATGACACCAAACATGGCATGAATGTTTCTTATGAGGTGCTGACCAAGTGTTGTTACTTTGAAGCCGATCCATATTCCAAGATGGCCTCCAGCGGGGGACTTGGTTTAGCATAGGACCCTATTGACAATACATACAAATGCTTCTTCTAGAGGTGCACTGAATGGAATGAAACCAAACATGGCATAAATGTTTCTTATGAGGTGCTGATGAAGTGTTGCTACTTTGTTGCCGATTTACTGTTCAAGATGGCCTCCAGGATTTTTTATTAAATTACAGGGCCAATATTTAACCAAATTTGGCCTCACTCATTATTAGGTAATTGTTATGATTTAAATCTATTTTTATATGATTTCCAAAACTAAAGTAGAATCAGGTGAGGGACACAGGCTCTTGAGAGCCTCTAGTTAAATAGTTAATGTGATTAAAATTATTATGATATATTTACCATTGACTATACTGTGAAACTGCCTTAGCACAGGGCATGTGTCTAGTATCAGAGAAAAATTTGATCAGACAATTAATTACCAATATATGCTTGTCTAATGAGGAAAGTGAAATTTACTTTGAATTTTTCAAAACACTTAAGATTTTCATTCAAAGGAATAGTTACCTTACCTGTCTGTGTCAAAACCTTTCAGAATTTTGGGTCCAATTAATGCTCTTTAACTTCCTACTTTATTTATCTTTGATGATGAGTATATACTCCTGACCAATGTTATAATAATACAACATGATCAAGGCAAACAGAAAATTACTAGAAAGAACTAAAAATATGCAAAGTGAAAAATATTTGCCCAGTACACATCTAAATGTGTTTGGAGGATCCCTGCGTGGTCAGTGGAAACCAAACTTGATATTAAAATTTACCAAGGGAAAAAAAATCATTACCAGTACAAATGATCCTCATAGAAATGAAATAGAGGGCAACCACTTGTATCCTTTTATTGTTATTGGCCAATTTGAAGAAGTTGAGAAAGAAAGTTGCTGTTTTGTTTTAGTTTACAGGATTGACGATCTAGGCATCTTCTCTTATTTTATGTTAATTTAGATAAATGGTGACATGCCATTATAAACTAGTTTAGAATTATCTCCCTTTGATTATCAAACTCTCAGGGAGTTAAGATTTGAGCAAATAGAGGCCACAAGGATTTCTTCTGAAGCTAATCAGAAATCAAATGATTATCATCTCCTTTGAAACCACTTGGTCAATCTTTATAAAACTGTGTATAAATCAATGTTATCTCCCCTGAAATGTCAAATGTGTTTAATATGCAAAGTGAAAAATATTTGCCCAGTACACATCTAAATGTGTTTGGAGGATCCCTGTGTGGTCAGTGGAAACCAAACTTGATATTAAAATTTACCAAGGGAAAAAAAATCATTACCAGTACAAATGATCCTCATAGAAATGAAATAGAGGGCAACCACTTGTGTCCTTTCATTGTTATTGGCCAATTTGAAGAAGTTGAGAAAGGAAGTTGCTATTTTTTTTTAGTTTACAGGATTGACGATCTAGGCATCTTCTCTTATTTTATGTTAATTTGGATAAATGGTGACACATGCCATTATAAACTAGTTTAGAATTATCTCCATTTGATTATCAAACTCTCAGGCAGTTAAGATTTGAGCAAATAGAGGCCACAAGGATTTCTTCTGAAGCTAATCAGAAATCAAATGATTATCATCTCCTTTGAAACCACTTGGTCAATCTTTATAAAACTGTGTATAAATCAATGTTATCTCCCCTGAAATGTCAAATGTGTTTAATGATTCTGGACACTATGTACAAGATTTCTTTCAATACATGCTGATTCAATGGCATCCATGGAGGCAATGAGGATATAAAAATAGGAGGATAAAATGACATAAATTTTCATTTTTACTTCCAGGGAGTATCCGAGACTACAAACAAGATCCTGAAACATTACATAAATATGAGAAACTGAAGTACATTAAACGATATCATAGAAGATATGGGAAAGAGGCTTTGTTGCATCGACAGTCAAAACAACGTAGAATAGCTGTGTCAGAGGGTTCTAATTACAGACCACCATCTTATCCTAGGTGTATCAACATAGATGGGAGTGCTAAATGTTTAGAAAGAGCACTGCCTTTATCTAAATACTGTTCTAAACGTATCCTTATGTTATATGTGAAAAGTATTTGCAAGGATAAGATATGACTTTTTAACAAGGCTACTTTTCAGTTTATACTAGCAGTCATTTCTTTGCATCGGCTTCCCTCAGAAAAATATTTTATTTTTGCTAAAAGAACATGTTATATTTGATACTAGTTTAGTCTTAAAGATCTTTAGATTAGTCCTATTTAGAGACAAACCAGCTATTATATTTACTATAGATTTCTAATACTGTAACACCAGTGTCTTTGGGAACAGTTATTCTACCTATGGAAAACTATATAGGTAACAGAAGATATTTTATATCCTCAATTAACACCAGCTAAATAAACTTCTTAACATTTTTTTATTAAGGATATAGTATAATCTATGCATTTAAAACGTATTTTATTTATTTGTAATAATTACATTACATGTCTGTTTCATTAGAATCCGTAATTTTGATTGACTGACAATAATCGCAAGGCACTCCAATATCATATAATATTTCCATATTAAATACAACAGCTATGACTGCACATGATATATGTTAATAATATGTAACAATGTTAAAATAATTCATTGAAAACAAACGAAAAGCTTGATATAACTCTTAATTTCATGGGTATAGAATAGAAATGTAATAAGAATTGAATGCTTCTTTTTATAATTTTACATGGTTGTAAAAGTGTTAATGGTAAGCATATTTTCAATTTGAAGGGCTTCCACACTTCATGCAAAATGTGCTTCGATAATGCTTTTACACCCTCAATAAAATTATAAAAAGAAACATTCAAATCTTCAATACAGTTTTGTAACTAATTTACACATTGTTTTAATTTGTTTTAGGCTTTTTGAAATTTCTTTTCATACTTGAACACATCTAAAAATTAAGAACTTAAATAATAATACCCTTTGGCCGAAACAACTAACAGAACACACTTATGTAGAAAGTAGTAAAAAGTTACACTTGTAATAAGCTTAAACCAATAAAATGAGCAGAAAGGCGAAATCAAATTAGACTTAGCCTGTCTTCTTAAAAGATCTTGTTGACTTCAACATGGAACATTCGTAGACAATAGTAGAAGAATTAGGGGTATAAATTGTTTTTGGTATGCCAGGAAATGTTATTGGGTACCGTTACATATTTGAGAAAATGTTTTTGATGGTTAAATAAATTAATGATGGTATATACAAATATCTGTTTAACATGCATACCCCATTCTGTAATGCAAATTCCTTAACTTTGCAAGACATTTTAAATGATAATCACCAGGCTTTGTTTAGACAGTGTTCTTTTGGAGACACCAGTTGTACATGTCCAGTTGCATCATGGGAAGAAGAACCGTTATGTCATAGACATACTCCTCTTTCAAAATGTGAACCAAGAATACATCTTGTAGAAGAGGTTTGTACAATGTAATTTGAAAACTAGGTCATTTTTATACGACCGCCAAAATTAAAAATTTTTTGGTCGTATATTGGTATGACGTTGGCGTCGTCGTTGTCGTCGTCGTCCTCGTCCGGCGTCGTCCGAAGACACATTGGTTTTCGCACTCTAACTTTAGTTTAAGTGGATGGATCTCCATGAAATTTTACCATAAGGTTCAATATTACGAAAGGAAGGTTGGAATTGATTTTGGGGGTTATGGTACCAACAGTTAAGGAATTGGGGGCCAAAAATAAGCATTTTTGTAACTTCCAGACAATAACTTGTGTGTAAGTGTATGGATCTCTCTGACATTGTACCACAAGGTTCCATATCACAAAGGGAAGGCTGTAATTGATTTTGGGGGTAATTGCCTCAAAATTTTAGGAATTAGGGGCCAAAAAAGGGGCAAAAAACAAGCATTTTTATACGACCGCAAAAAAATTTTGAGGTCGTATATTGGTATGAGGTTGGCGTCATCGTCGTCGTCGTCCGTCGTCGTCGTCCTAATACACAATGGTTTTCGCACTCTAACTTTAGTTTAAGTGAATGGATCTCTATGAAATTTTACCATAAGGTTCAATACCACAATAGGAAGATGGGGATTGATTTTGGGGGTTATGGTACCAACAGTTAAGGAATTAGGGGCCAAAAAGGGGCCGAAAATAAGCATTTTTGTAACTTCCAGACATAACTTGTGTGTTAGCATATGGATCTCTCTGACATTGTACCACAAGATTCCATATCACAAAGGGTCAATGCTGGGATTGATTTTGGGGTTAATTGCCACAAAATTTTAGGAATAAGGGGCCAAAAGGGGGCAAAAAACAAGCATTTTTCTAGTTTCATGACAATAACTTGTGTGTAAGTGTATGGATCTTTCTGAAATTTTACTACAAGGTTCCATTTCACAAAGGGAAAGCTGGAATTGAGTGTTGTGGTAATTGCCCAAAATGTTTAGTAATAAGGGGCCTAAAAAGGGGTTTAAAATAAGCATTTTTTAGTTTCTAGACAATAACTTGTGTTCAAGTGTATGGATCTCTCTAAAATTGTATTACAAGGTACCATACCACAAAGGCAAGGCTGTTATTGAGCTTGGTTTGGGGGGAAAGGGGGGTGGGGGTGATGAATCATAAGGGGGCCGGGGTCAAAAAAGGGGTAATTTTTTTTTTCCTTTTATTTTTGTTTAAAATTTACATTTTAAGTTAGTTATTTTTTATCACGAAGAGAAAGTAGGAATTGAGTTTTGGGGTTAATTGCTCAAACATTTATGAATAAGGGGCCAAATATTGGTCAAAAATAAGGATTTTTTTAGTTTGCAACAAAAACTTGTGTTCAAGTGTATGGATCTCTGTGAAATTGTATTGCAATGTACCATACCACAAATTGAAGGTTGTGATTGAGGTGGGGGATGATGAATCAAAAGGGGGTTGAAAAAATGTGTGGGAGGTAGGATTTTTTTTTTTCCTTTTTTTTTCTTTAAAATTTTCCATTTAAAGATGGTTGTTTCAGATTTATATATGAAAGAAAATAATAATGATACGGTTATATATCATGAGGAATTGAAATTTAAAATTATGTATATTGGAAATTTAGGTTACATTGGAAAGTAATAATTGGCTTTGGGGGGGGGGGGGGTGGTTATGGCTCTAATGTTTAAGGAATAAGGGGAAAAAAGGTTAAAAAACAAAGGTTTCCATTTTAATAGACAAATAATTGAGTAAAGAACATTATTTAAAAGCAGTGTAAGGTTGGTAATTCAAACTCATTTAAATATCTCATCTACACTGCTTTTAAATTATGTAAATTGGAAATTTGCCAATAACTTTATTGTTAATAAATGCATTGGAAATTTGCCAACAATTTTAGTGTAATAAACTTCATTGGAAATTTGCCAATATAAAATTTTGCTGATGAAGGTTTTTTGTTTACCTTTAGCCTTGACTATGAAGTCATTTTCTATTTTTATAGCTTATGATGTAGTTGAATTATTTAATACTTTTATGATGTGTTTAAATGGGGTTTTATCATGTTTATGGTTGCAAATTTATTGTTTTAGTATAATAAACTCCATTTAAAATTTGCCAATAAAAAAAATTTTGTTTATTTTTAGCTATGATTATGATGTCATTTTCTATTTTACTTTTATGGTTGCAAAGAAATTTTTATTTTTAGATATTACTGTTAAATGATGCTGATTAAGGATTTTGCTATGTTTAGCCATGACTATGATGTCATTTTCTATTTTAATATCTGTTATGATGTATTTAAATGGGCTTTTATGGTTACAAAGGAATTTTATTTTTAGATATTACTATAAAATGTTGCTGATGCTGATTAAGGATTTTGTTTATTTTTAGCCATGACTATGATGTCATTTTCTATTTTAATACCTTTATGATGTAATTTCCATTTTTAGATATTACTGTTAAATGATGCTGATTAAGGGTTTTTTGCTATGTTTAGCCATGACTATGATGTCATTTTCTATTTTAATATCTTTATGATGTATTTAAATGGGCTTTTATGGTTACAAAGGAATTTTATTTTTAGATATTACTTTAAATGTTGCTGATTAAGGATTTTTGTTTATTTTTAGCCATGACTATGATGTCACTTTCTATTTTAATACCTTTATGATGTATTTAAATGGGCTCCCATGTATTTAGATTTTTGATTATTTATACATGTTACCAAATTGGTCCACATTGAACAAAAACAGTCCAAATTTCAACTTTATTACATTACATCAAACATTGAATTCTACATATTCTTTGATATATTGAAATTAACAAACAATTTAGTTTATGGATATTCCACCATAATAGGTAAATTAAATTTTTTCCAGTTCTTACACCACATTCATCCTGTGTCAGAAACCTATGCTGTGTCAAATATTTAATGACAATCCAAAGTCATAGCTGTATCAAGCTTGAATTTTGTGTCCATACTTGCCCCAACTGTTCAGGGTTCGACCTCTGCGGTCGTATCAAGCTGCGCCCCAGCGAAGCATTTTATTCTAGTTTCATGACAATAACTTGTGTGTAAGTGTTTGGATATTTCTGAAATTGTACTACAAGGTTCCATATCACAAAGGGAAAGTTGGAATTGAGTTTGGGGGTAATTGCCCGAAACATTTAGGAATTGGGGGCCAAAAAGGGGCCAAAAATAAGCATTTTTCTAGTTTCCAGACAATAACTTGTGTTCAAGTGTATGGATCTCTCTGAAATTGTACTGCAAGGTACCATACCACAAAGGGAAGGCTTGGATTGAGTTTAGGGGTGATGAATCATAAGGGGGTTCAAAAAATTTGGGGGGGATTTTTTTTTTTTTTTTTTTTTTTTCTTTTTTTCCTTTTTTTTTTCTTTTAAAATTTTCCATTTTAAGTTGGTTATTTCTGATTAATATTTAAAAGCAAATAATAATGATATGGTAGGAGATACACACCAAACAGGATGTGTAAATTATTATATAATAAGTATTGTGCAATAGCAAGAAATTTTCAATTGCACAGTATTGCACAATAGCAAGAAATCTTCAATTGCACAGTATTGCGCAATAGCAAGAAATCTTCAATTGCACAGTATTGCGCAATAGCAAGAAATATCCAATGGCACATTATTGCGCAATAGCAAGAAATTGTCAATTGTACAGTATTGCGCAATAGCAAGAAATATTCAATTGCACAGTATTGTGCAAAAGAAGATACTTCGTATAAATTGCTTATTTCTTGATCAATTTCAATGGGGTTTTATTCTTGAATTCTTGGGGTTCTTTAATATGCTAAATCTAACCGTGTATTAAGTTTTTGGATTTTGGGCCCCGTTTTTAAATTGGTCCACATTGAGGTCCAAAGGGTCCAAAATTTAACTTTGTTTGATTTCATCAAAAATTGAATTGTTGGGGTTCTTTGATATGCCGAATCTAACCGTGTATTTAGATTCTTAATTTTTGATTCCGTTTTCAAATTGGTCTACATTAAGGTCCAAAGGGTCCAAAATTAAACTTAGTTTGATTTTAACAAAAATTGAATTTTTAGGGTTCTTTGATATGCTGAATCTAAACATGTATTTAGATTTTTGATTATGGGCCCAGTTTTCAAGTTGGTCCAAATCGGGGTCCCAAATTAAACTTTGTTTGATTTCAACAAAAATTGAATATATGGGGTTCTTTGATATGCTGAATCTAACCATGTATTTAGATTTTTGATTTATGGGCCCCGTTATCAACTTTTTATACGACAGCAAAAAAATTTTGAGGTCGTATATTGGTATGACGTTGGCGTCGTCGTCGTCGTCGTCGTCGTCGTCCGAATACACAATGGTTTTCGCACTCTAACTTTAGTTTAAGTGAATGGATCTCTATGAAATTTTACCATAAGGTTTAATACCACAATAGGAAGGTGGGGATTGATTTTGGGGGTTATGGAACCAACAGTTAAGGAATTAGGGGCCAAAAAGGGGCCGAAAATAAGCATTTTTGTAACTTCCAGACATAACTTGTGTGTTAGCATATGGATCTCTTTGACATTGTACCACAAGATTCCATATCACAAAGGGTCAATGCTGGGATTGATTTTGGGGTTAATTGCCTCAAAATTTTAGGAATAAGGGGCCAAAAGGGGGCAAAAAACAAGCATTTTTCTAGTTTCATGACAATAACTTGTGTGTAAGTGTATGGATCTTTCTGAAATTTTACTACAAGGTTCCATTTCACAACGGGAAAGCTGGAATTGAGTGTTGTGGTAATTGCCCAAAACGTTTAGTAATAAGGGGCCTAAAAAGGGGTTTAAAATAAGCATTTTTTAGTTTCTAGACAATAACTTGTGTTCAAGTGTATGGATCTCTCTAAAATTGTATTACAAGGTACCATACCACAAAGGCAAGGCTGTTATTGAGCTTGGTTTGGGGGGAAAGGGGGGTGGGGGTGATGAATCATAAGGGGGGCGGGGGTCAAAAAAGGGGTAATTTTTTTTTTTCCTTTTTTTTTTGTTTAAAATTTACATTTTAAGTTAGTTATTTTTTATCACGAAGAGAAAGTAGGAATTGAGTTTTGGGGTTAATTGCTCAAACATTTATGAATAAGGGGCCAAATATTGGTCGAAAATAAGGATTTTTTTAGTTTGCAACAAAAACTTGTGTTCAAGTGTATGGATCTCTGTGAAATTGTATTGCAATGTACTATACCACAAATTGAAGGTTGTGATTGAGGTGGGGGATGATGAATCAAAAGGGGGTTGAAAAAATGTGTGGGGGGTAGGATTTTTTTTTTTTCCTTTTTTTTTCTTTAAAATTTTCCATTTAAAGATGGTTGTTTCAGATTTATATATGAAAGAAAATAATATTGATACGGTTATATATCATGAGGAATTGAAATTTAAAATTATGTATATTGGAAATTTAGGTTACATTGGAAAGTAATAATTGGCTTTGGTGGGGGGGGGGGGGGGGGGGGGGGTGGTGGTGGTTATGGCTCTAATGTTTAAGGAATAAGGGGAAAAAAGGTTAAAAAACAAGGGTTTCCATTTTAATAGACAAATAATTGAGTAAAGAACATTATTTAAAAGCAGTGTAAGGTTGGTAATTCAAACTCATTTAAATATCTCATCTACACTGCTTTTAAATTATGTAAATTGGAAATTTGCCAATAACTTTATTGTTAATAAATGCATTGGAAATTTGCCAACAATTTTAGTGTAATAAACTTCATTGGAAATTTGCCAATATAAAATTTTGCTGATGAAGGTTTTTTGTTTACCTTTAGCCTTGACTATGAAGTCATTTTCTATTTTTATAGCCTTATGATGTAGTTGAATTATTTAATACTTTTATGATGTGTTTAAATGGGGTTTTATCATGTTTATGGTTGCAAATTTATTGTTTTAGTATAATAAACTCCATTTAAAATTTGCCAATAAAAAAAATTTTGTTTATTTTTAGCTATGATTATGATGTCATTTTCTATTTTACTTTTATGGTTGCAAAGAAATTTTTATTTTTAGATATTACTGTTAAATGATGCTGATTAAGGTTTTTGCTATGTTTAGCCATGACTATGATGTCATTTTCTATTTTAATATCTGTTATGATGTATTTAAATGGGCTTTTATGGTTACAAAGGAATTTTATTTTTAGATATTACTATAAAATGTTGCTGATGCTGATTAAGGATTTTGTTTATTTTTAGCCATGACTATGATGTCATTTTCTATTTTAATACCTTTATGATGTAATTTCCATTTTTAGATATTACTGTTAAATGATGCTGATTAAGGGTTTTTTGCTATGTTTAGCCATGACTATGATGTCATTTTCTATTTTAATATCTTTATGATGTATTTAAATGGGCTTTTATGGTTACAAAGGAATTTTATTTTTAGATATTACTTTAAATGATGCTGATTAAGGATTTTTGTTTATTTTTAGCCATGACTATGATGTCACTTTCTATTCTAATACCTTTATGATGTATTTAAATGGGCTCCCATGTATTTAGATTTTTGATTATTTATACATGTTACCAAATTGGTCCACATTGAAAAAAAACGGTCCAAATTTCAACTTTATTACATTACATCAAACATTGAATTCTACATATTCTTTGATATATTGAAATTAACAAACAATTTAGTTTATGGATATTCCACCATAATAGGTAAATTAAATTTTTTCCAGTTCTTACACCACATTCATCCTGTGTCAGAAACCTATGCTGTGTCAAATATTTAATGACAATCCAAAGTCATAGCTGTATCAAGCTTGAATTTTGTGTCCATACTTGCCCCAACTGTTCAAGGTTCGACCTCTGCGGTCGTATCAAGCTGCGCCCCAGCGAAGCATTTTATTCCACATTGAGGTCAAAAGGGTCCAAAATTAAACTTTGTTTGATTTCATCAAAAATTGAATTCTTGGGGTTCTTTGATATGCTGAATCTAACCATGTATTTAGATTTTGGATATTGGACCATAATAGGTGAATGTCCAATTTAAAATTTTTAAGTTCTTAGACCACATTCATTCTGTGTCAGAAACCTATGCTGTGTCAAATATTTAATCACAATCCAAATTCAGAGCTGTATCAAGCTTGAATGTTGTGTCCATACTTGCCCCAACTGTTCAGGGTTCGACCTCTGCGGTCATATCAAGCTGCGCCCTGCGGAGCATTTTATTGTATCTAGCTGTCTCTATAAAGCATAAACGTGAGAAAAGTTAAGTATCTGCAATTTTTATACGTCGTCCGAAGACACATTGGTTTTCGCACAATAACTTTAGTTTAAGTGAATGGATCTCTATAAAATTTTACCATAAGGTTCAATACGACAAAAGGAAGGTTGGGATTGATTTTGGGGGTTATGCTACCAACAGTTAAGGAATTAGGGGCCAAAAATTAGCATTTTTCTAGTTTCCAGACAATAACTTGTGAAACGGTGTATGGATCTCTCTGAAATTATACCACAAGTTTCCATACCACAAAGGGATGGTTAGGATTTGCTTTGGGGGACAATTAAAAAAAAGTACAATGTTATGTTTGGATTACCTCCCTAATCCTGCTTTTAAATTATGTATAAAGAAATGTTGTATTGTCTTGAGGTGATTAGCTGTCAATTTATTTTTTTAAGTTACTATTTAAAAATGCTAATTAAGGAATATTAATTTTAGCCATGATTATGTATGTCATTTTCTATTTTAAGACTTTTATGATGTATTTAAATGGGTAACTATGGTTGCAAACTCCATTGGAAATTTGAATTGAGATTATGACCATATCTTGAGGGAAAGAATTTCAAATCATATAACCAATTCTAAGTTCTTTGACTACAGTTATTCTGTGTCAGAAACCTATTATGTGTCAAATATTTAATTACAATCCAAATTCAGACCTGTATTAAGCGCGAATATTGTGTCCATTTTTGCCCCAACTGTTCATGGTTGGACCTCTGCGGTCGTATCCAGCTGCGCTCTGCGAAGCAATTTATTAGCATAGTAGTGTATTATATATATATCTTGAAAAAGATTTACAGTTAGACAAAAAATTGACACATTAAAGGTGATCAGCTTTACAGGATCTACCAAAATACCATCGTTTCATTTCTCATAGTAGATATTCCCTCTAAATAAGGATTTTTGACTAATTTGAATTGTGTTTTTGTACAAAAAAAGTCCTGTAATATATAATAAGATTGTTTGTATTTTATACTTGTAGGAAAAAGAGGAAGCACTTGTGTTAACAAAAGAGGCTTTAGAAAATTTATTGCCTGATTTAGAGTTAAATCCTCAAGACTTACTCCTAGGAAATCACTTTCTTGGACAGAACCCAGAATTTCCTGATTTGATATTTTCTGGATCTGATCATGAACAGACAGAACCAAAGTTCTCTCAAAGAGAAACTGAAAAAAGGACCGAGGTAACTGCAAATGACAACATAACAACATCTGGAATGAATCCACCTAAAACTGCAAAAATGAATGGTTCGTGTGACCATAAAACACAATTAAATCCTGTTGTCTCACCAACTATTGGTTTACAGCCAGTAGGAGATGAACAACCATCTACATCAAAAGGCACTCTATTATTACTTCAACATCTAAAGGGAGATGTAGATGTTCAAGGTTGTCCCAAAACAGATACAGACACAAATGGAGAATCTGATGAAAAGAAAAATTGTGAAGAGCCAGTGGATGAAGAGGAAAAGACGGAATCTAATTCTAAGGAACAGGGAAGCACTTTGGAAAATGGCGTTTCATAGACAATTTTACATTAAGTTTCATATAGTGCTTTATTAAAAAAAAACAACAGATTTCCGGAGTCTTTTGAATGCCACTAGCAGCTCACATGTTTAATAGACTGGGGGTCATCAGTAAAAACAAACTTATTACATAAAAGGAACATGTTGAAATATGGATTTCATATTAAGGTTGCCAATAAACTGTACAGAATAAATAGATTTGCAAAAAATGAATTTATTGTATGCTGAATACTTTTTGTCTCGCCTTGACGAAGTAAAAAAAGCGAGACATAAGTATGCTGTTTCCGGCGTTGGCGACGACGTCGTCAACAATGTATTAGTTTGTGAATAGGTCTAGTTGATGGTGAACCACTAGTGGTAGGTCAATGGTATTTGGTATGCAGCTGTATTAGCATTGGCACATCTCATTACCATGGAGATTATTTGGTCCTGCCCCCTCAGTCAAGGTCTATTGACTTTGAAACTTTTCATAGTTTACATGTATTAGTTTGTGATTAGGTCAATTTATGGGGAACCACTAGTGGTAGGTCAATGATATTTGGTATGCAGTTGTATAAGCATTGGCATATCTTATTTCCATGGAGATTATTTGGCTCCGCCCCTTAGTCATGGTCTATAGACTTTGAAGATTTTGCTAAGTGTGAACATGTATTAGTTTGTGATTAGGTCATTTCAAGGGGAACCATTAGTGGTAGGCCAATGTTAATTGGTGTTCAGTTGTATAAGCATTAGCACATCTCATTTCCATGGAGAATATTTTGCCCTGCCCCCTCAGTCATGGTCTATTTACTTTGAAACTTATGCTTAGTTTACATGTATTAGTTTGTGATTAGATCAGTTTAAGATGAACTGCTAATGTTTAGTCAATGATATTTGGTATGCAAATTTATTGGCATTTGCAAGTATTGTTTCCATGGAGATTATATAGCCCCACCCCTGATCATGGTTCATTGACTTAGAAACTTTTACATAGTTTACAAGTTAATGTTTGTGTTTAGGTTTGTTTAAAGGGAATGACTTATGATAAGTCAATGGTATTTGGTATGCAGTTGTATTAGCATTGGCACATCTCATTCCATGGAGATTGTTTAGCCATGTATCTTCAGTCATGGTTCATCGACTTTGAATATTTGTATAACTTACATGTTAAAGAATTGCTATTTTAATTTCAACATTTGCATTATCAAAGTTACAAAAAGGCGAGACATATCTCTGTGATAAGTTTATTTTACATCAGCCTCAAATTTCTAAAAATGCAACATATAGGAATCCTTTCAGTATATAATGTATATTATTAAGTCATAATCAACATAGCAGATTACTTATATAAATGTGCCTAGTTTTTATCTCGCCTGCGACTGCCGCAGTACGCAAGACATAGGTATTACTATCTGGCAGCAACTGTGATGTAAACTATTTGTATAACGCTTTATTTCAGAAGGTCGAAGACCTGGATGTTTCATACCTTGTATGCAGATAGTGAATGTTACGAAGTTTCCATTTGTCGAATGTCCCTTGTTCTTGACCTTATTTTCATGGTTCAGTGACTGCTTGAAATTTTTTTTTAGTTTTTTTGTCATTTGAATTTCTCACTTATTATGAGTAAAAGGAAAACTACATTTGGTATATGGGTTCCTTGCAATGTCTACAACCTCATTTCATGGATCAGTGATCAAGGTTAATGTTATGTGGTTAGGTCTATTTCTCAAATACTATAAGCAGTAGGTCAACTATATGTGGTGTATGGAATGATTTTAATGGGTACATGTCAGTCTGGCAAGTTTCATCTGACCTTGACCTCATTTTTATGGTTCATTAGTCAATGTTAAGTTTTTTGTGTTTTTCAAGTACTATAAGAAATAGATCAACTATATTTGGTGTATGGGATGATTGTAAGGTGTACATGTCTGTCTGACAGGTATCATCTGACCTTGACCTCAATTTAATGGTTCATTGGTCAATGTTAAGTTTCTGTGTTTTGGTCTGTTTTTTGAAATACTAATAGTAATAGGTTAGCTATATTAGGTGTATGGAATGATTGTAAGGTGAAGATGTCTGTCTGGCAGGTTTAATTTGACCTTGACCTCATTTTTATGGTTCATTGGTCAATGTTAAATTTTGTGTTTTGGTGTTTTTCGATTACCATGAGCAATAGGTCAACTATATTTGGTGTACACAAAAATTGTGAGGCATTTATATGTCTGTCTGACAGGATTTATCCCACCATGACCTCATTTCATGGATCTTTAAAAATGTAAAGTTTATGTAATACTTGTAGTTAAACCTTTATCTTTAAGACTTTTAACATAAAATCAAGGTCATTTTTTAGGCAAGACGTTTCAGCGTGTGCACTCTTGTGTTTCTATTTATATTAATCAGATTTGCTAGTGTTAATTTTAAGCCCAGGTCATATGAGTGAATGCTTTTACTTGGAGTATATCTTTAACTTTTCAAAAAATGTTTTTACAAATTACAGGTATTGTAAGATTGAAAGAACATGAAGTAAGGGGAAATAATTTGCAATATTAAAGAAAATTAAATAAAATTTTGAGACAAAAACACACACAAAAAAGAATGAAATGGGGATCCATGCTGCAAGCACAGTCACATGAAGGGTTTCTGGGATAAAATCATCAGATATGCTGAGATTTAGAGTTTAAGCAGCCAAATTAACCAGATATGATAATCCAACATTTATAAAATTGTCCAAATGGATGCAAAAAACCCATCTTTAGAGCTTATAATGCTGAAAATATCCAGTTTTGAATTGGTTATCTCAACTTTTTATGCCCCAACCATCACCAGCGGGGCAGCTGGTGATTAAGTGTTCCCGTCTGTCTGTATGTCTCAAAATTGGTTTTTGTTCACTAACTTTAGTTTGCCTCAACCAAACTTATACACAATGCTTATTACCATAAAACATAGATCAAGTTTGAATTTGGGTGGCGTCACATTTACCGTTCTAGAGTTCTGTCCCTTTATAACATTATATGCATCATCTGTGTCCCATGGACACATTCTCCGTTTATTTAAAGATATTTGAACATTCTGAAAACAGTCTTGATTTAAGGCAGGGCCTCCTACCATATTCAAAGTATTGGAACATTCTCAAATGCCTGTGAATTGGAATGACCACTGAGGCCTCATAGAATTCAACATTCAATCATGTCTATCTTGCAACAAAAGTTGCAAAATGCAAGACATAGGGATACTTATCTGGTGGCTGTGGCATAAACTATTTGTATAAAGCTTCATATTTCAGAAGGTAAAAGGTTTGGATACTTCATACCTTGTATATATATGCCTTATGCTTATAAGAAATTTCAATCAGTCATATTTGTCTATTGTCCCTGATCACATTTTCATAGTTCAGTGACTGCTTCAAAAAAAGTATAGTTTTTATGTCATGTAACTTTCTCATTTGTTAGGAGTAGCTTATAAGATAATTATATTTGGTATATGGGATCCTAGCAAGGTCTACATGTTCATCAGACAAGGTTCACCTGACCTTGATCCCCATTTTATGGAAAAAGGATCAAGGTCAAAATTTCGTGATAAGTCCATTTCTTGATACTATAAGCAATAGGTCAAGTGTATCTGGTGAATGGAATAATTGTAAGGTGTACATATCTAATTGGAAGGAATCTGACTTTTACCTAGTTTTCATGGTTCATTGGTTAATATAAAAATAAGGAGATGCAGTATGATTGCCATTGAGACAATGGCTGGGTCAAACCAAAGACTTGAAAATTGGTATTTGTTGCTTCTCTGCTAAAGCATTAAGGAGTAAGACTTCAGCTTGAAAACTGAATAATGTGTCTGGGTAGGATGACATGTCTTCCTACGGACTTACCTTCTGAACTAGAATTAGCACGTTAAAAATCCAACTAGGCATGTCAGCCGAATACAAAGCAGGATTATTATTTTAATTACATTAACATGTTCTTGTCCTGAGAATGCATTTAATTTGCTGTTGGACAATAAGCAGTCATCCATCATCATCATCAAACATATTGGTACATGTTACTTTAGTAGTTTGGTCTGGCTTCAACTTTTTTCAATTCAGAAACTTGCATTAGTCAAGGGGTCAAAATCATAACACACAAATTTTCATCCAAATGTGATCACACTGGACCAAATTGCAAAGGAAAAGTATTACTCTGCCTTACTTTTTGAAAACCTTTGCTTTAGGGGCTTTTTTTTTTGGGGGGGGGGGGGGGGTAAAAATGTGGAAATTGTATATGTTTTAATCTGAAAATAGAAAAAGCTCTAAATATGCTGGAAATATTCTGTATGCATATCCTTTAAATCTTCTAAATCTTATAACAATTGGTCATTTCCAAAAGAATATCTGTGGGTTTGATGTTTTTATTTAATGGAAAATACACATAGGAATTGCGATTCTATTGGCACTTAGTATATTTGCAATAGGTCAACTATATTTGGTGTATTGAACTTTACTTCACATTCAAAGTGCATTTTTCAATTTTTAGTTTTTGTACTTTAGTCAGTTTCTTGGATACCATAAGCAATAGGTCAGCTTTATTTCATGTATGTCTGTCAGGTATCATCTGACCTAGACCTCATTGTCATGGTTCAATGGTTAGTGTTAAGTTTTTGCTTTAGGTCTGTTTCTACAACCAAAAGGTTAACTATTTTCAGTGTATGGAATGGTTGCGAGGTGTACATGTCCATATAGCAAGGGTTAATCCGACCTTGACCTCGTTGAAATGGATTATTGTGAAACTGCAACTGTTCACATTTAATCTGTGCCTACATATAAACCTTCGATATCATTTGTGTCACTGATAGAGGTAATGTTTACCTGTACAACCAAAGAACTTGGATAATTATGTGGCTACACTTGACAACGTTTTTTGGAACTAAAAATTATAAAATGAGAGCATTAAAATAAAAGTAGTATAACAGGAATAGCCAATATCGTGCTAGACCAACTTTGCCTGCTTGAAGGAGCTTCTGCATTTAGTTTCGGTTCCATCACTTATATATTTCGAAAACTTACATTAAATTGCGGAAAGCACTGGCAATCAAGTATATGATCATTTAGTTTTATGAGTTTTCCATTTTCTGAAAAATCTACAAGTCACCAAGACTAGTCCTAATCAAAATTTTCACTTGCAATCTTGGTCTATTATAACGTATAATAGTCCCATATTTCAGTAAATATAATCAGCTGAGAATCTAGTCTGAAACTCGGACTCTACAGACAGCTCAACGCTATGGATTTGCTCATTTTTCAAGGCCTATACCTATAATGTAGTTGCTTAAATCTACATCATTTGGTTTTTGGTGAGCGATCGTAACAACTCCTTAATATCATAAAATCAAACACATCTATTCATCATTATATCATCCAGTCTTTTATTTTGCAAGTGACAGAAGTGAAGACACTTCTATATTTCATTTTTACACAAAAGACAACACCTACCAGTTGTAATGTCACTGTCAATCAGTAACTAAACTCCTTTTTGTATCATTTCAATACAGTACCGTGCAGACAACACCTACCAGTTATAATACAAGGATGTGATTGTTCATAACTAATTCGACTGTTTTGTGAACGCGTATTATAAGTTATGGTGGGCGGTTCATGGTTAGTCCTGTTGGACTCTTCCTTCATGCAATTTTTTATTTCCTGAGAAAATGAACCGATTTGTTCTCCAAACAAATTCTCATGAAATGCAATACTGTGTTCAGAATTTTTTCCCTGACCAATTTCAACTTTGCACTCGAACTTGGGAATTTCCGAATCAGTTTGATTATTTGAAAGCTGTTTTTCGGGAATATCAGGAATGGTTTCATACAAAAACCTATGATTTAAACCAACTGAGTTTGCCTGAGGACGTTTATTGTCATTTTCGATACGATTGCCTTTATCGAACATTTCTGGATTAATGAAGGCACGAGACTGATCAATGTTTTCATTCTTTATGTTGCAAGCTACATTAACATGTGAGCGATTTAGATCAACTGATTCTGCTTGAGGACGTTTATTATCATTTTCGACATGATTGCCTTTATCGAACATTTCTGGGTTAATGAAGGCACCTGACTGATCAATGTTTTCATTCTTTATGTTGCAAGCTACATTAACATGTGAGCGATTTAGATCAGCTGATTCTGCTTGAGGACGTTTATTGTCATTTTCGATATGATTTCCTTTATCGAACATTTCTGGGTTAATGAAGGCACCTGACTGATCAATGATTTCATTCTTTATGTTGCAAGCTACATTAACTTGTGAGCGATTTAGATCAACTGATTCTGCTTGAGGACGTTTATTGTCATTTTTGATATGATCGCCTTTATCGAACATTTCTGGGTTAATGAAGGCACCTGACTGATCAATGTTTTCATTCTTTATGTTGCAAGCTACATTAACAAGTGAGCGATTTAGATCAACTGATTCTGCTTGAGGACGTTTATTGTCATTTTCGATATGATTGCCTTTATCGAACATTTCTGGGTTAATGAAGGCACCTGACTGATCAATGTTTTCATTCTTTACGTTGCAAGCTTCATTAACATGTGAGCGATTTAGATCAACTGATTCTGCTTGAGGATGTTTATTGTCATTTTCGATTTGACTGTTTTTGTCATGTAAGCGTTCTTTGTCTAAAGAACTTACGTCCATGCTTACCGCTTCGACACTTGTTGTTTTAAGACACCTCTTCCACTTGTGATATTTCAGCCCACTGTGGTACGCAAATGTCTTCTCACATAAGTTGCACTTGTACGGTTTTTCACCAGTGTGCTTCCTCATGTGTACGTTTAAGTTACCATCTTGAGCAAAGGCTTTCTGACATATATTGCATGTGTATGGTTTGTCTCCTGTATGTGTCCTCGTATGCTTCTGTAAAAGATTAATTATAAATTTAAATTTGTGCTCAAATATTTGAAAGGTTCTAATAAATTGCATAGAATTTAACACTTTAAAAAAATCATATAAGTGTTAATAGATTGAACACTTATTGAACACGTTTTTGAATCACTTTTTGAATATGTAATCGGAGACGTATATATGTCATATATGTCTATGATAAAATGGTGTCCCAAATGAAATGTTCACGCTAGTCATGATCATCAATTGAATGCATGATCTTTAAATGTTGATTTTCCACTTTTTAATGCCGGTTTGTATCATTTTTGCAAGCTGTTAAGCATGTATGAATGACATGACCGACCGTTGTTTTCTTAACCGCTCCATTGGCAAATGGTCTATGCATATTTAGGACCATGATTAAAAGGGATGTGAGGTAACCCTAATTTTACCAAAACATTTAGTGTTCAACAACAAAATCAAGAGTGTACACGCTGAAATGTATCGTCTGTACTGACCATGATTGACTTAATGTTGAAAGTCTTAAAAATAAAAGTTTTACTGCAAATATCACAAAAGCTTAACCATATCAATGATCGATGACAATAAGGTCAAGGTCAGATAAACCCTGACAGACATACATGTACACCTTATAATCATTCCATACACCAAATATAGTTGACCTTTTGCTTAAAGTGTCAAAGAAACAAACTAAACTGTGAAACTTAACATTGAACAATGAACCATGAAAATGAAGTCAAGGTCAGATGGTACATGACAGACAGACATGTACACATTACAATCATTCCATGCATCAAAAACAGTTAACCTACTGCTCATAATATCTTAGAAACAGGCTTAACCTGGAAAACTAAATATTAATCAATGAACCATGAAAATAAGGTCAAGACAAATGATACCTGCCAGGAAGACATGTGCACGTTACAATAATGCCATGCACCAAATATAGTTAACATAATGCTTATAGTATTTGAAAACAGACCAAAACACTAAACCTTAACATTGACCAATGGACCATGAAAAATGAGGTCAAGGTCAGATGAAACCTGCCAGACTGACCTTACAATCATTCCATATACGACATATAGTTGATCTATTGCTTATAGTATCTGAGAAACGGACCTAATCACGTAACTTTTAACCTTGATCACTGGTTCATGAAATGAGTTCGAGGTCAGGTCAACCCTGTCAGCATGGTCAGACGGACATGTGAACGTTGCACGGAACCCATATACCAAATATAATTATCCTATTACTTATAATAAGTGAGAAATTCACATTACAAAAATAAATAAATATATATTTTTTTTTCAAGCAGTCGCTGGACCATGAAAATGAGGCCAAGGGCCATGGTCATATAACAGGGGAAACTTCGTAACATAAGATATGAAGCATCCAGGTCTTCTCCCTTCTGAAATATAAAGCTTTATACGAATAGGTAAGACTGCCGCTGCCGCTGCCGCTGCCGGATAGTAGTCTCTATGTCTCGCATTTTTCGTCGCAGGCGAGACAAAACCCGTCAAAGTATTTCACTTAAACTAGCATTTCAGAAATTGAATATATAACGGATGGATAAATGAATACTTAATCAAACATTTTCCTGTTCATAAAACAACAAAATTAAGGATTTAAGTCAAAGCAATTGTTTGAACAGCAAATATAATATAAGACCCGAAAGCTGTTGCACAAAGCCGATGAACCTCTGATGAAACTCGGATTAGTTATATATATGTGTATCTGATCTTCAAACAAATCGTAAAAGGTTATCCGTAGTCGTTATTTGTCCTCTTGTCATCACGACCGTCAGTAAAACCCGAACTAAAGCGGAGCGTCCATTTGATTGTGGGGATGTTTAAATGTTCGCCCAAGTTCGGTTGAAATGGAAATGCAACAACTATCCGAGAGATTCATAGATGGCCTGTTGCAAGGTAAAATTTATGCCCCTATCCAACATACCATCATTTTCCAGTTGCAGTCCAAATATCCTTATCTTGCAACCTATAGTATACATTGATTTATTCTAGTAAACATATTCCACTGGACGTTTAGCAAGCATCAATCAAACGATAATTCAGTACACCGGGCACTGGTACTAAGGAAGGATATTTATTGCTTATTGTTTTTTGGTTGCTTTTCCCTTATTACTGTTGGTGATTTCCCCAATGCCAATTTTTCCGGGGATGGGGGGGCTGGAATAATTGGCATGATCCCCTTCCCCCCAGCTTGATGGGGAACCAAGATTAGGCCTAACCCCCCTCCTAGTAGCACGAGAAGCTTATTTCCCCCTCGAAGTTACGTCGGCGACGTCAGTTGGAAATTAATTATCCATGAAAGAATAGAAACAAATTTGATGACATCTTATAAATATATTAAGGTCTACTTGTTTAACTGTGTTTGCTTTTGAATACATCATGAAATTACACTGTTATCACCACAAAGTAAATATGAATAGGAACACATTTTCATGTTAGCCATACAAATAGGTTGGATTTTTTGACATATTCAAAATATGAATTGGGGTATTTTTTTCGACTGCAAACGGCACCCATGTAACAATATATAGATGCCCTATCACCACTCACTGACCCTAGGCCTTTTAATTGACACGCGTGCTTCTAGGCAATCCAAGCCGAAAAACATATTATTTTAGCATTCCAGCGATCATTCATTTCTTAATATATATATGCAATAAATGGCCATGTAATTTTTATGTATATATAGTGAAAAACCATTATGTGGGGGGGGGGGGGGAATATGAGCATGGAGAAAAGTGGCTATATGTATACGTATTGTCAAATTTCAGTAGGGTAAGAATGGCAATGATCCAAAATTTCCCAGGGGAAAAAATTATATCATAACAGTTTTCCCCAGGGGGGAAACGGCTATATAACACCGTTTCTCACTTTTTTGTTGTCCAACGTCGCAGCGTGGTGAAGGGAAAATAGAAATGCCGGTTGGCCTTTCGGTCGTCCGGTGTTGAAAGCGCTCTCATTCGAACAACTCTTGTCAGGTTTATATGAAATTTTAGAAATACCAAAATCATCTTTTTTTTTCAGATGCATTTTCTTGGTCATGCAGAAGCTTATTTTCAAGTTTCAACACATTCTATGATGGTTTAACAAAGTTAGTGATATCTAATAAAAGTATTTACTTGTTAACTGCACCCACTTATCGGTAAAATACGAAAAAATAAAAATGATGTATACAAATTTTGATTCAAACATCATCTCTTAATCATAAACATTATAAAAAAGTTTCTGTCAAAGTTTCATATAATTCCATGCAGGTTTGACAAAGTAATTTGATGTCGAAAAAACTTTAACCTCAGACTGCCAGTAACTAAATGTTTACTGCAAAAAAAAACTTAAGTTTCATCAGTAAAATACGTCAAAATGGGGAAAAAATACTTTCAAAGTTTTAACTCTGGATACTATTTTCTTATCATAAAAAAGTTTCTGTCTGATTTAACCTTTGGCTGTACTTTAATATTATCTGCGAATAAAACCTAAGTTCATTTATTAGTAAAATACTTAAAAATGAAAAAAAAACATTCTAAATGTTACTCTGAATACTGTCTTTTGATCCTTAAAAAGGTTCTAAGAAACATTAAATTACAAGTAGATTTATCAAATTTATTGATGTCTAACAAAACATTAGCCACAAACTGAACTTAAATATTGACGCCGAGTTACGAACGACGAAATGTCGCGCTTCCTCGACAAAATGTCGCAGGCTCGACAAAAATTAAACCGAAAACATAGCTCAGATCATGTCGTTGTCTGGTGAGCTTTCTTATTGGAAATGCAGCAAAACAAACGAACTTTCAATATCTATATATTAGTTATATATAAGCCTCGTTTCGATTAGACTAACAGATATATAAAAGCAACACATATTGATAATAAACCGAACCTGTAAATCTCTTTTGTTCCAAAATCGTTTACTGCAGTAGTTACAGATGTGTGTGAGGTGCTGTTCCTTACTTTCCGAATGGATTATCATGTGTCTTCTTAAAGCATTCTTACTACTGAATATTTTACCACATGTACTACAAATGTTACGGTCTGTAACAGAAAGGTGATATTTCACATGATATTTTAAACGATTACTATCGGGAAATGTTCGGTCACACACTGTACAAACGTAAGGTCGTTCCACTTCTACATGGGTTGTTTTAGGTGTGTTCATATCGCTATCATGGCAATAATCTGTACAGCTGTCGTCGGTATCGGGTCTTATATTGCTGTTTAAACAATTGCTTTGATTTAAATCCTTAATTGTGTTGTTATGTTCACTAGGATGGGATATAATGTTCTGGGTAAGCTCGCTTATTGAATTTTTATTACAGCTTTTTTCTGTATGAGAAGTACGTTGTCCTATTGCAATACCATTTTGACTAAAACCTGATTCAAAATTACTGTTTGATACGACACTAGTATTTGAATCCACAAGTCTAGACAAGTCCCTGTGTTGACTATTTGATTCCACAAGTCTAGTCAAGTCACCGTGTTGACTATTTGATTCCATAAGTCTAGTCAAGTCTTTGTGTTGACTATTTGATTCTACAAGTCTGGTCAAGTCATTGCGTTGAATATTTGATTCCACAAATTTAGTCAAGTCACTGTGTTGACTATTTGATTCAATAAGTTTAGTCAAGTCCCTTTGTTGACTATTTGATTCCACACTTCTAGTCAAGTCATTGTGTTGACTATTTGATTCAACAAGGCTAGTCAAGTCACTGTGTTGACTATTTCCATTGTAATTTTCGTTTGTGGTTTCTGTATGATATTCCATATGTCTGATCAAATCAATATTTTTAACAAATGATTTACTACATTTCTCATCTGTCTTGGAAGCATGAGATTTAATGTGTCTTGTCAAATCACAGTTCTGACTAAACTCTTTACCACAAACCTCGCATGAAAAAGGTTTCTCGCCTGTGTGACCTCTCATATGGAGCTTTAATTCAGTACTTCGAACAAATCCTTTGTCACAAACTCCACAGACGTAAACATTCTCCTTTGTATGTTTCCTCATGGTGTGTTCCTTTAAGTTAAATTCACGTTTAAAGCGCTCGCCGCAAGTAGTACATTGAAAAGGCTGTTCACCCGTGTGTTTTCTCATGTGTTGTTGCAAGTCACAGTTATTGGTGAAACCTTTATTGCAAACGGAGCAATATTGTGAAAATTGACCGGCATGTATCTTCATATGAACATTATAATTACTATTGGTGGCAAACTGTTTGCCACATTTATCACAAGAATACGGTTTATATCCCGTATGGATTCTCATGTGAATATTGAGATTGCCGTTCTGTGCAAATGTTTTCTCACATACTGTACACGAATACGGCTTTTCCCCCGTATGGGTTCTCACGTGTTTCTTCAGGTCCCTATGATTTGTAAAACCCTTTCCACATTCACTACAAAAGTGCTTCAACGGTAGTTTTACTTTCTCACCAGTATGGATCCTCGCGTGTGCCTTTAAGTGACTGCTATTTACGAATCGATGATCACATATACCACATATGAAAGGTTTGTCACCAGTATGGGCTCTCATGTGCATTTTCAAGTTTCCACTTTGTGTGAACGACTTTTGACAAAGAGTGCAGGCATATGGTCTTTCACCTGTATGTATTCTCACATGTTTTCGTAGATCTACATTACTTTTGAACCCTCTGCTGCATGTCGTACAGATGTGTGTTCTTTCTGGATCATTAATCGGATTCGTCGTGGTCATATCCTCTTTTAAATGAATAACACTCTGAGACATTGTGTACTGCTTTCCATTTTCGCTATGCATGGCCAATTCCCTGCCACACGCATCGACATTTTCCTCTAAACATACTTTTGTAATTTCCATTGTCATAAATATTTGTCACAAACAAGAGACAATGTTGATCTTTTGCCTCCTTCTTAACACCGGTTTAATTTTCTGCATGTTAACGAACTTTGTAAATCATGTGTATTATAGCGATCCGTTCACACAGGTAATATTCAACCCTTTCTACACACGTTTAAATATCAAGATTATTGATTAAGGTTGCCTTCATAACACCATTCATTCAGTAAACCCGATTGATCTATTTAAAATTTTTACAAAGAAGTATTTAAATCTGAGACTACTATACTATGTGTGTTATATAGTTAACTTTGAGTCTTGTTATATAGTATATGGTTGCCTAATTATAAAGGAGCAAGTTAGCAGAATAGCTATTCAAGATCATTCAAGCTGCTGCAGAACACTTGTCTTAAATCTGGGAATGGCATAGTAATCAATATATTATGTCCCAGCTTAAATAAAATACATGTTCTAGTAGTATTTACCATCTTTACTGGTATTGTTATACAAATGTTTCCGCTAGACATCCCATCCATGTACCTGACAACGATTTGAAAGTATATATATATAAAGCTTACTTTTAAAAAGATATTTTATTTCGGTGATCAAACTGACACAACTGAAAAGGGTCTTTCGTTGTATGCACGTCATATATATGTGCTGTTTGTTGCTGAAAATTTCAAAAGCAAACGTGACAATACTTTATTAATAATTTAAATAAATTGACTCACTGATTGAAGAAAAACAAACTCAAAGGCAGATCAACTATAAATTATAATGATTGTATTTGTTATACATTACTTATCGTATATAAAGACTAAGGAAAATCAATTGAACAACTGGAAATGTATTACAAATCAGCAAATGATTACAACTGTCTTGATTTTGGATTGTGTGCAGAAAAAGAGCAAAATTTATATTAAAACACCTAGATTGTTGCATAGTGTACCAATTTCTCCAAGTGCACAGTATACCCATACATATTATCAGTAAGACATGTTGATGATCTTTATGGATATATACACTTACATGTAAAGTTGAGCGGTTTCAACTTCTTTTCTTTATTCAGTAGTTACTAAGTCCAGGTCCTAGTTGGAGTGACATCTTTTTTTAAAAAGATTCATAGTTATATAGTTATATAAGGACTTCGAAGCATCCAGTGCATATGTATATTTTACAATTTAAAATAAAATCGAGAATGGAAATGGGGAATGTGTCAAAGAGACAACAACCCGACCATAGAGCAGACAACAGCCGAAGGCCACCAATGGGTCTTCAATGCAGCGAAAAACTCCCGCACCCGGAGGCGTCCTTCAGCTGGCCCCTAAACAAATATGCATACTAGTTCAGTGATAATGGACGTCATACTAAACTCCAAATTAAACACAAGAAACTAAAATTAAAAATGATACAAGACTAACAAAGGCCAGAGGCTCCTGACTTGGGACAGGCGCAAAAATGCGGCGGGGTTAAACATGTTTTTTGAGATCTCAACCCTCCCCCTATACCTCTAGCCAATGTAGAAAAAACAAACGTACAACAGTACGCACAGTAAAACTCAGTTTAAGAGAAGTCCGAGTCCGATGTCAGAATAGGAAACAAAAGAAAATAAACAAAATGACAATAATACATAAATAACAACAGACTACTAGCAGTTACTGACATGCCAGCTCCAGACCTCAATTAAACTGATTGAAAGATTATGTCTTCATCATATTATCTGTAATTTCTGTTTTGTCCACTGTCATAACTTAAAAGGTCGTACTGTGAAATCAAGTCAAAAGCTATGATGAATATACCTAACTATTTCTTTTTATCAAACACAATTACTTAATGCTATGACAAAAATTCGATTTAAAAAGCACATGAACGTCAGAACGAAACAGATATAATGCTATACTGATTTTCATGTTTAAAACATCAATAGTTCAATGAAATTATGATGGGTTTGTAGAACGTACACTGTAGGTTTCCTAGGCCGTGTTCACATTAGTCTAAACTCGGTGTGACGTAGGTGTATTCAACACTTAAACTAAACTCTATCACGTTCTCATTGATTAAAAAAAACCAATGTTTACAGGCATGTAGTTTTAGCCAGGTTTCAACTACACGAAGTCTATAGTCAATGTAGGCCTCGTGTGGGTTAAGTGTTCATCAAATTAGAAATTAAAAACGTGGATTTTATTATGAGTATTTTAGAAAGTTGCATGTATTGAATAAAAATTATTATACATTTTGTAACTATATTATGAATTAAGTTGTCTACCTATTTATTATCTTAATTTTTAAATCTTTCATGACAAACTTTATGTTATGAAAAGGTTACTTTCTTTTGAAACACTTCTTACGATGCTATTTTGCTGATCTCAACCTGTCACAAACTTTTTGGAAAAACAAGATGATATCATCGCGTCCATATTGTCCTTAATACGGGGAATCGGTTGACAATCTTATTCAGTTATTTTATTAATTTTCCTAAAATCAATGCAAGATCTAATACCTTGATCTTTCTTTTCGTGAACATATGATAACGGGGGACACCAAGCACTACTTCAGGGTTCTATGATGCCCCAGCCTCGATGACATGTCTGGTAAATCTTTCTCTGTAAGCTCTGTTATACTAAAGAAAGTCTATATAGTTTTAATTTAATGGGTTTTGGGTTTTGCGTTGCCCGTGTTAATTTTGTAGTAAACAATTTTCGGCTTGTATTTCCTATCCTGATTTTTTTATAGAGGGTTGCTGCTCACAAGGAAGCTATTAAACTAAGAGTTCCAAGTGGTGAAGTTGAAATCATCACTTCGTAAAATGCACGGACGCCATCACGAGTTTGTTGACCGTTATGGAATATTCCTTACTGAAAAAAATCAGCCTCCTGCAAATATTTGCTTCAAGCCTGCAGCGAACTTGCTGCAGACTTGTAGCGAACACAATGTCTGTATTTGCGGCGTGTTTGCTGTAAATGTGCTGCAGGTCTGCTGCAAACAATTTACCATACAAGTGAGTGTTTGATGTAGACCTGCAGCAAACATTTATATGCAAATGAGTGTTTGCTGCAGACCTGCTGCAAACGTTTTTATGCAAATTAATCTTTCTCCTGCGTGTTTGCTGCAGACCTGCGGCAAACATTTATATGCAAATTAATCTTTCTCCTTCATGTTTGCTGCAAACTTGCAGGAACTACATAAATTATACAATTAACCAATGTCATGTTGCACATCACATTATCTATATTACACAGCAAATTCTGAAAAAAAGTTAGGTTACATACAAATAATTCAAATACTTCATCATTTGCAAAATTATCATAGCATAAGTAAATTATAACCTTTTAAGAAATAATTTAAAGTTTTTTTTGTTGTTGAAGTGCTCAAATGAATTGAATATCTAAAATACAAAAGAAAGGCGGCTTTTATCATTTTGTGCCCACAGCTAGTTAAATTAATTTTATCACAAAATTCAACTTGACTTATTCATGTTATTGAAACATAATATTTAACAAGTAACAATCTCCAAACATATTAGAGAGTACTGTATATTTGTTACATGTTTGCAAACGTTTTTCAAACCTTCATGCATGCAGGTATATTTGTGGAGGGGACGAATTTCATAAGTTTACAGTTCTTTGAAGAATTTGTACATACAAATAATGTCTTTGAAAACTAAACATTTTATATCCATCCTAAAATGCCTCCCTGAACACTAATATATAACGTCATGACTCAAACACCATCAACATGATTAAGCACCGAATTTCAAATCTTTATCTTCCAGGAAGTTACCAATAGGCATGCTCAGTCATTTTATGTAATTCTTGCAATGCTCTTGCAAAAATATAGAATTGTCAAAGATTTCTGCAATCTAGCTGCGAACATCCCTTATATTCTAGTTTTTCCAGCAATCTTGCTGCAAACATAATTGTTTCTGCAAACTTGCCACAAGCTTGCAGCAAAAAGCTGTAATGTTTGCAGAAGGTTTGCAGCTATCTGCAAACATTATTCAAAGGGTTCCTGTAAACTTTTTGTTTGCAGCAAACCTGCAGCAAGTAAATGATTCGTTTCACAGATGACAACGGATATGTTCCAATTGTCGTAATTCTACAATCCCGCCTCCTTTTCACCGAATGTGACCTATCGAATTAGACTTATCACCAGGTCTGTACTAACATGAGCAATACGACTGGTGCCATATGTGGAGCAGGATCTGCTTACCCTTCCGGAGCACCTGAGATCATCCCAGTTTTTGGTGGGGTTCGTGTTGCTCAGTCTTTAGTTTTCAATGCTGTGTTTTATGTAGTTGTTTGTCTGTTGGTCTTTTCCCTTATTTGCCATGGCGTTGTCAGTTTGAGTGTGAATGTCCCTTTGGTATCTTTTGCCTTTCTTTTTCAGTATCAGATAGGCTTTTTTTTTTTAAATAAACGTCTTAATAACAACATAAAAACTCTCTTAACTTCTTGAATTCAATATTATCAAAATATTTTGATCTGTTCTCAAATACACCCTTTCAATGATCAGGAATGTCTACTTCAATCTTAATCTTCGCACAAATAGCCCAACCCGAGAGAGGTCAAAGTTTTGTTTTAGCTCCGTACGTGTTAAAGGCCTCACTGTGACTTTGAGACGAGGAACAGCAATGAAAGCGCTGTTCCTTTCTTTTTTTCTTGCTGTGCATGTACTTATTTTGTGTCATGGATGGACACCCTATATTCTTTGTTTTTTTATTATGTTCAAAAGTATAAACTGTTGTGTTTTATAAACTTTGACAGGTTCTGTGTTAAAATTAACCACTCTTAAAGGTATGAAGTTTGAATTTGACTGAACAACTTCACCGGCTTATGACAAACCAGTTTGTTTTTTTAATAAAAGACTTTTCTCTTAACGACCTACTTCATTAAATGTAAAGGGTCCACAGGGCGGAATGCCAACATTTTCTGCAATTGAAATTCAACAGTTTGAGCTATCCTCTTTATTTGTGTCCTTATCAGGCAACTTTTGCTCAAAAGATGATAAAATCAGGAAATCCATACCAAGTATGGCAATATCTTTGATTTCAGCCAACAAAAAATCGTGTTTAAACACATGTTTTCCCTAATTTATATTTCTAAGTTAACTTTCCCAATTAACTGTGAAGCTTCTCCAGTACTGAAGCTACTAATAAATTTATTCTAACAGGCAAGACTACTAAAGAATTTTTTTTCTCGAAATGGAGACGCTCGCCTCCTATCAACCAACATATTAAAAAACATAGATAATTTATATTATCAACTACAAAATATCAATTATCTTTTCCCCAAGAAACACTTTAAATAACTGTGTTGGGTTTCTTTTAATGTTGTTGAGCCACAACCTGCACACTCAACGCTTGGTAATTTTCAGCATTATTATTCCTAATGGCCCCTACTTAATTTTGTACATTCCTTGTACCTAATTCAAGTTCTTTTATTTCGCTGACCATTTTACTATCATTTGCGTCACATGCATCAGCTGTTCTCACCAAATGCCCCTTTTGTCTATCTGCCAGTCTCAAAGATTCAAGGCGAACAGCAATATTTTCGGCTACATAAATTGTATTCTCTTAACCAAAGATGGACATCAGTTTCAGTTGTACATGTAGTGTCAATAAAGTAATCACGAGGGTGTCTAGGACTATAAAAGAACCCGTTTAAGCTTGCCTTGTAAGTTTTTGAATTGTTTGAGTCAGTTCAGGCAAACTTTCACTTCTTAATCAACCATTTTCTGTAGTGTACACCTGAAAACCAATCACTAAGTTCTGTAAAAAGATTAAATTGTGGCAGATATTCTTCTAGATCCATCAAAAAAGATTAAAAATATGTGATGATGCTACTACAAAGGTTACTCAAGTGATCAACCGGAATTCATTTGATTCTGACACACAGACAGAAGGACAGTCTGACAAAGCGATTACTATATGATCCTGAAATTTTTTTCAGACGCATTAAAAGTCTAGACAAGAATTCCAGGACTGCAAAAGAAGGTCAATGAAATCATTAACTGTATTTCATCTGTATTTTATCAATATATAACTGCACAACAAAAACCTTGATAACATTTAAAGAAAGATCATGTAAAATGATATGTCACAGCCACTTCTTGGCAAGCACAATAAAGGAAAATTAACTATTGTAGATTTTTTAATTAGTATTATCATATAAAAACAATAAAATACAACCAATGTCAAATTCAATTGATAATATTTTCAAAATTAGTACCTTGAGTATTACCTATAAGAAATAAAAGAAACCATAACATATCTTGGTAAATATGTTTTAACTAATTCAAATCATTAAAAGTCTCTACCATAAACTATCAAATATGACTCCTGTGGTTTTATCATGTATAATACAAAGCAAACAAAGTGACTAGTTTTGACAAAACTTGCTGAACACAATCATTTGATTACATGCATAGAGAAATAAGTAAAAATAATGAAAGCTTTGAAAATCAGGACTGCGATGTTGAAGAAAAGTAACAAAATATTAAAATCCCCTTTTCTGAACTGTTTAAATCTGCAACCATTCATAAATGATGACTAGAATTGATAATACTAGAGTATATAAACATCATAGGTTATAAACAATAACAGAATAATAAAAATTTTCACATTAAAGTATAATAGCTAGCTGATTAGTTTGCAAGAAAATACTATTTATTATTTCATTCTAATAAAAGAAACAATTTTATTTAAAAAAACGACTGCATAGCAAATGTAGAGATGTCTTTAATGCTTCATGTTGCATAAAAAAGTGTAGAAAACCTAGTTACAATTTTTCCTTCTATTGTTTCACAAATAATTTATATTGTATTTTATACATTTTAATTTTAATCAAAATATACATTATTTTTTCAGTAAACAGTCTTTACCTAGCCAAGTAAAATTAGGTGAATAATAAGAAATTGTATCGCATTCTATAATGATATGGAAGACATAAAAATTTAATTCCTTTAAAGCTAGTCACAGTTAAAATGCTGGTTTAGGTGATTCACAAATACTGTTCTGTAATAGCTAAAATAAAAGATTTTAATTACTGCTGATATATATATATATATATATAATTGTTTTGATTTACACTGTTCATATAACATATAATAATAATTGATTGATTTTTGGTGTTTAAAGTTATATTGTGGCAGGCAGTTTTTATTGGTGAAAGAATCTTGAGTGCCCCAAAAAAGAGCCACGGACCTTCATATCAACACTATATTACACTGTTCAGATAACATTATATTACATTGTTAACATAATATTACACTGTCTAGATAACACTAAATCACACTGTTCATATAACATAATATCACATTAGATAACATAATATTACATTGTCAACATAACATAATATTACCCTGTTCACATATTATATCATTACATTGTTCACATAACAAAATACATAATTATTCTGATAATATATAATATTGAAACACTTTTTATTCTTAGTTCCTTTATCTTTTAGGTTCCTTCATTGATAATCACAAATAAAAATCAGTGAAACTTTACCTGGGTGAGTATTCTTGATAATCAACAGACTAGATTAATTCTTTGACTAGAATATAATAAACTGTTGATGCAAAGATATGTCTGGCTTTTTTGTAATTACTGCAAATATTAAAATTAAAATGGCAATAATTAAACATGTATACTATGCAAAACATTCAGAGTCATGACTGAAGGCGCAGGGCCAAAAAACCTCTATGGAAATGAGAAATGCCAATGCTTTTAAAACTGAATAACAAATACCATTGACCTATCATAAGTGGTTCCCATTAAACTAACCTAAACACAAACTTTAACTTGTAAACTATGAAAAAAGTGTCAGCGTCAATGAACCATGATGAGGTGGCAGGGTCATATTATCTCAATGGAAATCAGACTTGCAAATGCTTATACAAATGCATACCAAATATTATTGACTTAACATTAGTTGTTCATCTTAAACTCATCTAATGACAAACTTCATCTATCATGTCTAATCTATGCAAATATTCAAAGTCAATGGACCATGACTGAGAGGATGGAGCCAAATAATCTCTATAGAAATGAGATGTGCCAATGCTAATACACATTCATACCATCATTGACATATTACTAATGGTTCGACTTAATCTTACATACTAATACATTTAAATTAAGCAAAAGTTTCAAAGTCAATAGACCATGACTGAGGGAGCAGGGCCAAATAATCTCTATGGAAATGAGAAGTAACAATGCTAATTCAACTGCATACCAAATATCATTGACATACCACTAGTGGTTTTCCATAAACTTACCTAATCACAAACGAATACATAGTTGATGCTGCCACCAGAAACAGCACGTCTAAGTCTTGCTTTTTCGACTTTGTCAAAGAGAGACAACAATTGATTGCTTTTAACACATAAAAAAAATAATAAACTTTGGTAAACTGTTATAGCTTCTGACAATAAAATCAATCAGATTATTAATCACTAGACATAATGCAAAGCCGTTCCAATAAATTTCATTCAGTATAATTTGTTCATCAAAAACTATATTATGTAAAATTAAAAAAATTTCTAAGGTACAATCAATCATAAATCTTAAAGAACATTAATCTAATATGAGTATTCTTTATATGCTACAGACTAGATTAATTTATGGACTCAAATATCAATATTGACAAAGTGCAAGTTTTCAATAACCATAAGTAAAATGCTACTAGTAATAATTATAATTAAACAGATAAAATTGCACATTTATAATTTGATTAAATGGGAAAAGCAATTATACTCATTACATATAATTAGGACCAGTACATCAAATGATATTATACTTTTATAATCCTTCCGATTCACGGTATACCAATTGCAAAAAGAGAATAGTTTTAAGTTCAATAGTCTGTATCAAAATATCTTTTTGTTGGAAATTTTATATTATAATATGTTAATATATTATGCTTCTACTCTTCAAGTAATGAAAAGTTGTACAAACATTTTAAATCATGCAAATATTTTTTCATCAATAATGAAAAAAAGTAATAGAATCATATAAAATGAACAACACAACCTTTGACCTTAGTGGTTTAAAATGCTTTACATGAGTTTTAAAAAATATAAATTGAATAACATTTGTATAATACAACATATATAAATTATATACAGTATATATAAATATATAAAAATGTTTGATATGTGCTCTGGATTGCTTGGAATGTAACTTAAAATAAACACAAAATATGGTGTAAAGTTAACTTTATAAATGCAACCTTTCACAGGCTTTTGCAAAAATGAAAACTGAAATGTATTTTTATTTCAAGCAAACGTCACTATTTTCCTCTGCAATATTTTGAAATTATCATTATGTTTTAGACTTTTTATAAAGTGAATCAGGTTTTATTTTGAATTAACCATTGTAGTTTTATTGAAATCTGTTCAAGATCTATTACTATAAAATTTTTAATTATTGCATACACTTTTAATTATCTTTCCTTTTTATTCTAATATGAATTTTCAAAGTGAAATCTAAATCTATTAATTAAAGCTTTTTTAAAAGCTAAAAGTTGTAAAATGATCAAATTAATTTTTTAACATGTCTTCTTACTGGTTTTGTCAAAGTCTGCATATAATAGATATAAGAAGATGTGGTATGAGTGCCAATGAGACAACTCTCCATCCAAGTCAAAATTTATAATTTATAAAATTTAAAAGCCTATTGAAAATTTGTACTACGTTGAACATTTAAATTCGTAGTTTATTGATACCCATTAAACATGGTATCCCATGAACTATTTTGAATCCACAATATATATTACTCCAACGTTAATTACAAATGTTAATAATTTTTTCAGTGTTTCATTCATCTCAAAAATTGCAAATCAATATTAAAGTTTAATGGTTTCAATACAAGAACTATGTACACGGTAATATCAACAATTATGTCTCACTACAACTATTTACAACAAAATTATGGAGAAAAAAATGCAGTGTATATATATATAATTGTGTAGCCATCGGAATTATATAATTTCTATTTTCAAAACATTCAAACATCTAATGGAAGTTATTTAAGTAACCTGTCTACAAGAATGTTATACGGCAAGCTCCTGCTATAAAGGTTGATAAAAAAAATCACAATGATACAATTACGCTTCAACACTATTTGTAACTGGCTTTTGATTTTCAAAATAAATCTTAAAATGAAAGACTCATAATCCTAAGATAGTCAAACTATAATAAGATTCACCATAGCTTTCATATCATACGTTAATTCTAAGAGATTCTGTCCCCAAATATAATAAAGACATATAAAAAAATATAAAAAATGATGAAAAATTACATGTAAAAATATACCAAAAAAGTATTTTTCATTGTCCCTTAATAAAAGAGTTAAAAAGGACTAGAATAATTCGATAATTGTCTGCTTTGTTTTGTCTTATAACCAAAAATTAATCGAAATTAAGAAGGAACCAATCAGTAGAAAAACTGACATGAAAACTGCATCAGCTCCAGCTCTGAACTCTGTTAATGTCTGATCAATAGCTACATTGGAACCACCTACAATCATAATAAAAAAAAATTTACAACATTTTAAAATAGCTTATAAAGTATATAAGATATCTTACAAAATTTATAAGATACCTTATATATTATATGAGATATCTTGAATTTGGAATAAATAGTAAAACAGCTTGCCATAGATAATGGATAAATATATGTTTGATAGCAACACAAGGAATAACAAAAAGAAATTTATGCACACAAACTAGAGGCTTACATGAGCCTGTATTGCTCACCTGAAATTTTGCATAAAAGTGGTACATAGCAACAAGGTTATTTGTGTAGAATGGGAAATTGTATGGACCAAAATCTTGTCTTGCTAATTATTTCAGTTGGACATAGCTTTTGCCTGTTAATTAACAGAACTATACTTTTCAAGATAATAGTCAAAAATTCATAAGGGTTCCACGGAACCCAGTGTCTTGCCTACTTTTGCTGTTGTCTATGTTTTCAGTGTGATAGGGGAATGCACATAATAGATACAGTTAATGAAATGGTTTATGAATCTAGTAAATGTTTTTAAAACTTTAACTGCAGACTGTTTGTAATGTTAACTGGAAGAAAAACTAAGTCCATTTATAAGTAATATACGGAAAAACAGGATTTTTTTTTCACAAAATTTACTTCTGGATACTAACTTTTGATGATAAGCAAGCTTCTGTCCAAGTTTGGTACAAATCCAGGATAGTTTAAGAAAGTTATTAAAATTTTAAAAACTTTAACCACAGAGTGAATGTAATGTTAACTGGCAGAAAAACTAAGTCCATTTATAAGTAAAATACGGAGAAACAGGATTTTTTTTTTACAAAATTTACTTCTGGATACTATCTTATGATCATAAACAAGCTTCTGTCCAAGTTTGGTAGAAATCCAGGATAGTTTAAGAAAGTTATTAAAATTTCAAAAACTTTAACCACAGAGTGAATATTGGTGGACGCCGCCGCCAACGATGGAATGTAGGAATGCTATGTCTCGCTTTTGCGACAAAAGTCGCAGGCTCAACAAAAATGACAAAAGGTTAAAACTATAAGGAGTTATCTGACAATTTCAATCATATTGATCATATCGGTCAATTTGAAATAACATGCAATTATCTAAGTCAATTTGAAAATAAAGTTGAGAGTATATCAGTAAATGTAGAGAAAAAAAAATTAGTTTGACCTATCAATGTGCAAAATCAATTGTTTTAGATTTTACATGCACGGCATCTGAGAAAATAAACAGTTTGATATTTTACCAGATATTGAACTATCTCAGCCTTTACCTGTCAATGTGAAATAAAGTGTTATAGATTTTTTGCCTGATCCACCATCACTCATTGCAGCTACTCTAACTGCATAAATAATTCCTTTCTTCAAATTCGTCAAGACATAAGAAGTAACCAGTCCATCAGTGTCAATTTCTTCTGCTGATCTAAAGTGTTCATTAGAAGGCCAAAGATACAACTGCAAGAAACAATTGTATGTATAAAGATCATGCTACATATATATTTTTCCTTTTTTGTAGAGTTTAAAACTGTTTTAATTAATCATAAACATATAATACAATAGATTGGCAACTTTTTAATGGCTATAATATCTATTGACTATGTCAATATTCTCTCTCACTATCAATTTAACTACTATTTTACATACTAACATATTCCTTTTCTTATATAATTTTTTTCCCTTTTTCAGATTTCCCACAGAAATGTCTCACCTACTATAATGACCATTGATTTTATGTTGATAGTCCTACATATAAAGTTTTAACATTTATGATCCAAGAAAATGAGGTCAAGGTCAGATAAACCAAGCTGGAAATACATGTACACCTGTAATACAATCATTCCATACACAGAATATAGATGACCTATTGCTTATAGTATAAAAGAAACAGACCAAACAATGGAAATTCTATATTGACCAATGAACCATGAAAATGAAGTCAAGGTCAGATGAACCCTGCCAGACAGACATGTACACCTTAAAATCATTCTATGCATCAAATAAAGTTGACCTATTGCTTACAGTATCTAAGAAACAAAGTTAACCAGGAGAACTGAACATTGACCAATGGACCATGAAAATGAGGTGAAGGTCAGATGATACCTACCATATACACATTACAATCATTCTATACACCAAATATAGTAGACCTATTGGTTATAGTATCTGAGATATGGACTTGACAATTTAAATACATCATAAAAGTCTTAAATAGATAATTTAAAAGCAGTGTAAGGGAGGTAATCCAACATTGTACAACTTTGTTTTTGGATTACTTCCCTTACACTGCTATTAAATTGTCCATTAACCAGGAAACCCTTGTTTTTCCTCCTTTTTGCCCCTAATTCCTAAACGGTTTGAGCCATAACCCCCAAAGCCAATCCTAACCATCCCTATGTGGTATGGAAACTTGTGGTATAATTTCAGAGAGATCCATACACTTTAACACAAGTTATTGTCTGGAAGTTACAACAAGAGGCTCTCAAGAGCCTGAATCGCTCACCTGCATTTCAGAGGAGAAGATTTTTAAATGTTACCAAACTTGATGAACAAATTGTGTAATATTGTCTTTAAAGGGCAATAACTCCTAAAGGGGTCAATTGACAATTTTGGTCATTTTCACTTTTTTGTAGATCTTACTTTGCTGAACATTATTGCTGCTTACAGTTTATATATATCTATGATAATATTCAAAATAATAACAAAAAACTGCAAAAAATTTTGTAAAACTACCAATTCGGTGGCAGCAACCCAACAATGGGTTGTTTGATTCGTCTGATAATTTCAGGGCCGATAGTTCTTGACTAATTAAACAATTTTACCCCGTCACATTTGCTCTAAAAGATTTAGTTTTTGAGATATAAGCCAAAAAAAGCATTTGACCCCATGTTCTATTTTTAGCCATGGTGGCCATGTTTGTCAATGGATCAAAACTTCGGATACAATTTATAAACTAGATACCCTAAGGAACATTAAATTAAAGTTTGAAGGTATTTGGCCCAGTAGTTTCAGAGGAGATTTTTTAAATAGTTTACGACGACAGACGGCGACGGACGCCAAGTGATGGCATAAGCTCATATGGGGCCCTTTGGTGATTGTGCGAAAACCAATGTGTCTTCGGACGACGACGACGCCAACGTCATACCAATATACAACCGCAAAAATTTTTCGCAGTCGTATAAAAATAACCAGGATATTCTAAACAAGAAAACATTAAAAAAAATTTCAAAAATTAAATGATTTTCTTGTGAAATGTGAACATCAAAGGCAGAATTTTTGGGTTTGAGTAATTAATAACGACATGTCTTAAAAAATCATGTTTACCTTTGTCTCGTTAAGCAATGAAACACAAGAGCATGCATGGTGTATGGCTAAAATGCTGTCAGTAGATAGCATAATATGGTTATTTATGGGCTTGCATTTAGCTTTTGAAATCATGAGGTTATAGTCATAAGCAGGATAAACAAGTTGAAATGTATTAGTTTAAACATATTTTATTTGCTGAATTAAAGCAAAATAGATAAGACACAAGTAAATCATATTTATGAAGTCTTCTCATTGAACTGTTACCCTGGTATAAGAGTAAAATAAACAGGAAGTTTATAAATATACAAGATTAAAACATACCCTATAATTTGCAATAGTGGCTTCATCAAATTCAATCAAAATACCTCTCCATGAGACTACAACGGATGTTGCTGAATGGGAGTGCACTGCTACTTCCGTTGGATATAATCTTGAAGCTGTAACAAAAACAATAACATTGGTTTTACTTACATATACAATTTCTTGGTTATAAATAATTTCTAAGTTAAAACATCAAAGTAACTTACAAATGTTATCAATTACTTATATACAGAGAGCAACCTACTGTTTTCATTCATTGTTGGTATTAGACAAATACCCAACAAGTAGAATTTGCTCACTAATGATACTTGTGCTTTAAGTATTCGGTAAACAGGAAGTTGAAGAGAAATTGATATGAACAGGCACCATGCAGTATAGTATGATCACATGATGCCTGAAAACAAATTTCAGGAAGCTCTTATATGTAGTTCTCTAGAAAAATGCAATGAAAATTTCATAGATGACCAGTATGTGTTTTTAGAATATACAAGTTTTCTGTTGAACAGAAAGTTAAAGAGTTTTGAATTTGAAAAAACACCAAAAGTACAGCATTCTCACATAAAGCCTGATACAAAATTTCTGGAAGTTCTGACTTATGTTTCTTAAGAAAATCGCAATTGAAATTTCATAGGACAAACAGATGGATTGACATACAGACAGACGGACGAACAGACAGTGGTAAAACAGTATACCCCTCCTCTATTGTAATTGATAGAATGACGGTTTTTAATGTAGACCGGGAGATCATTCATGTACATTTAGAACAAGTCATTAATGTCTCATATTCCCAGTTTCAAATTTTTAAAAAATGTGCTTTTTCAGTATTAAACCCAAGACCATTTATAGACTAAACGATATGACACCTACTCATTGATAAAAAACATAAATTGAGCTCTAAAATATAGATTTTTAAATGCTTTTTGTTGTTGGCTTGCCTTATCATTAATGTTTTTATTTTCTCTTTTTACTTGTGTTGCCAATGGGGAATTCAGATCTACTAATTGCTTGATTCCACCCATCATTAGATCTGATTGTCTAAAAGACCTTGGGTAGAAACATTTCTTCAATTTTTCTATGGAAGCGAATAATTTTATATTTGATCTGAAGCTTCATAATAATGAAGTGTAACATGTAGGCAATTTTTAGATCTGCTGTGCAGCTACTTCCTATTTACCAATAGTTTAGCAAATAATTTTATATTTGTCTAGAGCTAGATAATGTTCAGTTGTAGCTTGTAAACTTTTTTTTACATATGCTGTGCAGCCACTTTTTTTAGAAGATAGTTTTAAAGTAAGATTCTTTAAACCTTTTCAGAAATAAAATAATTGTTGGAAATCATATTTGCGTTATAGTTTAAATCTGCGATAATTAACGATATCATACGCGACAGGGGCTAACCTATTGACCCTTATATTTGGCAACACAATCACTCTCTCTTGGTGTGTGCAGGAGGCAGGTAAACAGATGATACCAGTACACAGTATTTTTGTCATGGCGAACGTAGCTATTTGAGAAATAGTCACTGACATCAAAGATATACATGACAGCTATTATAAACTGCTTCGCCAAGGGCAGCCGGATACGACCACAGAGGTCCAACCCTGAACAGTTGGGGCAAAAATGGACACAATATTCAAGCTTGATACAGGTCTGAATTTTGATTATAAGTTTCTGACACAGAATAAATGTAGTCAAAGAACTTAAAATTGGTTATATGATTTGAATTTATATTCAGTTGAAGATTTCTTGCTTTTGTACAAATACAATTTTCTTTTTGTAAAATGTGGTACATTTTAAGAGACATCAATAGACTTAAACACAAGTTATTGTCTGAAAACTAGAAAATTGCTTGTTTTAGACCCTTTTTTACCCTAATTCCTGAACGGTTTGGACAATTACCCCCAAAATGAATCCCAACCTTCGACTTGTGGTATTGAACCTTGTGGTACAATTTCAGAGCAATCAATATACTAATACACAAGTTATTGTCCTGAAACTAGAAAAATGCTTGTTTTGGGCCCCTTTTTGGCCCCTAATTCCTAAACGGTTGGGACCATTACCCCGAAAAACAATCCCAACCTTTCTTTAGTGGTATTGAACCTTTTGGTAAAATTTCAAAGAGATCCATACACTTAAACTTAAGTTATTGTCCGGAAACCAAATGTCTTAGGACGACACCGACGACAACGATGACATGATAGCAATATACAACCCCAAAATTTTTTAGCAGACTTTAAAAACTACCTTGACCAAAAACTTTAACCAAAAAACTTTTAACTGAAGCGGGACAGACGGGCGGACGAACAAACAAACGGACGGACGAAAAGAAATGATGCACAGACCGAAAAACATAATGCCCCTAGGTGGGGCATAAAAATAGCATGCGTAGCAACTGGGACATAATATATTGCCAGTATACTATTTCGAGGTAGAAACAGATGAATACTATCCTGTCCGAAAAAATACCTCTGGCCTCCCCCAGAATATCAAATGGTTGTCCCGTTTTCAATAAATATAGGTAGAAAAGGGTACGTCTTTATCAATTGTCACCTGGTGAGATTGTACAAGGTAAAACTATGATTCCACATGACTAAGGTGTTAATTGACTTCTTAATTTATGACCTAATATAGGGATATGAAGTGACTCCCTCATATTTAGGTCTTTCCACTTTTCCGTGGAAAGACCTTTTGCTTTTGTTCTGATTATTTTTTTTTTTCTTCCGCCTAATTTTTTTTTTTGCACTGTATTGATGTTTCAAACGATGTCCCTTAAATATTTTTTATATGATATTGTACAGTTTATACGCTTTTGAAACTGACCCTGTTTAATCGAACACTTTTCTTTGTAAGAGTTATCTCCCCGAACACTGTTTTTCTCGTTATGACATCTCCTTCGCAACCGTAAAACAAAGCAACAAATTTATTTTTCCAAATTGCTTGTTATATCCTAAAAATGTTACGTTTAATTTTGACCGAAGCGTTATGAAGACTCCATATGAGAGTTATTTCCCCTTATGTATTTGAAATAAGTGATATGTATTTGTAACTTGTAAACCATAAGTGATAGAGACCTAGGGTTTTTTAATTTGAGGTCCTTGGTCCACTAAAAGAAAAATGAGGTCAAGGTTAAAGGTCAAGGTCATGTTCTAAATTTTGATTTTGGCTTGTTATTACTTACTATCAGAAGCCATATAAGATATCGACAAAATATTTTTACTAAATTGTTATATGCCACATGTCGTAACACATACATTTTGGTTGAACGGGTAAGTTGACAAAAAATGGGAGTTTTCTCCCCTCTCATATTTAGAACTAGCTGTATGGTGATATAACTCTCTTACCATATATAGAAGAGACCTAGATTTGACGTCCTTACTTTATGACCTTGAAATTTAGGTCAAGGTCATAGGTAAATTTGACATTCTATACTTCGACCTTTGCTCCAATTTTATATTTTATATTTGTAAATGATAAAGCCATGGGACTTCTTGCATTTTGTTGCAAGCCATATAACCTTGAAAAAGCCAACCAGAAGTGACCTTGTGTGAACCGGAAGTAGCTATTTTTTGTACTTATTTAATGTAAAAGTATATAGCAGTGTTCTCCCCAGGCCCTTAAAGGCCCGCGATGTATAATTTTCTACCGTGGTGGTATCGTTCTTGCCGCGATGTATAATTTTTCTCAGTGGTGCTAAAATTTTCGGTAAAATAATTGTAAATCGGTAAAGTTTTAAACGACTTGTTAAACCTTTTCCGTGGGTATAAAATTTCAGATGAAAATTGACCAGTTCAAACCAGTTCAATCCAGTTCTCACAACTAGATTGTTTACACCACGTGATCGATTTACCTTTTGAGGTTAACCTTGATGATTGGATTTAATCGGTGTACATGATTCTTTTGTGTTTTTATTAATTAAGAGATCATAATTAATGATCAGACTTGTGAGGGACAAGCAGACATTTGTTAATTAACTCTATTACTCCAGCCTTTGGTCATAAATAATTTGCGTATTTTAAATGTGTTGGAGATACTTCCCCTGATTAAGCTTATTACAAATAAGTGCTCCTAAAATATTATCTATCATTGAAAATAGAAATAAAGTACAAATTGAATGCTAAATTATATAAGAATGTTACCTTAAGGATAAAAACTTTCTTTGAACATACCAACAAAAATATATTGCAAATCATTTTTGATAATCATACTTTCATGAATGCACAGACATATTATAATAAATAGGTAGTATTTTCCAATTTGTAACTGACCGACCGTGCAAGGGCTGTATAGCCAGTCAAGGTCGTTAAAAACTTCCATTTTTTGTTTGTAACTGATTTGAGTTAAAGTAGTCCCAGTCTTTAGACACAGATTGTGAATGATACATGGGTGTACAGATAGATGATATTAATTTACTCTTCATGTCTGTCTACCAAGTAACACAAGAATGATTATAATAATAATTGTATTGTTGTTTAAAAGAATCATGTCTAAAGCTATGGAAAATAGTTTTTAATTTACTAAAGGTTCTGCATTTAAATTTAATCTTGTTTAAATTTAATTGTTATGGTGTAATCTAACAAAAATGGGGAATGTGTAGTGTAACTACAAGTATCAGGACAAATTGGCTTGATCAAAATATAAAAAGTGACTTTAGTTTAAAGACTAATAGTGCTTTCTTTTATTTTTTCTTAAAAGAAATTAAAGTATACAAACTGTTTATTGATTTACTTCTTTTTTTACCAGTAATTTTTTGACCCAAAGTCTACATAACACAGTAAACAAAACAAAGACAAAAAGGTAATGACACAAAAACTTAACAAGAAAAAAAAAAGCGATGCAACGCGACACAACATATTGTACAAATCATTTTGACACGCGTTACCCTGGTGCTATCCAAAACTCCTGGGGAGAACACTGTATAGAACCATATATTTTTGGAATCAGTGTCAAGTAAACTATCATACTATACCGGAAGTGACATTTTTAAACCTGAAGTAACAAATTATCTCCCTTATTTCAAACAAAAGTGTATAGAAACCATATATTTTTGGAATCAGCGCACAGTTAGCTATCATCTGACACTGGAAATGACATTTTAAACTCGATTTTAATATTTTCTTATCAAAATACATGGTTTTTTGGTGGAAAGACCTTCAATTGTTCTCTGAACAATTGGTTTTTAATTTATCTAATTTATTCTTCCCGCTAAATGAATGACCTCAGCGTGAATACAAGCTTTTTTTCATGACAATTAAAGATACAAAGTCAGTCGGCATATCAGATCGTCTATTACTGCAATCAACAACACAACAGTAGTCCGTGTTGAATCTTTTAATGTTTCATTGTTAATAAAGTTGTCTCATCAATATATATTTTGATTCAAATACTCCTCGTGTTGCATGTGCATGTAGAAGCAAACGCTTAATCAGGTGATTGTTTTTCAAGGTCTGCATGGTCACTGCTTATCAATTGTTAGCCCCCAGTCGAGGAATTCTCAGGAAATATCGCGTAATATCATAGTTGGGCTAATTGGGTTAGACATGCACAGTTAAATGTGAAACTGGTGTATTGAACATAGTTTTGAAAATCACCTTCATGAGTTGTACTTCATTACACAACTCTGTGCACTATTATACATACCTAAATGCAGAGTTTCCTGTTTGTACGAGTCACTAACAGGTCCAAGTCCAGCAGTGTTATACACTTGAATTTGAAACCAGAAATTAGAATCTGCCCATAGACCAATACACACAGCAGATTCCATCTGTCCTGGGAAACGTATATATGTCTTGTACAATGGTTCAATATCATCATCTGAATAGTAGTTTATCTAAAATAAAACAAAAATAACATGCAGGAACAATTATGTGGAAAAGAAAGTTTCCATTTTTATGCCCTGAAAAATAGATGTGCAAACTCTCCTAACAATTCAAATTATGATCAATTAAAATTTCTCTGACATAAAAAAAAACAAAACTAGAGGATGAATATATGAAATTATAATCATTATAAGGGTCGTAAATAAATAGATCTGCATATTTTCGCAAGCTACTTTTTTTTTACTCAGATATTTTTTCCTTCTGCTACATATGATCATATTTCTATTCATTTCAACATTACTTTTTAATCACATATTTGCATGTTATTTTGTTTTTATTGTTATCCAGATAACTGACTAAACTCTTCAGTTAAATCATTACTAACTTGGTAACCATAGAGACGACCTTTCATAACCGCCCTGGTATCTTCTACTGCATCCCATGTTACCTCCATAGCAGTAGAATTAAAAGCGTCTGCTAATACATTACCAGGTGCTGCTGTTGGCACTATAAAAAATATTTCATTCATATAAATTTTAAATAATTTTTTTTTTCATCAAGCAATTTTTCCTATTTCAGATATGTAGGAGATGCAAAGTTATTTAAATTTTCTAAAAAAAATCCAAAATTAAACATATAGGTGTCATGGAGGCACTTCTTTCAGACTCCAACTAGCCATAATAAATAATTTTCATTTTATTTATAATTCTTACAAAATTCCTAGGAAAATTCAACCGCCCACAATTAATTAAATTGAATGTCTCCCATCCTCCCCCACAATCAATTCTGGAACAGCCTGTAGTAGATTATATGGGATGTGCAGTTCATTTTTGACCTAATTGATTCTGCTTTTGGATGATTTTATGGATAAAGTGTTGAAATTTGACCTACTTACTGCCTTCAGAGGAGTAAATCATAGCTGAAGCATTGGGACCACTTCCAATTACATTCCAGCCTTGAATTTTTATTTCATACAATAGATAAAAATTTTCCTCTCCAACCTGGTAAACAAAGTGTGTTTGCTTCCAGGATGTAACTTTTTCCTGAAAAATATTAAATATTGAATACTTAAATGTTTTAAAAAACATCACTTATACAAGAAATATCATAATTTTGTAAAGCTATTGGATAGCATTGACTTAACTTGATAATCATATCAATTATCAAGACCTCTCTTAAAGTGAAAAACCAAAATAAACAAAGCCATGAACAACTTTTGATTGGCGGCGGAACAAATTAGAAACAAATGACTCACACTTGCAACATAATAAGTGTATATTTTGAACTAATTTGACTGTATATTTGGAACTAGTTTGACTGTATATTTTGAACTAGTTTGACTTACCTTATTCCATACTCTCTGATCACTACCCTCTTGAAATTGTCTCCAGTAAACCATATATCCACCATCCTGATGGCCTCTGTCTTCATATGGCATTTCCTAAAAAAGGATTTACACATTCAGCAAATAGATTGATTGTGTTTAACACCACTTTTAGTACTCTTGAACAACCGACCACAGGAAAACTGGCAATCCTAATCAAGATTGGAGTCAAACGCACCTTCTAAGAGCAGGGTTCAAACAATTCCATAATTTCATTTACTTTTGGACATCAAGTCATTTTTGACAATCAACTTACCAATCTTTCAATTTGATAATCTCATCATTGTTTTTTCTTGAAGGGTCAGTGAGAACAAATAAATTGGGTAAATCACTTTATACACTACTCTACTGTTCTAACAAAAACCCAACCCATCTCTTTAGAAGGAATGTGGTCTTATAATAGGAGTGGTATCTAATAAGGGGTTGAATAACAAAGAAGTTACTGCTATCATATACTTGCAATAAAAGAGGGATGAGTTTTGAGGAGAAACAGATGCAAGACACTTTCCCCTTTAGCAGATATACCATACTGAAGACTGTGTTTCATTGTTATCTAGATAATTGTTTAAAAGGAGTTTCAGATATAAGATGCAAGCCTCACGTTTTAAAATTTGAAAATTTAACTGTCTCAAGTGAAATATCGTATCATACTTGATGCAGTGGTAGAATCTATATATATATTTTTTTTAATTATTTAGTTCTACTTTAAAACTACTACAGTATTAGATATTTAGACTAAAGTACAGTACAGTTGCCTGAATAGTGGAAAAAAAAGTATAATTGTGTGTAAGGGATTACTTTAAAATGTGTAACCATGAAAAGTATAAAATAAAACATATGATTTTGAAGTAGTATGAACCCTGCTATTGCATTATTTTAAAGAGATGCTGTGAAAATATCATTGAAAACCAGTAGACTATTTTGAAGATAAAGCAAAGTCCATGGATTAAAATATAAAATACAGTGGCATTATAATAGCTCACATGGTCTTAATGAGCCAGAAGTCTTTAAAGATAATAACCCCAATTACTAAACTACTTGTACCAAAGTACACAGGAATATATATATATCATCACCACAATATCCAAAGATTCTCTTTTCAAAAGCACAATATTTTTCAAGCATCAATTTGGTATTAATTGCCTTTCAATGAAAAATTTATCACATTGTGTATAATTTCAATATTGTGCTTGTTGGGTTTGCAGCAATAAAGACAAGGTTCTATTACAGGTTTTGTAACTCAACTGCAATATGTGTTACTAAAACATGTTCACAAAAAATACCGAAATGAAATCATAACTTCTTCATTGAAGCAATAGATTTATTAATCCCTTATTCAGAGGACATTTAACTTTCCAAAAGTGTTCCTGTTAAAACTTACATTCCATATAATATGAAGGTCTCCAACACTACCATTTCCCCCATAGATCAATGATGGCATTGCTATTGGTGCTGCTTCTAAGGTCTTTGTCAATGCTGAAATATGAGAATGAATGAAATATGTTGACATTAGCAATGGTTAAACATGTTAAATGCCACATCTTAATACTGATAATATGAATATTTTGACTTTTTTTTCCTGAACAAATAGCTGTTACATTTTGGTTTGTTAAACTTTGGCACATCATTTCAATACTGTATTTTAATATTAATACAATGGATGTATCTTTAACAGCACATAATGATTCATTTTGGCAATTTCTTCATAGGCGCTAAATAAAACTTAATATGAACACAGCCTAAATGTACCGATTTACAAAACTAAATATTTGTTCAGTTCAACTAACTCAAAACCATTTGACTAAATAAAGTTCATATTGCTAAGCTGTCAGATTTTTACATTTGAAAATTTGTTAGCAGTACTTTAGTTCTGCTGAGGTGTTGGTAGTTTACACAAATGGAGACATAAGGGAAATGTCAAAAGATATCAACCACCACTGGGATTTTTCATATTCTGGACAAGCAAAAATAATATGGAGATACTACACTTGTTGTTTTACTACTTAACCCTTCAACTTCTTCTTGATCTAGAAGAATTTTTTTTTTAAAATGTCAATAAACCATCTAGATACTTTCAATACTTTGTTTAATTTTAGAACATGTTGTTCTTTTCAGTCTGCCAAACAAACACTTTCTTTTTTTATTTTAAGTTATTGGGATGAATCTATATTTACCTGATGGATAACTTTGAGGACTTATGCCAGCATAACCATTCTTAGCTGCCACTCTGAACTGGTATTGATTGCCTGGTTTTAGATTTTTCACAAGGTAACTTCTCCTGTCTGCTCGAGCATCACCCATAGGCATCACATCCCTTTCAAAAACCCCTAAAATATCACAGAACAAGGTATGCTAAATAGTATATTTTGCTGTCAAAGTTAAACTGATCAAAGTAACTTCTAATAATAAAATAAAGTTAAACTTGGACACCATTTTTGTCAACTGACTGTATGTCTTTTGAAATTTGGGCTACCAGCAGAATTAATTTTGTGAAATACATATCATTATTGAAGCGAGACAATATTTAGGAAGGTAATTTTTGTTTTTAACAATATGTTTTTCTTAAACTGGATGTTGACTTTTCAGTAATAAAATTTAGAACAAAAGACAAGATTTTTAAATCTGTAATCTTTATCATCGAATATACAAAATTTAGTCAAGTTTTAGTAATTTTTGCTTCACATAAATATTTTAGAATAACCACATTTTGTTTCTGTTATCAGTCTGGCAACCTGGACCATGCATTGTTCGTAGTTGTTTGTCTGGTGATGATGGTTTGTGTCGTCTGTTATACTGCTGAAATTTTATGGTGATTCCGATTATCCTTTTCATGTATTAGTGTTATTGGCAAATGTATTTTTTTATTCTGTCATCTACATAATGTTATTTAGAGTCAAGTATATGATTTTTCTCAGTCAAATTGTTTGATATTTATTCATTTCATAATAAAATAAATGTGGATTGTGTCCACATGTGGACACAGATGATGCCCCTGCTTGGATATCATATAGTTATAAAGGGACATAACTGAAGAACAGTAAAAGTGACGCTACCCAAATTTGAACTTGATCTGAGTTTTGTGGTAATAAGCATTGTGTGTAAGTCTCATAACATTTGGTTGAGGCAAACTTAAGTAGAGAACAGAAACTAAAAATTCAGCAATTTTTTCTATTTGTAAACATGCATAACTCTAGAAAGGTTGTGTATAAGTTTTATAACATTTGGTTGAGACAAACTAAAGTTAGAGAACAATGTCTTTTAAAAATCTATAAAACTTATCTGCAATTACCTTCAAATTGTCTAATAATGAACAGTAAATACTATATTTATATGGTCCTACAGAGCTTATCACCATCAGCATTCAGGAAACAGAAAATTTTCAAATAAATCTGTCACTCCAATTATAATTGTGTGATAGATATTTACCACATGCTAAAGTTATCTGATAACAGGTGAAAATTAATTAAAACACTTAGTGTAATCAAACTTGATATATTTAATTACTAGTTCCCATTATTTTTTCTTTCATTTGTCACAAACTAATATAAATCTGCAACTTATCTATCAATGTCAACAACTTTATTTACACAATATTTATATAATGAAATATATCCTTTAATAATTAAAGAACCTTAGTGAGCACGCTCACATACCCCACGTCCCCACATTGTCATTGGAGAAATTAAATAAGTGTAACAAAAAAATATTGTATAAGAAAAAATATTGAATAATAATTTCCTGTCAATATGCACATCTACATAGTATGTCCTTCTTATCTACAAAATTTCATGAAATTCTGTTGTGTGGTTTCAGAAGAGTGGAGATGACAAACTGTTGCAGAAGTACATTGAAGCAAATAAGTTCAAAGGGGCGTAACTCCTAGAAAAAATAAAATGCTTCGCTGGGCGCAGCTTGATACGACCGCAGAGGTCGAACCCTGAACAGTTGGGGCAAGTATGAACACAACATTCAAGCTTGATACAGCTCTGAATTTGGATTGGAATTAAATATTTGACACAGCATAGGTTTCTGACACAGAAAGAATGTGGTCTAAGAACTTCAATTTTTTTAGTTTACCTATTATGGTCCAATGCCCAAAATCAAAATACATGGTTAGATTCAGCATATCAAAGAACCCCATATATTCAATTTTTGTTGAAATCAAACAAAGTTTAATTTTGGACCCCAACTTGGACAAACTTGAAAACTGGTCCCATAATCAAAAATCTAAACACATGTTTAGATTCAGCATATCAAAGTACCCCAAGAATTCAATTTTTGTTAAAATCAAACTAAGTTTAATTTTGGACCCTTTGGACCTTAATGTAGACCAATTTAAAAAACGGGACCCAAAATTAAAAATCTAAAAACACGGTTAGATTTGGCATATCAAAGAACCCCAATAATTCAATTTTTGATGAAATCAAACAAAGTTTAATTTTGGACCCTTTTGACCTCAATATGAATCAATTTGATAGCGGGCCCACAAAATAAAAAATCTAAATACATGGTAAGATTCAGCATATCAAAGAACCCCATATATTCAATTTTTGTTGAAATCAAACAAAGTTTAATTTTGGACCCCAACTTGGACCAACTTGAAAACTGGGCCCATAATCAAAAATCTAAACACATGTTTAGATTCAGCATATCAAAGAACCCCAAGAATTCAATTTTTGTTAAAATCAAACTAAGTTTAATTTTGGACCCTTTGGACCTTAATGTAGACCAATTTAAAAACGGGACCCAAAATTAAAAATCTAAATACATGGTTAGATTTGGCATATCAAAGAACCCCAATAATTCAATTTTGGATGAAATCAAACAAAGTTTAATTTTGGACCCTTTTGACCTCAATATGAACCAATTTGATAGCAGGTCCACAAATAAAAAATCTAAATACATGGTTAGATTCAGCATATCAAAGAACCCCAAGAATTCAATTTTTGATGAAATCAAACAAAGTTTAATTTTGGACCCTTTTGACCTCAATGTGGACAAAGTTGATAATGGGGCCCAAAAATCAAAAATCTAAATACATGGTTAGATTCAGCATATCAAAGAACCCCATATATTCAATTTTTGTTGAAATCAAACAAAGTTTAATTTTGGACCCCGATTTGGACCAACTTGAAAACTGGGCCCATAATCAAAAATCTAAATACATGTTTAGATTCAGCATATCAAAGAACCCTAAAAATTCAATTTTTGTTAAAATCAAACTAAGTTTAATTTTGGACCCTTTTGACCTTAATGTAGACCAATTTGAAAACGGAACCAAAAATTAAGAATCTAAATACACGGTTAGATTCGGCATATCAAAGAACCCCAATAATTCAATTTTTGATGAAATCAAACAAAGTTAAATTTTGGACCCTTTGGACCTCAATGTGGACCAATTTAAAAACGGGGCCCAAAATCCAAAAACTTAATACTTGGTTAGATTCAGCATATTAAAGAACCCCAAGAATTCAAGAATAAAACCCTATTGAAATTGATCAAGAAATAAGCAATTTATACGAAGTATCTTCTTTTGCACAATACTGTGCAATTGAATATTTCTTGCTATTGTGCAATACTGTACAATTGACAATTTCTTGCTATTGCGCAATATTGTGCTATTGGATATTTCTTGCTATTGCGCAATACTGTGCAATTGAAGATTTCTTGTTATTGCGCAATACTGTGCAATTGAAGATTTCTTGCTATTGTGCAATACTGTGCAATTGAAGATTTCTTGCTATTGCGCAATACTGTGCAATTGAAGATTTCTTGCAATTGTGCAATACTGTGCAATTGAAAATTTCTTGCTATTGCACAATACTTATTATATAATAATTTACACATCCTGTTTGGTGTGTATCTCCTATCATATCATTATTATTTGCTTTTAAATATAAATCAGAAATAACCAACTTAAAATGGAAAATTTTAAAAGAAAAAAAAAAAATCCCCCCCCCAAATTTTTTGAACCCCCTTATGATTCATCACCCCCAAACTCAATCCCAGCCTTCCCTTTGTGGTATGGTACCTTGCAGTACAATTTCAGAGAGATCCATACACTTAAACACAAGTTATTGTCTGGAAACTAGAAAAATGCTTATTTTTGGCCCCTTTTTGGCCCCTATTCCTAAACGTTTTGGGCAATTACCCACAAACTCAATTCCAGCTTTCCCTTTGTGATATGGAACCTTGTAGTACAATTTCAGAAATATCCAAACACTTACACACAAGTTATTGTCATGAAACTAGAAAAATGCTTGTTTTTTGCCCCTTTTTTGGCCCCTAATTCCTAAAATTTTGAGGCAATTACCCCCAAAATCAATTACAGCCTTCCCTTTGTGATATGGAACCTTGTGGTACAATGTCAGAGAGATCCATACACTAACACACAAGTTATTGTCTGGAAGTTACAAAAATGCTTATTTTTGGCCCCTTTTTGGCCCCTAATTCCTTTACTGTTGGTACCATAACCCCCAAAATCAATCCCAACCTTCCTTTCGTGGTATTGAACCTTCTGGTAAAATTTTATGGAGATCCATTCACTTAAACTAAAGTTAGAGTGCGAAAACCAATGTGTCTTCGGACGACGCCGGACGACGACGACGCCAACGTCATACCAATATACGACCAAAAAATTTTCAATTTTTGCGGTCGTATAAAAATGAATCGTAATTTCCTGTCGATATGCACATCTACGTAGTATGTTCTTATTATCTACAAAGTTTCATGAAATTCTGCTGTGTGGTTTCAGAGGAGTTGAGATGACAAACTGTTGAAGTTGTACCTTAAAGCAAATAAGTTCAAAGGGGTGTAACTCCTAGAAAAAAAATTGAATCGTAATTTCCTGTCGACATGCACATCTACATAGTATGTCCTTATTATCTTAAAAGGTTTCATGAAATTCTGTTGTGTAGTTTCAGAGGAGTTGCAATGACAAACTGTTGCAGTAGTACATTAAAGAAAATAAGTTCAAAGGGGTGTAACTCCTAGAAAAAAAAATGAATCGTAATTTCCTGTCTACATGCACATCTACATAGTATGTCCTTATTATCTAAAAAGGTTTCATGAAATTCTGTTGTGTGGTTTCAGAGGAGTTGCGATGACAAACTGTTGCAGTAGTACATTGAAGCAAATAAGTTCAAAGGGGCGTAACTCCTAGAAAAAAAATTGAATCGTAATTTCCTGTCGATATGCACAACTACATAATATGTCCTTTTTATCTAAAAAGGTTTCGTGAAATTCTGTTGTGTGGTTTGAGAGGAGTTGCGATGACAAGAAACAGGACTGACGGACGGACGGACGGACTGACGGACGGACTGACAGGTCAAAAACATTATACCCTCTGCAACTCGTTGCGTGGGGTATAAAAATAGATTATTATCTAATGAAAATGATATTTGCCATTTCTGTTCAAAGGGAAATAACTCAATCATATAATAAGTATAACTTTTGGCTACCAAAAGGTCTACAACTCAACAATGAGAATAGCTAAAATCGTGAAAATTGAACTTGACCTTTATCAAGTCACAGGAAACAACATATCAAAATTTGAAATTCGTCAAAGCTTTTTCATGTTAATGAACGGAAACTGTTTGGCAACAACCCGCCTGCCGTACATCTTTCCTTAAATCAATAACCGATTTTTACCTTCGAAAATCTGGTTAATAAGACCTTTGAGGAGTAGGTTCAAAAAAGATTAAAGTTGGCTACAAGATTTTGGTTGTTATTGTTGACAACATTTCCAAAATGTGCTGACTTCAGAGTCTATAATGTACTCTAATGATGAGCTTTATTTTAATTAGCATTAAGGCTTTTGAAAAAGATCCATTTTGGAACCAAATTATGGCAAAAGTGAACCTTGTCTCTTTGTTCAGATTAAATATTGTTAAATTAAGGCAGGCTTAATTTGTATAGAGTATCTGGTGTTTGTAGTGAATAGAGATTTACTCGGTGTGTATTTAAAATGTTTTCACAAGAGTAAATCTCAACTATAAAAATGTGAAACTACAGGAATAATTAAACTTACTCCCACCATCGTCATTAATTATATAATCCCAATCTGTCATCACACCTTCTTCTCCTTGTACACGCGATTGTATTGTATAATAATCTACTGCTAAACCATTTGTATTACCAGGGAACCAGTTTAACCTCAAACTAGTCGTCATGGTTGTATCAGCTGTCACACCTGCAGGCTCTGATGGAGGACCTAATATAAATATATATATTTTTATCAAACTATATTCAATTCATTAATTTGTACAACAATCCCCTGCAACCAGTTTTTGGTGGGGTTTGTGTTGCTCAGTCTTTATTTTTCAATGTTGTGTTTTGTGTACTGTTGTTTGTCTGTTTGTCTTTTTCTGTTTTGGCCATGGCGTTGTCAGTTTATTTTTGACTATGAGTTTGAATGTCCCTTTGGCATCTTTCGCCTCTCTTTTGCCTGTGATTGCTGCTGTCAGTGTATTAGTGTAATGTTGACTTAAAAAGCGAGTCCATTTATCAGTAAAATACAGAATAAAAAAAAAACTAGACAAAGTGATGCCCCCGCACTCCACTCTGAAGTAACTGTATTATAACATGGTCAATGTAGGACTTTCTTTGAGATATTATTGTGTCTGTGTGACACAAATGATGCCCCCGCAAATGCAAAGTGTTATTTTAAAATACACAAAGTTGAGCATGGGAGCACATAGGTCTATGGTTCACTGCAGGAGGAGTTATCCGGAAACGCTATGCACCTCTTATGCAAGTATGTATTCCAAAAAAGACAAAGTTCAACTATCTCCCAAAAGAGCAAATATCAATAAAAATCAAAACCCTGACCATATGCACACCTTCAATATATGTACAAACAGCGAAAACTTCCTAGCATTCAAACTGTTGGAGGAGTTATCTGGAATAACTATATACTCATTTTGGAACGGAAGGACAGACGGACTGACAGGGGTAAAACAATATGCCCCCCCCCCCCCCCCCCCAACTTTTAGTTGCGGGGGCATAAAAAAACTAAGTCCATTTATCAGTAAAATACGGAAAAAAAATGAAAATAAATATTTTCAAAATTTAGCTTGGGATACTGTCTTTTGGTCATAAACAAGCTTCTGTCCAAATTTCCTAAAATTCCATGAAGGTTTGACAAAGTTATTGATGTCTTAGAGCTATTTTCCTAATGCATGTAGTTAAAAGGTTTGGTTGGCTTGCTTGCTTTGTTTGAATGTTTGCTCAAGCATTGTATTAAGATTGACATCTGCAAACAATAGATAGGCGGGGCTTCACCTTGTATACATTATACTCTGCATTATACTCAATCTGTAACTCATCTTATTTGACTCACATACTTAAAATCAGCTCAAGAGGTGAAGGCGTTTAGAAATAAAGTACGTATAACCGTTATTTTCAGTCCAAAGCCAATAATTTCTACAAAATTCAGAGGAGCGGAACCAAACGTAAACTCAAACTGTAATTCATCATAGTAGACTCACATACTAAAAATCAGCTCAATATGTGAAGGTGTTTTAAAATAAAGTCTGTATAACTGTTCGTTTCAGAATGACGGAATGACAGAATGACGGATAAGGGTAAAACTATATGGCCCCAACCACTTTGCAGCGGGGGCCATAAAAATAATGTACTTTTGTTCGGACACTTAATTTCGTCATTCGGTTTTATGTCAGTTATTTAATATAAAATATTTATTTGATTGAACACTTCAAATTCATGGTTCATCTTTTCCCATAAACACACAAAAATTACTACATAGTTCTCATCTTCTTAAAAATATTATCTTTTTCTATTAATGATTGCTCTCTTTTGGCAATAAAAAATCTGTGCAACCTTTCCAGTATTTACAATAGCTTAAACCTACCTAAAATCTTCAAAAATCCTGATGCTCTTGCTTCATTGACAGGTGTTTTAGCAATACATTCATAATCTCCTCCATGTCTAAACTGAATCAGTTTAATCATCAGTCCTGTATATCCAGGTCTTACAATCTGAAAATATCATTCAATATTGAAATTTATTTTAACTAAATACCTCACTGATCTAAAGGATAATGCTACGCTAGAACCAGAATAATTACAATCTTTTATCAAGTGATAACGGTCAATATAAAAAGATTTCTTAAAGTCAGCATTAAAATTGAAATGTTACTACAGAGTTGTAGTTTAAAGATATAGGTAACAAAAAATGCTAAAATTATATATAAAAAATGGTCAAGTTGCTTGTCTGTAATTGTCGCATTTAACCAGAAGGCATTTGAGGAATTTAAGAAATTAAACTCACTAAAGTGAGACAAAAGGTCCAACTTCTTGAAACTATGATGTATGAGTGCTAATGCACACAGATTTAAAAATAAAATTCATCAAATTAGATGGATTAACCAATAATGTCACTGAGAGCATTGCGTCTAATAATCTGCTTCAAACAAAAAATGATTGGATGCACAACGAAGATGGGTATATAAAAAAAAAAATATAAATAACACATAGCTGAGAGGGTGATAGAGCAGATTGTTAACCAGAGAAAACATTGTCAACTGAGGCAAAGTTATTTATTTTTTATATTGAATGTTCTCACATGATTGTCTTATAAATTATAAATTGAAAGTAATTAACTATGACGTCATGTACATAATAACATTACAGTTATTAGAAAAACAACAACAGTGAAGCAAGATGGGTTTTTTTTGGCATTGACAGTCTATGAAAAAGGTCTGAGGCTGAAACGTAGAACTTGTGCATTGCCTTTAAAATTATTGATGTATAATGAATCTATAAATTATAGATTTTTAATTGGTCTGAATAACAGGGTGACATTAAAAAAATTATTTCCCACTGAGCCATTGGATAGTATATAAATAACACATATCTGAGAGGGTGATAGAGCAGATTGTTACCCCAAGAAAACATTGTCAACTGAGGCGAGGCCAAGGTTGACAATGTCTTTTCGAGGGGTAACAATCTGCTCTATCACCCTCTCAGATATGTGGGATAGAGTAAATTGTCTCCCTCGTATTAACCAATCAAAATCTGGCATTTTGACATGAAGTATAATAAATTATGTCCCCCTCGTATTAACCAATCAAAATCTGGCATTTAAACGTGAACTATAAAAAATATCAATGAACCATCAAATTTTTTCACAAACACCTAATCAGAATGCCATATTTTAAGCAATGTAAAGTCAATGGGAGCATAATTGAAAAGATAGGGCTCATATGCTACAAGCAACTGAGATGCATGGATGTAAGTGAAACTGTATACCACATATCAATGGTCTATCAAAGTACTTGTTAGGAAATGAACCTAAGAAAACTTAACATTTAGAGTTGATAATACAAGAGAAAAAAATCTCTTGATTTGCTACAGTTTAATTTACAAAGTCTAACAGTAAATTGGACAACACAGTGTTCTCCACAGAAATTTTTTAAGGCGCAAAATTGCAAGGGCGCGTAACTCTATTTTAGAGTGAACTATTGTGACCTGAAGCAATTGGTCATAAATCTTTATATATGCAATAATGCACAGTATTAATATACATGATAAAGAATAAGAATATATATATGAAATAAATTCATTTTAAACACAAAAAGCATTTATATCACACACAGTCAATTAAATAAGTCAAAATGTATATATAGTTCAAGAAAAATCCTCATGTTCTTCTGGGCCTTCCAATGCTGAACAGCTTCAGAAATATTTATTTCTGTACTCTCTGTTCCTTCTAGAGACATAGTAATAAGACAGTTTGTAATTTTGTTGAACAGCCTGTTCCTCAGTGTTTATCCTCTTTAGGTTTGAAAACATCATCTGCCTTTCGCTTAACCCATTTCTTCTTTGCAAAGAACATGTGATTCAGCATTAAAATTGATTATGTTTAAGATGTTTGGTATACAACTTTTTAAAACAAAAAAATGTAATGAACCAGCTGACCAGTGTCCGTAGTTTGACATTACGCAGAGCTCCAGATAAGAATTCACAAATTGGGGTTTTTACCCACTATTTTTTTATGTAATTGGGTGATAAAGTTTTTTAATTGCATTATCAATTCCAATTCACCCCTAAAGCAAATATCAAATTGGGTTTTTCACCACCAAGCTCCTTAATGTATTGGGTTTTTTCATCAACACAATATTGAATATTTAGGCATGTTATAATCACATTATATCAACCCCATATGTATTTCCATCTTAAATGTGTTTCTTTCTTTGTATATGTGCTTAGCTGTTTTATTTGGTTTATTCACTGACGAGCAATTGTACGTTTAATTTGTGTCCCATTTTAAACGTTCTGTCAGTTTTGTATTTTCTCAAAACTTATGTAAACTGCAGCTGGTGTCACTAGTTGGACAGTAACTAATTGCCTTTCTAGATCCCATATGATCACCCTACAGTTTATAGTTGGGGTAGGTGTGGCTAAGTGTTTAGATTTTTATGTACGTTCAATGGACGCTTCCTAAAATCACTAGCTGAGTCTTGTTATCATCATAACTTTCCCTCAGCTATCAAAAAGAAGCCGAAAACATGCTTCTATTCAATATTTTTATCGGACATTTACTTTCGTTTTAATTCATTGTATGTTATGATAAATCCTGAGCAATTCGAAAAAATATGACAGCATGTCTCACGCTAATTGGATAAACGCCGAGAAGATCGAAATGTTTTCATAAACACGTGTACCTTTTGAGCAACGGAAAATTCCAACAGGGACCCATTACAGCTACTTGATGCAGGGCTTTATTTTAAGAACGAAAGGACATTTCCAATTATAAATATTTTAAAAATAGATTTACGCGACGACTGTAATCAGATAAGGGTAAATAACGCAAACGATAGCGAATAAAAGCGTTAAGAACTCATGGTTTTGGCATATAATTGGGTTTTCCTTTGAATTAATTGGGTTATTGAACCCTGCAATGGGCAATTGCATTGGGTTTTTAATTATTTGTATTGCGTGATCACGCAAATACGCAGCTTATCTGGAGCTCTGCATTACGCTTCCGTGTGTATAATTGTCAAAACATTTCTTTGGCAGGTAGATATAAACGAAACTTGACAAATTTGTTAAGACCAGTGAAATTCTAGTGACATTATACAAATGCTGCACGATTCCGTACATATATTTCCCGATGGACGAATTAACGATCGATGTTAAAAAATTATTTTATTTCTAAAATGTGACAGTTGACAAATGAATTTAACTTGCAAGCAACAATTTTTCACTTTCTAATAAAATAAATCACTCCTCATTATCTTTAATAAAGGTTTATTTTACTTTTTTGACCTACAAATACTCTCATTCATAAATTTCATCGTAAATTTCTTTAGTAATGTGTATTCAAATTCATCACGTGTATTCATCATGTTCATTGGTTGTGTTTAAATAGATTCTTCTTCTCGACAAATAAAAAAATTTGTTACTTATATGGCCAAGTGATCGCACACAGACGATGGGTAAATACAATGTATTTGTGATCTATTTCTTCAATTTTTGCACTGAAGTTTTTAAAAACTTTTATTTTCTACGAAAAATATCTTTCTTCTTGATGATCATTTACGCTATAACCTGATAACATGGTCTGATAAGGCTGGAACTGGTAAATCAGAGACTTTTGCTAGTTATCAGTTATTGCGCAACATTGACCGACCTCTCAGAGGTGATCAGCAACTTGACAATTTTAACTAACATTTATAATTAAAATGTGAAAATTAACATGCTGCGGGATGAAGTATTAAGGGACAGCGGCCGATTAAGGCTCTGCGGGATCAATGAAAAATATTTTGAAGGCACTGCGGGACCGCAGCGTCATATCGGCCTGGGGAGAACACTGCAACAGAAAAAAAACTTCTCAAAATAGAAGCATGCAACGAAAATACATTTATTGATATATATTTGTGGATCCGAGTATATGTTTAATCATAACTCTCAAAAGTGAATAAATACTACAAGTACACAGTATTACCTGGAGACTATTATGTAGATTATTTATGTAGATATCAACTTGTGAAAAAAATATTCAATATCATGCATGAGTATGATTTACCTGTTCATAGTGGAAATCTTTTACTATATTAATCCGATGACCATTTAAATTCCACACATACACAAGATCAAGTTCTGGATCATAAGAAGCTTCACATCGTATAAATTTTGTTTCATTTTGCACAGCCTTATCAGTTACAGCTGGTGGTACACTAATAGCGACTTGACCTACAAAACAACCACAAATTGTGGAACAGCTGATATTTTGTACTGTGAACACTCAAAAAAGTATTGCATTCATCAGTATAAAAATAATTTACCAGTTTGTAATAAAAAAAAAAAAAACTGATTAGCATTAGTAAATAGCTAGTATTCTAAACATTTGAATGAAGGTGCCTTGTTTACAAACTTTTTATCAGTCTTTTGATGACAAACTCTTTTTACAACTGAATTCACTGACAAGGATTCTTTTTTTACAGGGATAGATTTAGTATAACTCAGCTGAGGAAGAATTAAGAAGGGAAAAATTTAATGGGTATCAAAAGCATGCTAAATTTATCATAAAGAAGATATTTTTCTGAATTTCACATGCAAAAGTTTTAGTTTCATTTTATGCATGTTGTAAAGATTGTTCTCAATCTTTCTTACAATACCTTTAGTCTGTAGATATTTATTCTATTCAATAGCTTTTCGAAATACATTAGCCAGGTTTTCTAAATAAAATAACAACTAAACTACTATTTCAAGAAATAGAAATTATTATTATTACTATAAATTACTACAAAGAATGAAAGTACAATATGTTTAACGGTTTTCTGTGATTTTCGTGCGTGAAGTATTTACCTATTAAGTTTCTGTAAAGATGAGTTCAAATTCGTTTTGCTATTCGGAAAATCCCCTTTTTATAATACTTATCACGCCTTATCCTTGCGCGTAAGAAAATAGGTCGCTACTGGTCAAGGTTAATCATATAAATCACTGTCAATACATACGTAAATATTGGATTATAAAGAAAGCAATCACGATTTCATACGTCTCGACACGGATTTATCAATATAAAGCATATAAATACAAGTAACTAAAGAAATGTAGGATTAATAACAAGTTAGAAAACAAAGATGTTATTCGAATGCCACATGTTGGCGGAATTTCGTAACGCTAAATCGGCAACTGTCAATTTTGCCGGGAACGACGTGCGTTACGTTAACACAAAGGTAAAACCGCGTTATTGAATGCTCACAACACTGCCCTCCGTTAAAATAGAATTTCGTCTCGAAATTTAAATAATTGCGAAATATTAAATCATTAGATACAATTAAACAAAATCTAAACAAGCACCTGCTATCTCAATAGAATATTAAAATTTAGAAAATTTGTTTTTGTCAATGTTGACTAGATCACGAATATATCACAATTCTTGACACGTATAATAATAAAAGTGTACCAATGATATATAAAACAATATACATATAAATAATGTCAACAATTTTGTAGTTTTGTGTCTTTCAATATAATAAATAAACTGTTTATAAAATTTTCAATGTTTTCTTTGTCCAACAACTTCACTGTATTATTGGTTCGTCTCTTTTTGTCTTTCTTTCTGTATCCTCTTCTGTTTTATTTTTTTCATGTGTCCTCTTCTGTTCTTTTCTCTTTCTGTGTCCTCTTCTGCTCTTTTCTTCCTTTTTCTCCAATCTTTTTGTGTGTCTTGAGTTACCTGTTTTTCATTCTCATGTTCTTTCTTAGTTTGGTCTAAATCTGTTTTACGGAAACTTTCTTTCAGTTGACTTATTTTTTCCACCTGACAGAAAAAGTTTCCATCCTCTTTTTTAACTGAAACATTTACAATTTCTTCTGTAACTGGAATATTTTGATTTTCTTCTGTTACTGGAACATTCACAATTTCTTCTGTAACATTTACATTTTCTTCTGTAACATTTACAGTTTCTTCTGTAAAATTTGTATTTTCCTCTGTAACATTTTCATTTTCTTCTGTAACATTAACGTTTTCTTCTGTAACATTAACAATTTCTTCTGTAACATTAACATTTTCTCCTTTAACATTTACATTTTCTTCTTTAACATTTACATTTTCTTTTGTTATATTAACGTTTTCTTCTGTAACATTTACATTTTCTTCTGTAACATTAACATTTTCTTCTGTAACATTAACGTTTTCTTCTGTAACATTTACATTGTCTCCTTTAATATTTACATTTTCTTCTGTAACATTTACATTTTCTTCTTGCAAGAGCTCAGGCAACATCTGGACTTCGACCTTGTCCGTCTGTGTACCCTTATAACTTGTACTGGTAATATTTCCTATATGTACATGTACATGCATGTCCTGCGTACTTGCTACCATGGGTTTTCTGTCATCGGCCATTACCGGCTCTACCATTGAATCTCTGATTGACAGGAACTCACTTCTTTCCGCTTCTTTGTCAACGATAAGCCCAGAATTGGTGTCCTTTACTCCGACTCTGGCTTCTCTATCAGTTTGTCTCTTAGTCTCACATTCAATCCGCTGACCATTAAACTGTAAGCCTTGCATAGGATTGATTGTGATATTCATTTCATCAATTAGGTCACAACCTAATAACATGTTATCTCCAATGGGTGCTACATAAACTGGCCATTTGAAGGTTTCACTTCCTAGATTAACTTCCACCTCTGTAATCCCTCTTGTTGTCAAGTTCTTACCGGCCTCAGCAACTACCAAATTTCTTGCTGCTCTCCTTAGTTTTGGCCGTTTACTCCCAGGAATCTGATTATACAACTTCTCACTTAGAACCGTCACCTCTGCTCCAGTGTCAATAACTGCATTCGTCACAATCTTGTTAATGACCACTGGAACTGTAATGCTAGCTGCTGTCACCCGAGCAATGATAATATTTCCTTCTATCCCGTTGATCGGTTCTGCACTACCCATTACCTCCTTTGGTGTGTTCTCTGGTGTGTTCTGTTGTATCTCCTTAGACTCCTCAAACAACATCTCTAGGCTTAAATCTAGGTCCCGTATATCTAGGCTATCTTCTTCAAATGATCTCTTTATATAAGCTGTATTCACTGATTTTTTCGGTTCAACCAAATGCTCTTTCATTTGGCAATGTTTCTCTTCATATTTCAATTTATTCTCTTTAACTTTTTCTTTACCATGTTTAGGGGCTGACACTTGGTCGATAGTCTCAACCCTTAGCAGTTTAAAGACTCTTCATTTTGGTTTTGACTCCTTTCATTATTCCTTATAAAACCACCTCTATTTTCTTTATGATTATGATAGGGGTTTCTCTTTTCTTTTGGACAATCTCGTATGTAATGGCCTTCCTCATTACAGTTAAAGCATCTGGAGTTCTTCATCTTGGTCGTATGGTCTCTATACACTTGCTTATTTTGCCATGGACTACTGTCATAATCCTGTTGTGTATAATACTTTGCCATTTCTCTTTTAATGGTTGTCTCTAGTGACTCCGAAATTCCTCTTTCAAACTGAGTCAATCTTTCCTCTGTTACAAATCTTTTTCCTCCTACTTTTCTGACCTCTATATCTTCGGACCCACAATTATTTCTATAACTGTCCTCTGTTGTACCAAGCTGACGGATGTTTCTGTCTCTTGAACCTCTCTTGTAAGTCTCATATAGCGTTACTTGGTGTATTGCCTCTGTTATGCTAGTAATCCTTTTTGTCAGTAGCTCAATAGCAATACTCTGGTCCGGCAATCCTCTAAGCATATACTCCACACTGAGTGTACTGTGTGTTGCTGTGTCAATTGTGGGGAAAGACTTCCTGACCAACATCTCGACCCTTGAAGCATACTCCTGAATTGTTTCTCTATCATACTTTCTCAGAGTATGAAGCTCTTGTCTGTATGTTTCCGGGTACCCATGATCTCCAAATCTATTTGACATGGCTGCACAAAGTGCTGAAAATGATCTTTTTGTCTCTGGTGTAAGAAATGAGGCATATACCATTGCTTCATCTTTGAGGGCTGTAACCAGTTCTATGGCTTTGGTTGATGGAGTCCAATTGTTCATTTCCGCAATCAGTTCAAATTGCATCACATATGCGTTCCATGGATCCTTTCCGTTATAGAATGGCACTCTTGTTCTGCGTCCATTATCATTAAATCTTGGAACTTCTGATGTATTGATATACTGTGGTCCACTGGAATGCTGCATTGGTAACAAGTTTGGCTCTGTGATTGGTTGATATTGTTGGAAATCTCTATTTTGAACTGGAAATTGTGAAAAATTACTGTTCGGGGCTTGATTTTGTATATATCGGCTATTCTGTACTGTATTTTGCGAATAGTTACTTCTTTGCATTGTATTATGAGGATAGGTGTTGCTCACAAATTGACTCTGAGTATACAAGTTCTTGTTAAGAACTGGATTCTGTGAAATGTTGCTGCTAACAATATCATGGTTTACATGGGTATGGGTACCAGCATATACATTCGGCTCTATATACTCTGTTGACTGGGTAATTGTGTTGACCAGATTTTGATTAGGGTTTGTTTGACTTGAACTTGGTAACGGAAGGCTGTTTTGTTGGACTGTTCTCTTTAATTCAAAATTTTCATTCTTTAAGGCATCTAATTGTCTTCTTAATTGTGTGAGTTCATCACTATCAGAATTGGTTGATCTTGAAATTAAAGCGCTATCACTTCGACTTTGAGTTGGAACAAGGAACGGATTAGTGTTATTCTCAGTTTCTTTACTTGTAGCAGGTAAGTTGATAGTATGATCCATGGTACGAGGACCTTCATCAGTCAAATGAGTTATCTCCCTTTCTCCTTCATTAATTGAAGTAGGCAATATATTTGGATACTTATTTATTGTCTCCCCATTATTGAATTCAGGGATATTAAACCTTGCATTAAAATAATCATGAGAGTTTCTAGATTCCCCTGAAAAATGGGCCTCCATATTCCCAGATGATATGGCCTGGTTGAGAATGGCTAAACTACTTGGTGGGTTTATTCCAGATCCCCTTCCTCTTCCCCTTCCTAAAGACATTGATCCCGTAGACATACTAGGTTGTCTATTTCTCAAATTATACATCTTACTTTTGACTGCTAAATGGAATCAAGAGTTTCAATTTACTAATCAACTTGGATTAAATTTTATCCTTGTTAATCTTGTGCTTTTTTTTTAGAATTGTTCAACTTAGATGACTTTTTATCCTTGTTGAAATTGATAAAGAATTTCCTATGCCTTACTTTTAAAACACAATTTGGATTATGAATCTATGCTTACTTTGTGAAATAGACTACAGTATATACATTACAAACTTGAAATAGACTATAGACATTCAACTTTGACCTTAATGAAATATAACTACAACTTAGATTTATATTTATCCTTGTTGTAAAACTTATTTTGTGAAATGTACTATTTAATTTACAACTTCGAAATAGACTATATTTTTTTTTAAAACTTCGACTCTATCGAAAAATTATTATAACTACAACTTGGATTTATATTTATCCTTGTTGTAAAAAATAAGCTTATGAAATGGACTATTTAATTTACAACTTTGAAATAGACTATAAATTTTACAACTGGACCCTATTGAAAAAATTATGGTTATAATATTATTATTCAACTTGGATTCAGATTTATTCCTGTTAAAAATAGACTGCTAACTTTAAAACTCAACTTGGATTAAAGCTTATCCTTATTGAATATGGTATTCAATATTAATCTAGCTCAACTTGGATTTTATTTTATCCTTGTTGAAATTTGACTTAAATTTTTTTATCTTTTAACATTCAACTTAGATTAGAATTTATCTTTGTTGATGTATACCCCTTAACTATTTTATTTCAACTTATAGATTCATATTTATCCTTGTTGATATATACTCAAATTTAATAATTATAACATTTTCAACTTGGATTAGAATTTATCCTTGCTGACATAGATTTTGATTAACTATATTATTTCTTTTCAACTTGGATTTATATTTATCCTTGTTGAATTTAAAACTACTGAAAGATATACTATAAGCTTAATTAATCTCACCAACTGTACTTTTCTTTTCTTTCACCTTTTGTTGAAGTGTCCTTTTTTATTATGTTCAGTTTTGTTTTTTTTTAAGTGTAAACAAATATGGACAGTAACAATTTAAAATATTTTTACTTATCAATTGCGTGCCTAATAAAATATTCACGTAGATTCTTAAAATTTTCTTTAAAAAGAAAACTAAATTCGCTGCCACCAGTGTAAAGATTGTTCTCAATCTTTCTTACAATACCTTTAGTCTGTAGATATTTATTCTATTCAATAGCTTTTCGAAATACATTAGCCAGGTTTTCTAAATAAAATAACAACTAAACTACTATTTCAAGAAATAGAAATTATTATTATTACTATAAATTACTACAAAGAATGAAAGTACAATATGTTTAACGGTTTTCTGTGATTTTCGTGCGTGAAGTATTTACCTATTAAGTTTCTGTAAAGATGAGTTCAAATTCGTTTTGCTATTCGGAAAATCCCCTTTTTATAATACTTATCACGCCTTATCCTTGCGCGTAAGAAAATAGGTCGCTACTGGTCAAGGTTAATCATATAAATCACTGTCAATACATACGTAAATATTGGATTATAAAGAAAGCAATCACGATTTCATACGTCTCGACACGGATTTATCAATATAAAGCATATAAATACAAGTAACTAAAGAAATGTAGGATTAATAACAAGTTAGAAAACAAAGATGTTATTCGAATGCCACATGTTGGCGGAATTTCGTAACGCTAAATCGGCAACTGTCAATTTTGCCGGGAACGACGTGCGTTACGTTAACACAAAGGTAAAACCGCGTTATTGAATGCTCACAACACATGTCATAAGGTGAGAAAAATTGAACAAGAATGCATATGTTGACATGCTTAGCACACCTCAACTGATAATTCAAAGTATCAGATACCAGGAAGGTTTCTGACAGATCCAAATATAGCACACACATTACAACATATCACTGTTATGCTGCTGACCAAATATGGTCATTGTGTTCAGTAGCATTGGAGAAATATGTGAATTCAATTTTTGAATTGTATTGAAAAATTCAAAGTATCTGCTAACTGGAGTTTAGTATCTGACAGACCTAAATGGTGTTTACATGATACAACTTATTACTGTCAAGTCACTAGCCAATATGAAGTCATTCTGTTCAGTTGTTTCTGAGAAAAGTGTGAAGAAAATATTTATTTAAGGATGTACTTAGGTGAAATTAAAAAAATCTAGAATTCAAAACTGATACTTTAAGTCAGAAGAGCTTTATCTAAGGAACAAAATAAGCTAAAAATATTGAGGGGTTATGGAGCTTCTTTCCGAGATATCTAATTTTTTTAAAAAATGGTGGGAAAAGGCTGACTCGGACTTTTACCTTATTTTTGCATTGGAATTATTTGGGTCTCGAATCGAAAGAAAAGAAATCTAGAAACTGCTTAAATTTTGGTAAACGACCTTTTATGAGCTATTGAAGTCTTATATGAAAATAATAAAATGCTTCGCTGAGTGCAGCCTGATATGACGACAGAGTTCGAACCCTGAACAGTTGGGGCAAATTTGGACACAATATTCAAGCTTGATACTGTCTGAATTTGGATTGTGATCAAATTTTTGACATAATATAGGTTTCTGACACAAAATAATTGTGGTCAAAGATCTTATAAATCCATTGTGCATTCTGTGCAATTGAAGATTTCTTCTTGAAACTTTTCAAAAATCGAAATTATAAAAATTTTGAATAAAAAATATGAATCCCTTAAAAAATTGGGAAAAAAATTCCCCACCCCCCGCCCCCCAACTTTTTGAACCCCCCTTGAGCAATAACCCCAAAACTCAATCCCAGCCTTTCCTTTGTAGTATGGAACCTTGTAGTACAATTTCAGAGAGATCCATACACTTACACACAAGTTATTGTCTGGAAACTAGAAAAATGCTTGTTTTTGGCCCCTAATTCCTACATGTTAGGAGCAATTAACCCCAAACTCAATCCCAGCCTTCCCTTTGTTATATGGAACCTTGTGGTACAATGTCAGAGAGATCCATACACTTACACACAAGTTATTGTCTGGAAACTAGAAAAATGCTTGTTTTTGGCCCCTTTTTGGCCCTTAATTCCGAAACTGTTGGCCCCCATAACCCCTAAAATGAATCCCAACCTTCTACTTGTGGTATTAAACATTGTGGTACAATTTCAGAGCAATCGAAATACTTATACACAAGTTATTATCGTGAAACTAGAAAAATGCCCCTTTTTAGGCCCCAAATTCCTACACGGTTGGGACCATCATCCCCAAAATCAATCCCAACCTTCCTTTTGTGGTATTGAACCTTCTTAAAAAAAATTCATAGAGATCCATTCACTTAAACTAAAGTTATTGTCCGGAAACCAATGTGTCTTCGGATGACAACGCAGATGCAGACGATGATGACATCATACCATTATACGATCCCAAAATTTTTTTTTGCGGATGTATAAAAATGGGTGTTACGAGGCAAAATATTTTACCCTATATCATAGGAAAAAAACCAAAGAGTCCGAAACATCTGACAAAAATTCCTAAACCTGACCTAAGTACATCCTTAAAGACATCCCTTTGGCAAAAATAAATTATTTTCTAGTCTACAAAAATGAATAAACCAGTTTATGACACTAATAATAATTCCAATGTGTACACGTGTGTGAAATTTTGTTCAAGCATTAAAATAGACATACCTTTAACAAACAGTCTTCCTGCACTTTCAGTTGATCCTAAATCATTTGTAGCTTTACATCTATAAACTCCTGCATCTGCCATACCAAGACCAGTTATAACCAAATCTCCATTTAGCTCTCGTCTAAATTTGTCAGTAGATGATATTAGACTGGCACCTATATACCATTCAATGGTTGGTGCAGGAGCTGCCTCAGGACGACACTGAATTGTTATGTTTCCATTCACAGCTCCATAAATTTCTTCTGGTAAAGGTTTCTTGTTGAAAGTTGGCTTGAAAGCTGAAAATAGTATTTTCACATGGTAAAGAAAAAACTCTTAACCAGAGGCTTCAAGGAGCCTGTATTGCTTACCTGGTATATTTGCATAAAATTGTACAATTCAACAAGAATATTTGTGTTGAAAGGAAACTGTGTTGACCAAAACCTTGTCTTGCTGATAATCTTTGCTGGAGTTTTTGTCTTTCCAATATAATTTTAAGATACTAGACAAAAATGAAAAAAAATATTTCAATTTAGGGGCAACAACTCCTGTAAGGAGTCAATTGACAAATTGAATCAGTGACTTAATAGTAGATCTAGATTTGCTGATCATGTTTGCTTTTTAAAGTTTCAATCTATCTATTATAGTTTTCAAGATATAAGGTAAAAAAATCTCTTAAATTTGGTCAAAAATCTTTAAAAGGACAATAACTCCAATAAAAAGAAAACCTACAAATTTCGCTATTTCTTTTTTCGGTAGATTTTGTCTTGCAAATTCTTTTTGAATTTTTATTTCATGTGTATCTACCATAGTTTTCATCAAAATGCAGCGGTCAACTGATGATGTCAGTCAATGTGACTAAATAGTAGATCTTATTATGCCAATCATTTTTGCTGTATATATATATATATATAGATCATGTTTTCTACTTTTGTCAAAAACACAAAAAATGGTAAAAAAAATTTGCATCAAAGGGCAATATATATTTCGATTAAGAATCAAATGATGATTTGGAACATGATGAACTCAGTGTAGAACTTATTTTGCTGATCATTTATGCTGTTCACTGTTTCTCTCTGTTTCTAATTACAATATGATATAAAAAGAAGATAAATTTAACCCTAATTTTTTAAAAGAATATTTCATATAATTTCTTCTATAAATCAACTAAACAATGTGTGTATTTAAGGTAGATTCATGGTATACATCATCTTGGATTGTACAATTCCAGTACAAAATCGGTCTAGTTATTTGCCTAAATCTGCAAATTCATAGACAGATTTACAATTTATTGGTTAGACTGTTTATTTATGTAAATAAAAATTGGTGATTTATTGTATAACTCAAAATATTTAAACAAATATCAAATTTTGTGTTTTTAGAATAAATTTTTTCAAATAAGCCATTTCAGGGAAGATAACTCTTTTAGTAAAAAATATATATTGGACTGATAGGGAAATTTTTAATTTTTACTTGTAGCAAGAAAACAAGTTCGGTGACACCATTTTTTCTTTTTATTTTCTGAAAACATATTATAAACCTATCTTCTCACAATTTATTTCAAAATTCTATCTCATAGATTTTTTTTTATGCACACAAATGTGTTTTTTCATGAACAATCTAACCAAATTTAGGCAATTTTCAACGACTCATAGCTTGGAAAATAGTACGGTGACCCATACTTTTTATTATATTTTTGAAAAAAGCATAGTAAAGTCTTCATTTTGGCAAAGTATAAGAAAATTCTATCTCAAGAAATATATACCTATGATCTACCTTAATAGAATGTGTGCATGTGTCAAAAATATTTGTATTATTTCAAGAATTTTCACTTACATACCAAAATTTTGCATCACATCAAAATTTGATATAAATAGTCCTAACAAGAGTGCACACGCTGATATGTCTTGCCTGCTTTACTGACCATTGATTTTATGTTGATAGTCCTAAATATAAAGCTTTACTAAGAGTATCACATACACTTAACATGATAAAAAAAAATGAGGTCCAGGTTAGATAAACCAAATTTAAATTACATGTACACCTTACAATCATTCCATACTCCAAATATAGTTGACCTTTTGCTTATAGTTTCTAAGAATCAAACTTAACCAGGAAAACTTAACATTGACCAATAAACCATGAAAAAGAGGTCAAGGTCAGATGAATCATGCCAGACAGACATGTACACCTTACAATCAATCTATGCATTAAATATAGTTGACATATTGCTTATAGTATCTAAGAAACAAACTTAACTATGAAAACTTAACATTAACCAATGAACCATAAAATGATCAAGGTCAGATGATACCTGCCAGACAGACATATTCACCTTAAAATCATTCCATACACCAAATATAGTTGACCTATTGCTTATAGTATCTAAGAAACAAACTTAACCATGAAAACTTAACATTAACCAATGAACCATAAAATGATCAAGGTCAGATGATACCTGTCAGCCAGACCTATACACCTTAAAATCATTCCATACACCAAATATAGTTGACCTATTGCATAACAGTTTAAGAAAAACAGACCAAAACACAAAACTTAACACTGAGCAATAAACCGTGAAAACGAGGTCAAGGTCAAATAAAACCTGCCAGACTGACATGTACATCGTAAAAATATTTCCACACACCAAATATAGCTGACCTATTGCATATAGTATAAGAAAAACAGACCAAAACACAAAAATTAACTTTAACCACTGAACCATGAAAATGAGGTCATGGTAAGATGACACCTGCCAGTTGGACATGTACACCTTAAAATCATTCCATACACAAAATATAGTAGATATATTGCTTATAGTATCTGATATATTGACTTGACCACGAAAACCTAACCTTGTTCACTGATCCATGAAATGAGGTCGAGGTCAGATGAAAACTGTCTGATAGGCATGAGGACCTTGCAAGGTATGCACATACTAAATATAGCTATCCTATTACTCATAATAAGAGAGAAATAAACATTACAAAAAATCTTAACTTTTTTTTCAAGTAGTCACTGAACTATAAAAATGAAGTCAAGGACAATGGACATATGACAGATGGAAACTTCATAACATAAGGTATCTATATACACAGTATGAAGCATCCTGGTCTTCCACCTTCTGAAATATAAAGCTTTTAAAAGTAGTTAGTTAACGCCACGACCAGATCACTATCCCTATGTCGAGCTTTCTGAAAAGAAGTCACAGGCTCGACAATAAAAATGATTCCAAGTATGATTCAGCATGTATGACTTTTATTTACACTCACCTAAGACTCTAAGTTGCGCTTCACTCATACTAGTTCCTAGGAAGTTTTCTGCAGCTCACTTGATACATTCCATTATGTTTGACTTTTATTTACACTCACCTTGAAGATTCTTAGTTGCGCTTCACTCATACTAGTTCCTAGGTAGTTTTCTGCAGAACACTGATACTTTCCATTATGTTTAACTTTTATTTACACTCACCTAAGACTCTAAGTTGTGCTTCACTCATACTAGTTCCTAAGTAGTTTTCTGCAGCACACTGATACATTCCATTGTGTTTTAGTTGTAAGTTGAAAATCGTTAAGGTATTTCCAGCAACATTAATTTCCCCTGGAATAATCTCTATCAGTTTTCCATCTTTGTACCAACTATATGTAGGGTAAGGATATCCTGATGCTTCACATTTCCATGTTAAGTCACTGCCAAGATCTACGTGTTGTGGTCGTAATGGAACTAAGTAATAAGGCACAGCTAAAAAAAACAATTAAAACTACTGTAAATCCAGAAATTTTTGCATGTGTTTTGTTTTTGAGATTGTTGAGCTACAGATAAAAATGTGACATTAATTATGGTGATTTTAGGAAATGCAGCCTACAAAATTAATAATGCTATCAAAATTAAAATTGCAATTTTATATTCTTTCGAAAACTATCCTGTCTGACACAACTTTTGCAAAAACATTGCAAAATTTTTTGAATTGACAGTACATGAATAAAATCCATTCTCTATAATATTTTCTCACAATTAGCATCCCTTTGAAGTCTTTTTTAATTTGTGCTAAAAAAAAAAAAAATTCTGATTGGATTGAGCCACATAATCCAATGCAATTTTTTTCTAGACGCATACATCAAACATAAAGATTTATGTATAATAATTTATCTTTACCACAATCCATTAAAGCAAATTACCATTTGTTTAAATCATTAAATATCAGTTAGAAAAACAAATTTGTCTGAAGATCTTTCTCATTTTTTTGTTCCAGATAAAAAAAAAATGTATTATTTGGCTTGGAATGCCTTGCATTGACCTAAAACAATATATAAAATATACCATAAAGACGAAGATACAAATTTTTTTGACTGCTGGCTGTTGTCCCTCTGGACACAATACACAAGTAATTTCCTTCATCTTCTGGTTGAGAATTCTCAATTGTCATGACACGGTTAAAGTCACTAAATTTGGCATTTTGAGGTATTTGGCCTCCAGGTCTTGACCATTGATATCTCCAGGTGGAACCATAGTTCACTGCTCTGAAACACACACAAAATTAAAGATTGTTTTTGTAAAGCTTTGTTAATTTTCATTATATTTCGATTTAAACTGTATGTCATTTTGTTTCTAAATTTTTGTGCGTCTCAGACAGATAATGGGTCAAAGACTAAAATACTTATTTTATTTTTGAAAGGCCATAAAAACTGTCCTGAATGATCTTGGTGTAGATAATCAAAGATACATTAATGTAACAATAGTAATATATGTACATTCTGCACTTAAGAACCCAAGACCATAGAATATTTACTATGAAGTTGACATGTGGTCTCCAGTTTCTGGCATCCACTAAATTATTCGATTTTTTAAATGACAAATATTGAACTGCTCTGAATATTCAAATTGTTTCATTTGGCAGGGTTTCCACCATCTTCGCTAGCCAAGGGTTACGATCCACTTCCCTCCTCTCCACCCTTGGCAGATTGAGATATAATTTCGGAGACACAAGGTAATGATTTTCATTGGTTGCAGTCGAAACTCACTGCATCCAATCAAAAAGCGCCTATAACATGATCACATGTAAATGTAGAAAGTGTATGTAAACAATTGCCACGTGCTTATTGTGCAACAAGTCTTTACATCCCTAAACATACGACTATATTTAGTGACAATTTGAATGTTTTTAATCAACTAATAGAAGTTCCTTTGTATGTTTCTTGCACAAATGCATTAATGTCAACGTATATTTTCGTTTCCTGCTTTACTAAGTGTGTAGAATCTAGACGCTACCGTGTTTTTACCTCCAAATTGAAGAGTTCAAGTGCTACCATTGGTCAAGAATAATGTATTAGGACTTTAAACTACCGATAGATGGCGCAACATTGTTATCACAAATGTTGGCTTAATCTGCCAAGGGTGGAGAGGAGGGAAGTGGATCGTAACCATTGGCTAGCGAAGATGGGTTTCCACTGGCGATTAAAATTCATTATTGGCGAAAGAATTTGGTGAAAGAAATAAAACGGTTCCACTTCGTCCATCTTGTTTACTTTTTTCAGGTTTCTCAGACTTTTTCCCTGATCAGGCAATACTGGGAATTTACCTTGAACTCGTTAAGATTTTGAAAGAAAATCAATAATCAGCTGATTGCATTTTATAGATATCGGCAACAATGGACTAATTAATAAAGGTGTTGATTGTATTGTTTAATGAAATGGTGTGGTAAAATGGCGTCACATGTTTAAACCATGTTCCTAACAAGAACTGTTGTTATGACGAAAATGTTCAAAAATAAGACAAATCTCTGACTTTGAACTTTATCCTTTTACTTTGATAGAAATAATTGTTTTGAAGTGGGTTCTGTACAATCATTTTAGCGACAGACATGTTTGAAGCATAGTTTTATGTCTTGACTTTTTCCTTTGACCATGGTCCCTAAAAGGAAACGGTTGTTATGAAGAAATGTATTCAAAAGTAAGAAAAATCTCTGACTTTAGTCTTTATCCTTCAATAAGTTGGGAGGTATTTGATAAACTTATTGATGAATCCTGTGTTCGTAGAAGTAAAAAACTGTGATTTCATGATCTATATTGCAATTTTACAGTATCTTTTAAAAAATAAATGTTTGTTATTATTGAGTGTCTATCTATTTCAAGTTAGATTTAATAAAATGCTTCGCTGAGCGCAGCCTGATACGACAGCAGAGGTCGAACCCTGAACAGTTGGGGCAAGTTTGGACACAATATTCAAGCTTGATACGGTCTGAATTTGGATTGTGATAAAGTTTTTGACATAATATAGGTTTCTGACAGAAAAAAAATGTGGTCAAAGATCTTAAAAATTTGAAATGGGACATTTAATTTACCTAGTATGGTCTGATATCCAAAATCTGGAAACTAGAAAAATGCTTGTTTTTGGTCCTTTTTTGCCCCTAATTCCTGAACGTTTAGGGCAATTACCCCTAAACTCAATCCCAGCTTTCCCTTTGTGATATGGAACCTTGTGGTACAATTTCGGAGAGATCCATACACTTACACACAAGTTATAGTCTGGAAACTACAAAAATGCATGTTTTTGGCCTCTTTTTGGCCCTTAATTCCTAAACTGTTGGTACCATAACCCCCAAAATGCAAACCTTCTTTTTGAGGTCTTGAACCTTCTGGTAAAATTTCATAGAGATCCGTTCACTTAAACAAAAGTTATTGTCTTCGGACGATGACGACATGATAGCATTATATATAAGAATGCAAATTTTTTGCGGTCGTATAAAAATAGATATGATGAATTCTAATAGACAACATTGTCGCAAACTGATTTTTTTGTTGTTGAAAAGAATTTTAAACGTAAAATATGATTATTTTAGTTAGCGAAAAAAGATTGAAAGTGGCGAAAAATATATTGTTTTGGTGAAAGAGGTGGTGGAAAAGAAAACTGAGCCAGTGGAAACCCAGATTTGGTTACTTTAAAAATATCAAATTGATTTTTGTTAACACAAAAGATTATTTTGCTTATAAAACATCATATTTACCAAACAAAATGCAAGTGATATTGACAGATTTAAATGCTTTAAAACATTATTTGAAGGAAAACCTGAACCTAGAAAAATAGATTTCAATCAAAAACTTTTTCTGTGAACATACTTTTATTCATGGGGTTCCAATTTTTGTGGTTTCTTGGATGGCTTTATCAACAAATTTAAGTGAATAACGAAATATAACAACTATTGTCCAAATCATGACATATAAAGATCTACATGGATACAGATATATAATTAAGAGAATACATCGAATATCAGCAAACACACTTATAACTATATATATATACAACTTTAGACATGATTTTACCCATTTTTAATCTTTAGAAACCTAAACTGTATGACTTTGAACCTTTTAATTCTCATGAAAAACTAGTTTTGATCGACAAAAGTCATACTTCCAGTGATGATATGCGATGACAAAGTGTTCAGTTTTCTTCTCATAATTCTCATACAAAAATAAATGGGGAATGTGTCCATGGGACACAGATGATGCCCCTGTTGCATATAAAGTTATAAAGGGACATAACTCAAGAACTGTAAAAGTGACATAACCCAAATTTGTACTTGATCTGAGTTTTGTGGTAATAAGCATTGTATATTAGTTTCATAACATTTAGTTGAGGCAAACTTAAGTTAGAGAACCGAAACGAAAAAATTCAGCAATTTTTCCATTTGTAAAGGGGCATAGCTCTAGATCGGTAAAAGTGATGCCACCAAAATTCAAACTTTATCTGTGTTTTGTAGTAATTAGCATTGTGCATAAGGTTCATAAAATTTGGTTGAGGCAAACTAAAGTAAGAGAACAGAAACAAATATTTCAGCAATTTTTCCATTTGTGAAGGGGCATAACTCTAGAACAGTAAAAGTGACGCCACCAAAATTCAAACTTGATCTGTGTTTTGTTGTAATAAGCATTGTGTATAAGTTTCATAACATTTGGTTGAGGCAAACTAAAGTTGGAGAACGGAAACGAAAAATTCAGCAATTTTTCCATTTGTAAAGGGGCATAAATCTAGAACGGTAAAAGTGACACCACCAAAATTCAAACTTGATTTTGTGTTTTGTGGAAATTAGCATTGTGTATAAGTTTCATAACATTTGGTTGAAGCAAACTAAAGTTGGAGAACGGAAATGAAAAATTCAGCAATTTATCCCAATTGTAAAGGGACATAACTCTAGAAAGGTAAAAGTGAAGCCACCAAAATTCAAACTTGATCTGTGTTTTGTGGTAATAAGCATTGTGTGTAAGTTTCATAACATTTGGTTCAGGCAAACTAAAGTTAGAGAACTTAAATCAATTTTGGGACATACGGACAGACGGACGTACGTACAGATATACAAGGGTAAAACTTAATGCCTCCTCCGCTACGGCAGGGGCATTAAAAAAATAAAATTTCATATATGGGCTTGCTTTTTTATTTTATATATGGGCTTGCTATTTTATTTCATAAGAATTAATTCTACAATTGAAAGTGCATTTGTAGCATTTTTTATGTAACTGTTTTCTTGAAGTGACATGTTATGACCCAATTAACACCTTTGATGATCCTTAATCTGTTGATTATTCCATCTCGGGTTAATTAATTGTCAACACTCCTGATTACAAGTGTGCAACAACTAAAATGTGTGCTCTGCAATTTCCTTCAATCGAGACAATTTGTAATCATAGATTAATCAGCTTATTTCCGAAAGCAATTATTTTATTAAAAATTTGCTGAATATTGTCGGTAATGACAACAAATACAATTAGGGGAAAATGAACACCTAATTTCAAAATGTCCCACAAATCATTATAAAACAAAATATGATTATTTTCAAGAATCTTCATTTCTAATGGCTTCAAATTCTTCACTCGATTTTTTTCAGTAAACTAAAATCCACGAATTTAAGAATGCACACACATGTACCTTTTGCTCAAACTATAAAGGTTGATATCCACAGATAAAAAGTACTTTCATAAATACTAGAGCCCCTGGTTGCCCATTGTAGACTAATAATAAATGGTGATTTATTTTCTTCTCTTTATTTGCCTGATAAAGTTTTTTAATTTCTAATATCACATTTAAATTAAAGAAGAAAAAGAAGATTTTAAGTTTGGTCTTTAGATATCTATTTATGCTGTACCTTTGTTATACAATATTGAATGGCAGTTTTGATTTTATTTTCCTTTTTGAGAACATGTCATTCTGCATGCCTTTGCTCACACACATTTTTCCAGCCTATTGGTTTCAACGAAGCTTATTATAATTAAGGAAGGGTTAAGCTTCCTGAGAAGATAACAAAATTTTTGGGAGGGATGGACAGACGTTAACTAGAATATTGCCCTCCTTTCGCAGAGGTTGTATAATGATACTTACGATCCATAAGCAAAACATTCCATTCTGACATTAAATCCTTTCAATGGACGTTCTGGTGACACATATATAAAATCATCTTGTATATCTGGTCCCCAGTTGGTCATAGGAGCTGAAAAATATAGTGAATCATTTTTTTATAAATAAGCAAAACCTACATATCATGCATTATTAAATGATATGAGCAAATCAGCCCTAATAGGAATAAATCAGCATGTTCAATACTGATGACGTTGCCCTGTCGATATAAATCAAGAGTTAATATTGCTTTTCGGACAGGGTCAATACGAAAAAAAGCCGTATTGGCCCATGGGCTAATACGGGAGGTTCACTTCCCGTTTCAATTTTCTTACGCCTTACTTAACTTTGGACGTATCGTTATGCATAAAAAACATTTGTATTATATTTTTTATAACTTAAAATCATAAAATAAAAAGTTTAAATGATGTTCAGTGTTTTGTAACGTCTTGAAGTCTTGAAACGGAAATATTTCACAGCCTTTTCGAGTACGACTTTCGATTATTGACACTGTTTCAATTCTGTTCATCAATCATCAGAACGCAGACGATCCAAAAGTAAGAATAGTTAAACTGCCTGATTTATTCTTCCCAGCTACTTTATATTTGCTAGATAAAATGAATTGTAATATCATAATTATTATTAAGTACTTGGATGAGAAATCAGAAATTACATCTGACAATGTTGACAAAAAATCCATGGACGTGAATGCGAAAAGACAAGTTCAGATATGAAATTCTGTATCTTCTTCACGGAAAGTTTCTTGGTTTATTCTAATTAAAAGAATTAAAATCATTTCATGAAAGTGTTATGAACTGGCTGTTTCTGTATTGGCCCTGTTATAGATTCTCGATTAGCTGTATTGGCCCTCGACTCTCCAATACAGCTACCGGTAACCTCGAATCTATAACAGGGCCAATACAGAAACAGCCAGTTAATAACACTATAATACAATATAACAAACTGCATCTATAAGAAAATCTGCAATGATTAATGCAATAATGTAAATATCAGAACCGGTAATTAAGGAAGGGTTAAGCTCTCTGAAAACTGATTCCTTCATTCCAAGCATCATGACAAACTTGAATTAAGTATTAGATGCTTTTGTAGTTTTAAGCAAAGTACTTCAAACCAAAAATATAGTGTCATTGAGGGCATGTGCAGTAATTATTGGGACATAAAACATCACTATAAAACATCACTTTAAAATACCACATGATTGTCCTCTGCCAATCAGAATGATAGAATTTTTAATGAAATATTGATGTAATATAATTATTTTGAAGTAATCCTGGAGAAAAAACTTTCTGGATGGATTACTTTAATATAATATATATCTTTGTTAATAAATAAAGAATGTGTCCATGGGATACAGATGCCCCTGCTTGTAAATATACAGTAATTTTTCCATTTATAAAGGGACATAACTTAAGAACATCTAGAACAGTGAAAGTGACGCCACCCAAATTCGAAAATTCGAACTTCATCTGTGTTGGGTGGTAATAAGCATTGTATATATGTTTCATAACATTTGAGTTAGACAAACTTAAGAGTGCGGAAACGGAAAATTTAGCATTTTTTCCATTTATGAAGGGACCTTACTCAAGAACAGTGAAAGTGAAACCATTAAAATTTGAACTTGATCAGTGTTTGCCCTGTTTGGTGGTAACAAGCATTGTGTAAGATTCATAACATTTAGTTGAGTCAAACTAAAGTTAGAGAACGGACGTACAGATGGACAAGGGTTAAACTTATTGCCCCCTCCGTTGTGGCGGGGGCATTAAAACTGGGAGATCAAATAACAATAATAAATGTCATTAAAACCTGTCACAAAATGAAAATCAACTTTTCTAGCCTTTTTTTAAATAGTTTATTTGTCTTTCAGATTTTGGTTATGCAATTAAAAGCAGTGGTCATAACTGAAATATTATGTTTTACCTTTTTGCCTAACTATCATTGTGATAGGCCTGCTGACTCTACTAGGGGCTTGAGATGTTCCTAGAGAAGAAGTTGTCAAACTAGTCAATGACACCTGGCAGTAATAGTCTAAAGCATCAATCAATGTCACCTCTGAGAAATACAGTCTACCATTGGCAGACATGAAGGTATATGGTGTCGTTTCAGTTATTATCTCCCTTGGTGGATTTCCTCTTAGCCACATGTAAGTAGCAGCTGTAAGTAATAAACAGACATGGTCTAATTAATACAAATATTTCATCAAGTTTTATTCTATATTTACATGAAACTATATCAAAAGTTTATTGTATCTTTAGTTGTGCATATATGAATGATCAGTTATCATAATTATGATTTATTTTTTTCTCAATGCATTTCATAAAAAAAAAAAAATCAATAAATGAGTAGGGCAATAGTTGTCCCTATTTGGTCCCAAATAAAGTGAAAAGTTTTAAGTTATCATACATGGTTTTAAATTTTTTCCAACATTACCTAGGTATTAGGTGTTAAGGGAATAAATAAAAATTTCACATTTAATGACCAAGCCATGATGAAATTAGTGTATTTTGTTAAAATCTCTTTTTCCCCCTTTTTTTTTGGTATAAAATTTTGAGCATATTTTGGATTAACAAAATAACAACTTTATACTTGATGTTTTATGCAAATAGCTATAAGAAAGTTTCTCTAAACACTTTTTGTTGCTATTTTACTGCAGCCAATGTTTTCACCCAAGAAATATGGATGGAAAACTACATAAAGTTGGCTTATCTTAATTTCTTGAAATATTTGATTGAACTACATCAAGAAAAGGAGTAGGTCCGGTAAGACCCCTTTTTGGCCCCAAAATATAGCGATTTTACAAAGTAGTTAAAAATGTCACTTATAGCTATTTATTGGAAAGTAGAATACTTGTGTTACATGAATATGGGCTGTTTTTGACAATACAATGAACATGCATCAGGTACTAGCATCCTTTTTTCATGCAAAAATACTGAAATTTTCACAATTTTAGCATTTGTGTTAATTGTAAGACGGTTTTTGTCTAAAATGGAAGTGGCCGCACTTGTGTTCAGTCTTAATATTTAAATATATGGTGTATTTAATGATAATACATAACATATATAAATGTTGAGACTGAACACGAATGCGGCCACATCCATTTTAGACAAAAGCCATCTGAAAAGTGACGTTTTATGGCATAGTTGAAAGATTTTTCATATTTAAGCTTGAATTTGAGTCTTTAATGATCAAATTGGTTAAAATCTTTAACATAGACTAATTGAATCGACTTAAGTAGACACTGGAGTGTTTCAAAAATGTCAAAAATCTTTTATCAGATGTACTCCGAATTGTAGGCCGAAATTAGCCCTTATCGGACCTTCTCCTTTGAAAATCGCAAAATCAAAACGCCACGAAGTAGCCAAGAAAGGGGTAAATGCGAATAAAAATATCCACCAAAAAAAAGTTGGTTTACAGTAATATCAAAAGATCTTTTTATTGATGCATGTGCTCTTTAAATATTCCAGTCCTTAAAATCATTGAAAATTGACCTGTTTTCATTGAATTTTCTTGGAAAATCAAAGTTTTGGCTATTTGCTAAGTCATGAAAAGAACGCTTGTACAAAATATTTTTAACAATAAGACGTATTTCCTATATTGTCAATGTCTTAGCTATGATTCATTGTGATATTGACCAATAAATTCTAATTTAAATTTTAAGCTGAAAATAGGGATCACACAAGGTCATGTTTTTCTGTGACTGTTAATGACGTCTTTACTCTAAATCCATTGGATGTTGGATGTATACTTATTGATATTTTAGTCTTAGATGCACGATTTTTTTTTTTCATTAGTTGTTATTGACTTTGAACTATATGACAGATCTGTGAGTACTCTCGGATCTGTACTTAGTCTTTTTGTTGTGGGGATTACAGTACCCTGCCACGTCCACTCTGTGCTTTTGTTAGATGTATTTCTATTTGTATCCATCTGATGAGTTAGGCCTATTTCAACTGCTTTTTTATAGTTTGTTCTTATGTTGTACTGTTACACCACTGTCCCAGGTTGGGGAGGGTTGGCGCCTTCAAAATAGTGTAACCACGCCACATTCTGTATGTGCCTGTCCCAAGTCAGGAGCCTGTAATTCAGTGGTTGTCATTTGTTGCTGTGTATCATATTTGTTTTTCGTTCATTATTTTGTACATTAATTAGGCTGTTATTTTTCTCGTTTGAATTGTTTCACATTTGTCATTTCAGGGTCTTTTATAGCTGACTATGCAGTATGGGTTTTGCTCATTGTTGAATGCTGTACGATGACCTATAGTTGTTAATGTCTGTGTCATTTGGTCTCTTGAGGAGAGTTGTCTCATTGGCAATCATACCACATCTCAGGGCTTCCAAAATTATTCTTAGCCAGCCGGACATTTTATATATTATCCCGAATTAAATCCCTTAAGACAAAATAAACAAAAGGCAATTATGGTAATCAGTTGCCAAGTTGGCCATCCCAATGATTGACATAAAAAAAAACCGATATTAAACTTTCTTTGATTCAAATTCGAAGTTCTGACGTACCGGTAAACTGTTAAATTGGTAGTGCATCATTCGAAGTGTGCAACATCAGCGTACTTATATCTGCCTTAGACTCTTTATTTGTGCAAACTAACGTTGTCAAAAACTTTACTTTTGTTTTTAAATCTAATACCGGATGTTATCTTGACAATGGTAAAACATGGACCAGAGTCGGATACGTAAATTCTGGGTACGTTTGCAAAGCATGAATGAGTGTAAGTAGCTCTTTCTTCAAGAAAATATTCGAAATAAACGTGAGATAAAGGAATCAATGACAATTTAAGCATTTTTTGAAGAAATTAGGATGCATAATTAAATTTCACACCTGCGCACATGTGTACTAGTTCAAACAGTGTCATGTCTCTGGTTCAAACAACGTGGTAATGACAATTTTTCATTTTCACCTTTTTAATTTTTTCATCAAATCATATTTGTAAACGTATTTCTGATAATTTAAATCTTTTTGACTAAATTAATTAGATGCAAACCACTGAAATGTAAGAAAATAACTTTGAATAGACCCATCAATGTCCGGTTCAAAATAGTTTACCTGTCACCTGAACAGGTAAATTTCAGCTGTTCGACAACTAATTAGCCTTGTTTAAATGAGAAGGTATTAAAGTAGGGGTTGTTTTGATAGAACTTAAGGATTATGTCACTTTTATGACCAGAAATGTGTCATTATGTATGGCTGTTAAAGGCAAAAGGTTGGGTCAAAAAGATCGCGAATTATGTTAAAATGACCGTCTCTTAAGAAAGCCTTGAAAACTATAATAGATGACCGTTTCATGCTTTGCCTAGCCGGAATTTTACCGGACATTATACAAATGTCCAGAATATATGACCATTTTGGAAGCCTTGCCACATCTTCTTATTTTTATAACTACTTCTTTCCATAAATATTTTAACTTTAATTGAATACAAATTTTTAATAATTTGAACATTGACTGTAATCTGAGTAATTATCTTTCATATCTAGGTACTGTTGAATTTTACCTGGATCAGCCTTGATATGGCTACAGTGTATGACACTTCCTTCATATGCATTGGCAAATACTGGTGCATCTTTTACATTGGAAAATTCTCCAAGACCTATGAATATAACAAGGTACATTTAGGTTTTGTACAAATACAAATGGTCAGTCAGAGGATTAGGTTCCCCAGGTAAAGGCAACATATCTCTTTAGTCCTAGCTAGTAATTACATTACTGAATAAAGATGTATTTTTTTTAATTCAGGTTGTCCTTCAAAATTTCATTTTGTGCCAAAAAAAGTTCTAAACAAACTTATGGCAAAAGGAAAGAGCTATTTCTGTGATATTCCTTTTGCATCTTTTTTCCAAATAATATGATTCATAAGATACTTTAAATTACAGTCAAACCTGTATTAAGCATTCACTCTTGGGAAGTATCAAAAGTGACAGCTCAAGAGAGGTGACCTTTGAAATGAGGTTCTGAAAAAAAAATTGAATGCTAGATCGCCTATGGTTGGGATTGGGGCAAATTGTTTAAGTCTTTTCAATCGGTAGATTTATGGTTCTTGCGTCAATGAAATAAAAAAAATGGCGGATTCAGGCACTGTAAACATGAAGAAAAAATTCAAATTTTTTAATATTCGTGGAGAAATTAGTCAGTGATACGGTTTTCAATGAAAATGGAAAGGAGTGGAACATGAGGAATTCACGAATTCACCTCCTGTTGCAGAATCTCGGTTGCAAATGGTTCCGATTTTCATTTTGACTTCGATACAGAACACAAATATTTTTCAGCATGATTATTTCGGTAGTTAAAAACATTGAAATGACCGTTGTTAAAAGTCGAAATGAAGATTTTGTGCAACAAATAGGTGACTGCTGGCCGCGTTAGACAGGTGACCACTGGTTTGAGTAACTATATAGAGAAAATGTTTGGGAGGGTCTGAAAGTGACCATTAGAGGCAGGTGACCGCCGAAACGAGGTGACCGTTAAGGCAGGTTTGACTGTATGTGTAAAAACTGTTCAAATATAAATTTTTATATCTTTTCATCCTTGGAACAGGATTTTGACCCAACCCAGTGTGTCAAACTCATACATTTTTAAGTGGATACTGGCCTTCTGATACATTCTCTAAGATGTACCCAGTGTACCTTTTAGATATCTGTTAAAATTCTCATTTCATTAAATATATGAAAACATTAAAAAAATAAATGTGGATAGTGTCCACTAGTGGACACAGATGATGCCCCCGCTTGCATATCATATAGTTATAAAGGGACATAACTGAAGAACGGTAAAAGTGACGCTACCCAAATTTGAACTTGATCTGAGTTTTGTGGTAATAAGCATTGTGTGTAAGTCTCATAACATTTGGTTGAGGCTAACTTAAGTAGAGAACAGAAACTAAAAATTCAGCAATTTTTCTATTTGTAAACACGCATAACTCTAGAACGTTGTGTATAAGTTTTACAACATTTGGTTGAGACAAACTAAAAAATTCAGCAATATTTATATTTATAAAGGGACATAACTCTAGAATGGTAAAAGTGTTGCCACCTAATTTCGTACTTAATCTGTATTATGTAGTAATAAGCATTGTGTATAAGTTTCATAACATTTGGTTGAGGCAAACTCAAGTTAGAGAACTGAAACAAAAAAATTGTACTTGATCCTTACTGAGTTTTGTGGTAATGAATATTGTGTATAGGTTTCATAATGTTTGGCTGGGGAAAACTTCAGTTACAGAATGGAAACTAAAAAATTTTGCAATCTTTCTATTTATAAAGGGGCATAACTCAATAATGGTTAAAGTGACACTACCCAAATTCAACTTGATCTGTGTTTTATCAGTGGAAGTCAAAATTAAACATTGCATTGTATAAAGCATTGATTGTAGTTGATTCAACTATAATCATGGTCAAAGGAAGATAACTCCAATTTTAAAAAAATATTATATAAACTTGATATTTAGAAGAAAATAAAAATTTTGCAATTTTTCCTTTTATAAAGGGGCATAACTCTAGATCGGTTCAAGTGACACCACCAAAATTCAAAATTGATCTGTGTTTTGTGGTAATAAGCATTTTGTATAAGTTTCATAACATTTGGTTGAGGCAAACTTAAGTTAGAGAACGGAAACTAAAAATTTTGCAATATTTCCTTTTATAAAGGGGCATAACTCTAGATCGGTTAAAGTGACGCCACCATAATTCAAACTTGATCTGTGTTTTGTGGTAATAAGCATTGTGTATATGTTTCAGAACATTTGGTTGAGGCAAACTCAAGTTAGAGAACGGAAACCAATTTCGGGACGTACGGACGGACGTACGTACAGACGGACAAGGGTAAAACTTAATGCCCCCTCCGCTACGGCGGGGGCATAAAAATTCTTTTGTAAAATATAGTTCGTGTTGACTTATGTTTGACACTGGTTGCCATTGAACAAGTTTAAGTACATGAATACTGATCTATCTTATAAGCAATACATAGAATGTACATTTTTGTATTTTTGAACTTAGAATATTACATAACTGCTGAGTTAAATTAAAAATTTTCAGTTACAAAAAAAGACTCTATCTTAAATGTATTCTCTCAAAGAAAAAAAGTAATTCTACATGTCATGCTTAATGAACAAACTTACTTCCAAAGGCCAATTGGACTGGGTTACTTATGACTGTTCCAATCTCATTAGAAACTTGACACTGGTAAGTTGATGCATCCTTGGCTTCATCAGGATCCTGTATTGATAGCTTTCCATTTGTCATTGTGTACCTATTGTCAGTTGAAGCACTCACCTTCAATCAAAGAAATTAAAAATTTTCCTAACCTTGCACATATATATGGTAAAAACAGAAATTGTCATTGGGGTTTTAATTTTAGTTTATTCTGCGGATAGAAAATAACCATGAAATCTAAACCCAAGAGAAATTTTAACCGACAAATTACTTTTATTTTAGAAACCACGAAAATTTATCCCATTGAAATCATATTTAAACACAAAACCATAAAATGTTAACTGCAAGAAAAATGAATGTTTCTATAGTAATGGTTTCTCAGGATGAAAAAAATTAAAAAGATTTGCATAAAAATGATTTCTTTTAATTTTCAATTTAAGGTAGTTAAATGTCTAAATTAAAATCCATATAATTTTTTAATAAGTCGCCAAAATGTAGTTTACATCATGCTTTTTTCAAGCTACAGGTTCTGCAAAATTGTCAGATTTGGAAAAAAATTATACATGGAAAACCCAATTTTGTGTGGTATAAAAAAAAACAATTGAAGAATTTTAAGATAAATATGAGAACTTGCTCTTATTATGTGCTTTCAGAAAATAAAAATAACAAGCATTCTGAGAGTATTGCATGGCAATACATAGTCCCCTACCATTTAAAAATTCATTGTACTGGAACAAAATGCTAATTTGATCTATAACTTGTCATGGTGTAAACTGTGAATTTTCTAAGTCCAAGGACCATAACTCTGCACAAAATCATCACACCGGAACAAAATTCATACTTGATCTGTAATTTGTCATGATAAAACTATATACCAATTATCAAATCAATATCTACAAGCATGACGAAAAAAAGTGCGGAAATCTCATTATTTGAGTGAATTTTCTAAGTCCAAGGACCATAACTCTGCACAAAATTATCAGACCAGAGCAAAATTCGAACTTGATCTGTAACTTGTCATGATATTACAATACACCAAATATCAAATCAATATCTTCATGCACGTAGAAAAAAGTGTGGAAAACTGATTTGCCTGACTGACAGACAGACAGACAGACAGACAAAGTGCATACTTTAAGTCCCCTTCGACTTCGTTGGTAGGGGACTAAAAATTGGGGTCACCTGACTCATTTTCTTGCTACAAAACAAAATAAGTAAATTCATAACTGATTCTTTTATAAAAGTTAAAAACTTGAATTATCTCCCCTTTTATGGCAAAGTTGAAAAAAAATTGAATCAAACAAAGTATATTCTGTATTTGTAAAAAAGTCGACAAATTGATAAAACACATAATTTTCTTCTTTAAGGCAAAATGTCTTACAAATGAATTCTATTTATCTCTCTATAATTTGCACATTCCATTAAAGACCTAGACTTATTGTTATTGATATTTTACAAACACCAATCAATCAATATTTTACAATCCAAGATGGAGGAAGACACCCAATCTGCCTTTATCATCTTGATCAACAATAATGCCATGCTGGAACTTTAAATCATTGAAGACAAGAAATGATTGTAACAGGATGCTGTTACAAAGTCTCCCAAACAAAGCTCCCATAATTCGTAATTCCCAGGGTCGCCTGACAATGGGCAAAGTCCAGTGAAAATTGGTTTGGTCCAGTAAAGTTATATGCATTAGTGATGCCTGGGGACTAACCCTGTATATCATTCAAATCATCTTGGCATGACAAACCAGAATATATATGGTTTAGGGGTGGGGATCTCGACCATTTACAAGATATTAGAACTTTCTCAAATGGCAGGGGGTCGGGATGACCCCTGGGGACTAACCCTGTATATCATTCAAACCATCTTAGCATGACAAACCAGAATATATATGGTTTAGGGGTGGGGATCTTGAACACTTACAAGATATTAGAACTTTCTTAAATGGCATGGGGTGGGGGTGACCCCTGGGGACTAACCCTGTATTTCATTTAATGTGTTTATCATGACAAACCAGAATATATATGGTTTAGGGGTGGGGATCTCGACCATTTACAAGATATTAGAACTTTCTCAAATGGCAGGGGGTCGGGATGACCCCTGGGGACTAACCCTATATATTATTCAAACCATCTTAGCATGATAAACCAGAATATATATGGTTTAGGGGTGGGGATCTTGGCCACTTACAAGATATTAGAACTTTCTTAAATGGCATAGGGTGAGGGTGACCCCTGGGGACTAACCCTGTATTTCATTCAAACCATCTTAGCATGACAAACCAGAATATATATGGTTTAGGGATGGGGATCTCGACCATTTACAAGGTATTAGAACTTTCTTAAATGGCAGGGGGTGGGGGTGACCCCTGGGGACTAACCCTGTATTTCATTTCATGTGCTTTATCATGACAAACCAGAATATATATGGTTTAGGGGTGGGGATCTCGACCATTTACAAGATATTAGAACTTTCTCAAATGGCAGGGGGTCGGGATGACCCCTGCGGACTAACCCTGTAAATCATTCAAACCATCTTAGCATGACAAACCAGAATATATATGGTTTAGGGGTGGGGATCTTGACCACTTACAAGGTATTAGAACTTTCTTAAATGGCAGGGGGTGGGGGTGACCCCTGGGGACTAACCCTGTATTTCATTTAATGGGTTTTACCATTTAGAACATTTTCAATTAAAAAGATTGTGTCTATCACAAACGGTTTTCAATTTATAATCATTTGAAAATTTAAAAAAATAAAATCCCATAGGGTTCTATAGTAAAACCCTCTTTTCCTTTTGCCCCTCAAAGTACCCCTTTATAAACACCATTGCACAAACAAAACCCTGATTGCACCACTAGACATGTTACTGTGGATTCATTTTTATTCGTGGTATACCAATTTTTCGTGGGTTTCGTGGGTCACAGCGAACCACGAATTTAAGAATTCAACGAAGAATAATCCTGAGAAATGTGTATGGAGTTGGATGTTTATTTCAGGTTATGTTATGCAGTTCTGGTATAGTGTTGACTTGCGATAAACATTGTAACATAACACGTGTTTTTATTGAAATAAGATACAAGTATTTTGATAAAATCAATAATAAATATATCGACTATCAGTGATAGTTTACTTTTTAAAATTGATTAGAACTCTTCATGAAAAATAACTGCAAGTTGTTTATTACCGTGTCATAGTTAGGTTTACTGGTGATTGAAAATCAATAGGATTAATTAAGGACGGGGATATTGCCCGTAGGTAATATTGTTTATGACAGGAACATTTATTTTCACACCTTTAACTTATATGACTGTTAATTATATCGTGATTAGGGAAATGAGCTTTCAATCAAAGAGTTTTGAATGCCTTATAAAATTCCGACAAGAATTTATAAATTGTAAAACAAACAAATAATTTGTCTCTGCCCATTATTGTAATAGAAGTTTTCAATGAACACTTTAACCTAGAATGACCAAGTGAGGATTTTTACAATTCAAAACTTTTTCAATGATTCCTATCTTTTTATTGATCAAACCAAGGAGGTTATATGATTTTCTAAATCAAAAAGAAATCCAAGAATTACGTATCTGATTTTTATTTTTGTAATCAGCGATCCACGAATTTACGTATACCACGAAACGTCTTTTTTTCTCTATCCACGAAAATTGATATCCACGAAAATAAATGAATCCACAGTAGTCTAACATATTGTGAAACCCTAAGTTAATCTGACAAGCGGTTTTGGAGAATGGGTGCGGACAAGTTCAAATTTAAAAACGGCGGAAGAGGAAGAGGAAGAGGAAGAAGAATAATAATAATAATAAGAACTGAGCAAAAACAATAAGTCTTCCCAAACTTCGTTTGGGAGACTTAAAAATTCGTAAGGGTTCCGCGGAACCCAGTGTCTCGCCTACTTCTGCTGTTAATCACAGGCTCAACAAAAATGAGGAAAAAAATTAATAAAAATATTCCTCTCTATACTATCTTTTGATTGAAAGTAGCTTCTGTCCAAGTTTGGTAAAAATCCAGGATACTTTATGAATCTAATAAATGTTTTAAAATAAAAACTTAAACTGCAGACTGTTATGTAATGTTAACTGGAAGAAAAACTAAGTCCATTTATAAGTAAAATACGGAAAAAATGGAACAAAATTTTAACAAAATTTCCTTTTAGATACTAGCTTTTAATCATAAACAAGCTTCTGTCTAAGTTTGGTACAAATCCAGGATAGTTTAAGAAAGTTGTTAAAATTTTAAAAACTTTAACCACAGAGTGAATGTAATGTTAACTGGCAGAAAAACTAAGTCCATTTATAAGTAAAATACGAAAAAAATGGAATTTTTTTTTTACAAAATTTACTTCTGCATACTATCTTATGATCACAAACAAGCTTCTTTCCAAGTTTGGTACAAATCCAGGATAGTTTAAGAAAGTTATTAAAATTTCAAAAACTTTTACCACAGAGTGAATGTAATGTTTCCTGGCAGAAAAACTAAGTCCATTTATAAGTAAAATACGGAAAAAATGGAATTTTTTTTTTACAAAATTTACTTCTGGATACTATCTTATGATCACAAACAAGCTTCTTTCCAAGTTTGGTACAAATCCAGGATAGTTTAAGAAAGTTATTAAAATTTCAAAAACTTTAACCACAGAGTGAATGTAATGTTTCCTGGCAGAAAAACTAAGTCCATTTATAAGTAAAATACGGTAAAAATGGAATTTTTTTTTTACAAAATTTACTTTTGAATATTATCATTTGATCATAAACAAGCTTCTGTCCAAGTTTGGTAGAAATGCAGGGTAGTTTAAGAAAGTTATTAAAATTTCAAAAACTTTAACCACAGAGTGAATATTTGTGGACGCCGCCGACGACGACGACGCCGACGGAATGTAGGATCGCTATGTCTCGCTTTTGCGACAAAAGTCGAAGGCTCGACAAAAATGATTGAGATATCAAATTTGAGGCTTTTGCAGACATTGAAAATTTTATTTGCCTTCATTGAGAAGGACCACTTTTGGTTCTTAGGTAAGTTGGTGTCCTTGACTTTAAAGACATCTTAAAGCCAGTTGAAAACATTGTGAAAGGCAGTGATGTTAAAAAAGATATTGAATATTGATCCCATGTTTTGAGTATCTTTTCTAAGCATGAACAAAAGTTTACATATTAAAATTTTATGGTTCATTGGTCAATGTTATTCAAGAAATAATTCATGGAAGCCATAGATTTGTTGGACATTTACACATGGCCTGGGCCGTGATATTCGAATTTTATCCTGAGCGTTAGCAGATATGCAGAATACAACATGCAAACATTTAAACAGATTGCATAACATTCTATAAAGAAGGACCAAATCTTGTTCTCATAGTACTTTGTCCTTTCAAATCCTTTCAATTCCTTATTGAATTAAATTTAAAATTAACCAAGAATCTTACATTTCCAGAGCCTTCTTTTCAGAAATTGCATTTATGGCCATCATTAACTAAATCCTTACTGCAATGCTTTTCCACTTACTAAAATGTTGTGCTTTGAGGTTATTATAGAATCATCCCTGACTAATCTTACCTCTTCAGTCAAACCCAATCCTCTGAACCATTTGTAACGACAGGTAGGATAACATGATGCTCGGCACTCTACATTAGCAATTGGAGTGCGAGAAACTACCATCACACTTTCAGGCTGTGCTTGGAAAATTGGTCCTCTTTGTATATTGGTCAGATTTTGAAATGGTATACCAAATTCTTCAAAAAAAGTTATATTATTCCATATGCTTTAACATGACATATACAAGATCCATCAGCAAAGTTGGGTCAAAATTGCTTGTGGGTTTCAAAGTGTGGAATAAAACTATAAAATGAATATATCATTTCAATCTTTCAATTTAATGGGCATGTATCTAATAATTATGTTAATAATTGAATGATTTTATCCATTTGAGCAATGGCCCATAGAATCAAGATGGAAAAACTTGATTTATTTAACTTCACTTATTAAAAAATTTGCATTTAGAAATCAATTTCTCATAAATTTACAGTATTATTCCAAAGCTCCTCAGTGTATACACATGTACTACATACATATATAACAGAAATTTAATCATTTAAAATGGAATCATGTACAGTAACCGAATAGACATGTTAAAGTGAATCATCATCTGAACATTCACCATACATATCCATACTAATGATATGCACTCAGAAATTAAAATATGGGACTGTTCCTGCCTAACTAGAAGTGCACATCTTGACTCAGTTTTCTGAGTGTTAGGAGTTATAGTTTCTTTCACAGCATAATTTATAGCTATGACATGAAGTGAATCCATACAAATAACCATTACTTAACATGGGTCTACAAGAAGATTCAAAGATCCATTTAGTATATTTTTAAAACATTTGTTTACCCACACAGCTTATTACAAAGACCCAAAAGATCACTGGAGGTTTATAATGGTATGTAACATGTTGCTTTAGAAGAAGCTACCATGCAGGCAATATCTTAAGATAACTTGAAAATGTATTTCTTTTCAGAAAATTGTATGTGTCCCAAATTTTAGAAATTTTACACAGATTACATGAAGGAATAAATTTGGATACGACCACAGAGGTCTAACCATGAACAGTTGGGGCAAAAATGGATGCAATATTCGCGCTTGATACAGGTCTGAATTTGGATTGTAATTAAATATTTGACATATAAAAGGTTTCTGACACAGAATAACTGTAGTCAAAGAACTTAGAATTAGTTATATGATTTGAATTTATATTCAATTTTTTGCTTTTGTGCAATACACTTTGCTGTTGCGAATTGGCCCCCCCCTCCCCCTAAAAAAAAAAAAAAAATCCCCCCCCCCCCCCCTTTTTTTTTGGTGCTGTTGCGTAACCCCCCTCCCCCTCCCCCCGACACACTTTTTTTTGGCAAACAAAAATAATATTTGAAGAATTTTTGTTTTTAATTTCTGAAATCTGAAATGAGTAAAAAATGACCCCCCCTTTTTCCCCCAAAAAAATTCTTTCCCTCAAGATATGGTCATAATCTCAATTCAAATTTCCAATGGAGTTTGCAACCATAATTACCCATTTAAATTTACCATAGTGATAACTTAATCTATTTCATAATAGAATTAAAAATATGGTGTCAAATCTTTCATATGGATTTTTTTGCAGATATTTTTACTGGTCTTCCTTTATAAATATGCATTTCTTTAAACATAATTTAAAATCAGTGTAAGGGAGTTAATCAAATCATTGTATTTGGATTACCTCCCTTACACTGCTTTCAAATTGTCTTAATTGTTCATTAACCATTGCTTTATACATAATTTAAAAGCAGTGTAATGGAGGTAATTCAAATGATGTATTTGAATTACCTCCCTTACACTGCTTTAAATTATGTTTTGTACTAAAGTATTTGTCCATTAACCAGGACACCCTTGTTTTTCCCCCTTTTTTGCCCCTAATTCCTAAACAGTTTGAGCCAAAACCCCCCAAAGCAAATCCTAACCATCCCTTTGTGGTATGGAAACTTGTGGTATAATTTCAGAGAGATCCATACATCGTTCCACAAGTTATTGTCTGGAAACTAGAAAAATGCTTATTTTTTGCCCCTTTTTTGCCCATAATTCCTTAACTGTTGGTACCATAACCCCCAAAATCAATCCCAACCTTCCTTTTGTGGTATTGAACCTTATGGTAAAATTTCATAGAGATCCAATCACTTAAACTTAAGTTATTGTGCGAAAACCAATGTGTCTTCGGACGACGACGACGACGCCAACGTCATACCAATACACACTGCTGATCAATTCATATGTGAAAATTCTTCACAGATAGAGATAATATATCAATGTCCCCTTTTCAGTCTATTTTAAGCATCTATGACCTTGACTTTAACTTCAAAATCAATATTTGATGTACGAGATTATTTAGAAATTCTTGTTGATAGCTGATATGATCCAGGAATCTCAATATCAACAGATATCTTATTCATAGGGGCATCATTCATTAAAAGTTATGGATATATCTAAATTTGAAAAAGTATCTGTCAAGGAAAATTTTCTTTAAATTTTAGGCTTTTTCTTTTTTCTTGACCTTGTCCCAATGATCTAAAATTAAATATGGTGCTTTCTCATTAGAAATTTCGTCTATCCCAGCTGATCAGAGATCTAATAAATGCTAAAAGAAGATGTATTTGTCCTGTCCTAACAAAAAGAGTCGGACTCAATTTGGCTAACAATTATACAAATTTACAGCCGACTCCAATGAGTGTGTAGCTAAAGGTAGAATCTTTGGTTTAATAGCTTCCTTGCTAGCTCAACCATGAAATCATTATTAGGTAAGGTACATCCAGCCTTTGGGTGGAGTCAATAGTTAAGCAGAGAACCAATCAGAATTAAGTGACAGAATATAAACATTGTAAAACTAGTTTTACAAGTCAGTTTAAAAATAAGTTTTCAATCAAAATTTAAAATTTAATGATAATTATAAGCTCATTCACAAGCATGCATGTTGTAGGTGTGTTTGATTTGCCAATTTTATTTTGATAAATGGTGAAAAGTTAACTGAAAGCTGAAATTCCTAAAATGTTTTCTTCTTCGTCAGACATTACAAATAATAATATATTTTACCTGTCTGTTGAATTTGTTACATCAAGTTAATAAAATGTAGTTGGATATGATTGACAAGTGCTGACCGTATTGACTTTTACACATACGCATATGTTTACAATACACCCGGACAGGTAAAAAAGATTGGAAGGTGTTCAAAAGTACATATGACCTGATCATTCAATCTAGGTCAGTTTAAATTTAACTGAAGTAGAGACATAATAATTGGTCTTCATGGCTGCATTATTTATCTAAAACTAATAAGTAAGGTAATGTTAACAAACCAAGTGGATGTCCATAAACTCTGCAATATTTTCAATTCTAAACTGCAGTTTGCTTGGTTTTTTTTCATTGCATTTTTAACTAAATATAAGTACTACAACCGTGCATGATAATTTTTCTTTTCTGTGTGATAATAAAAGATTTTAGATCTAAAAAATATGCATATATAAAGAAAATACATAACAATGTTTTATGCGTGGGGATTACACCAAAAGACATTAATTAACTAAACTGCCTATTCACGGCGTAAATATTTAAAAAAAAAAAACCGTCACTCCGATTCTGATTTATTGTAATAAAAAGATTTTTTAATTCAATCAAAGACTAAGAAATGAAATTTCATTTGCAAAGTAGTCTGGTAAACCTTTGTATGAAACATACATTTATTATAAATAATAAACAGGCCATTGATACAAATATTTTCATTGGATGATAGAATAGCGCTTTGCTCCTCCCAATTTTAAGGTAATAATCAATTCATGGTTGAGCTAGCAAGGAAGCTAACCAAAGATTCTACCTTTAGCTACACACTCGTTGGAATCGGCTGTAAATTGAAGAGACAGTTACAATAGCTTGTTACAATTTTTTTAAAGTCATTTTTAGTCTGTCTCATATAATTAATATTTTTAACATTTGTTTCAAACAAACCAAAAGTTCTCTTTTCCATGGTCAGTCTATATGCAAAGGTTCTTGGTATTTCACAAATGTATGGTAATACTTTGTTCTTTCCAGCTAAGCTCCAACCATATTTACTCACTGTAACAAATAAAAACAATTTATTCATTCAATTCTTATATATTATTTGTAATGAAACAATTAGTAGAGAAAAAAAAAAGTCCAATTGTATAAACTTGATAAAAACAATATCAGACAGAAGACTGAAAGCCCAAGGTTTGATATTATGATGTATCTGACTAACATTTGTCATGCACTATATAAAAACAAGAAGATGTGGTATGATTGCCAATGAGACAACTCTTCACAACAGACCAAATGACACAGAAATTAACAACTATAGGTCACTGTTCAGCCTTCAACAATGAGTAAAGCCCATACAGCATAGTCAGCTATAAAGGGCCCCGAAATGAGAAATGCGAAACTGTTTACTTCATCATAAATATTTGGAAGGAAATAAGTCTGGAAGCTCCAATTTGACATAAAGAGTATGCATTCATACTAGCATTAGAATATCATTTGTTTCACCAAATGCATTAACATATCCTTTTCTAATAACCTGCTGATTCTATCAGTCATGGGTCATTTTTTAAATTTCTGCCCATTCGTAAAAACTGTACATTTTTATTGTAATGGAAAAGAAGGGATATTGTGTAGAAACTCAATATACAAAATCTCTATCTTTTCTTCTTTATTTACATTTATTAATCTTTTTAATTCAAATTTCCTCTGTAATACAATATACCTAAGCAGTGCACGAACGCAGAGTTAGGGAGCCCTGTGTCAGTATATTCTGCAATTGTAAAATGATTGTATAGGGGAAACAACTGACATATCTTAATGATTAAAAAACCCAAATTCAACACATTTAAATTACTATTATTGAGAGAGTGGTTTGCTGTCTTCTTGATATTTACATGTTCTCTCACATGTCTTCTTATGAATATCTCAGGGTTTTTGATATCACAAACTTGTCAAAACTTTTACTAAATTTTATCATCACTACAAGGACATCAATCGTAAATATAAATCAACACACAGACATCTTATAAATTCAGGTATTTCACATCCCATCTTTTATGGTAATATTCTATACAAAGCACAAAAATGTTGTCATTCACCTCAAAAGCTAAAAAAACCTTTAAACAGACTTATTCATAAAGGATATAGTTACAATACTGTTGTCCCCTAATGGGAGGGATTGTGCTTGATTTTTATATGAACTTCTTGTGAACTGAGTTTACGAGCATGTTTAATCGTGCCTAATTTTTTGCATGTGCCAAGTCAGGAACCTCTAGCCTTTGTTACAATGTAGTCTTGTGTGCTTTTTTTATTTTAGTTCATTTGTATGTTTGGGAGTTTAGTGAGGCATCCATTTAGCTGAACTAGAAAACATTAATGTTAGGGGCCAGCTGAAGCCTGCCTCCGGGTGCAGGATCTTCTCGCTGCATTGAAGACCCTTGGTGGCCTTGGGGTGTTTTCTGCTCTTTGGTCTGGTTGTTGTCGCTTTGACACATTCGCTGTTTCCATTTTTTATTCTAATTATTATTTTCTTAATTTTTACACCACATCAAATTTTAAAAAGTTCATTGACGAAGTTCAAGATGAAAACTTCAGTAATTTACACTTTACTACTTTGATCCTGAACTCAATGTCAACTTACCTGCATAACTGTATACAATGATAACACCAGGAGACTTTTGAGCATTTGGTAACCAGTATTGCTGAGTGTAGGGTATAGGTGTCGTCTCCCCATCCCAGTACCAGGAGTTTGTACCTGAAAAGTCCTGTATTCCTCTTGTATACCAACTATTTCTATACATAAATATATAATGAAGATTATGAGCAAAATGAAATTTATGCATTTGTATGACAATACAAGATTGTAAAGATATTCCAGAAGGTAACAGTCTTGAACTAAATTTAGTCCCATGTCGGGAGCTAGTAATTCAGCGGTCATTGGCTGCTGTCTGTCATATTTGTTTGTTATTTGTTGTTTTTTTCATAAATCAAGCTGTTGGTTTTTTCATTTGAATTGTTTTACCTTTTGTTATCTTTGCCTTCTATAGCTTATTATATGGTATGGGGGTTGCTCTTTGTAAAAAGTTGTATGGTGACCTAAAGTTGCTTTCATCCCCATCATTTGGTCTCTGGTGGATACTTGTCTCAATTTACGACATAATGATGGTACATCTATTTATTTTTATATTAGACACAGATTGATTAAGTTTATCAAATGTCTGATAGCATCGGGAAAGATTGGATGTACAGATAACAGTTGTGTTTCGAAAAGGCAAACCATTAAATTAATTCTTACAGTTGTGAATATAAAATGAGATGAAGATAAAGTCAATGTTCTGAATAATAAATAATACAAACTGAAGTTTAGAATAGAAAAATATCAAATATCAACATCAAAATGTTACCAATAGTATGATGTATTCAGATCACACAAAAAAATTCCTTAAAGTTTACTTGCTAGTTTCTGAATAGTTGTTTGCTTCAATACTAGAAGATTTAGCAAGGTCCTTGTGTTAGAACATCAATCAATTTTTGAAATCAAATAAAAGAAAATGGTCAACTTTATTTCTGATGTAAAATCACTTGCATAGAACAACTCAATATTTAGCTCCTCACCAAAAAGAAAACTTTTATTCTCAATCAGTAAATACAAGTATTTCATAGAAATAACAGACTGCAACAGATTTGAACAGCACTAACTAACACAGTACAACTTCAAAATATCACGCTAAAAAATTAATACAAAATCTGTCTGATAAAATTGCAATAGTTAGAAATATGTTAATGTTTTCAATTCTGATGGATAGATGGATATTTACTTGATGTATGACTAGCTGAACCATAGATTGTGTATATATAACTTTCTCTAATTCTTCACCAATTTATCCCTTTCTGCACCCATTGTATAAAAAAAATTTAATCAACGTGTGGTTCGTTTGATCTCAGTTCTTCATTGGTTAAAATCCGATTACATACATGTGATGGACTGTGAAACTCAGATCAGGAGATTGGGAAATTTTGATCAGGAGATTAGGACTCAGATTAGGAGGTTTTTTATCGACTTAAATTTTGTCGTAAATGTAGCCTTGTGATGTAGAAATTGTCTACGGATGGTATAATCGATTAATAAAGGTCATACTTATCAAATAAATTTCAATTTAAGCCTTGAAAAAAAGTGTAGAACCCTCAAATAATCTCCAAATTATTATTTTTTTTATTTGTCCTAAGACATTTAAAATCATTTTATTACCATCGTTTTATGATAATTTTGTTCAATTTACATTTCATTCATATTCTTTTAACAATTTACATTATTTAAAGGAAAATAACTTTAAATACACAAAGTTTTTATTAAACAACGGCAGTTAGCCTGAGGTAAAAATCGTTGATTACCAGTATGTTTGACACCTAAGCTGGCAAGTGAAGTCATATAATTATGCATGTTCTTTGATTTACAGGTAAAATTTAACTTCAGGTAATGTCAGTTACACCGGATATGGCGGCTGAAAGTTTTCATTCATGAAATATTTCATACACGGGATTTTTTTCTCTTCAACGGGAGGACGGGAGGAGACCCCTGAAAACGGGATTATTGTATTCCCGTCGGGAGGTTCACATGTATGTGATTATGACGTCGAATTTACTTGCTTTCCTCTGAATTTCCTATTGTGACGGCATAAAAAAAGGCGACCATGCCTGATGACGTCACATAGAAAGAACACATCTTTTTACAGATCATTCGAAAAGACGGAATAAGTTTGCCTGCATATTGTTTGAAAATTATTAGAGAAACATATTCCACCACCAAATCTCGTGTAATACAATATTTATTCACTCTCGACAGTTCAATTTTAAATATTTAAAACGCTCGTCGAGTCTCGCGTTTTAAATTTGAAAATTTAACTGTCTTGAGTGGATAAATAATGTATCACACTCGATGCAGTGGTAGAATCTATATTTATCTTATTCTTACCCAATTTATCATTTTCCTGACCTGCTGATTATTTTTATCTAATCAACGTGTGTTTCGTTTGATCTCAATTTTTAGTTGGTCAAATTTCGATTATGAAGTCAAATTTTTTTGCTTTCCTCTGAATTTCCTATATTGATGTCATGAAAAAAGGCAACCATGCCTGATGACGTCACATAAAAAGAACATATCTTTTTTCAAGATCATTCGAAAAGAAGAATTAAGATTGTCTGTATATGTCTAAAAATCATTAGAGAAACAGATTCTACCACCAAATCTCGTGCAATATGATGTTTATCCACTCTCGACGATTAAATTTGAAATATTTACAACGCTAGGCAAGCCTTGCATTTTAATTTGAAAACTTTTAACTGTCTTCTTTGGATAAATATTGTATCGCACTTGATGCAGCAGTAGAATCTATATATACATACCTATAAAAATCATTATTGATCAGATAATTCTCAATAAAATTGTGTTCTGTTAAATCTGTGATACTTATCAGTGAGGCAAACATATCCTGTGAAATAAATAACATATTTTTAAAGTACCTGTAAATCATGTAAATGGTTACTCTTTTTGTGATACCATATGGATGACACACAAGGACAGTTAACATGGTTAATAATTTGAGCCTAAAGGTATGCCGATTACTTAGCAGCCATGTCCTATGTGGTGAGGAGTTTCCTTATTATGCAAATATTTTGCAGAAGTAAAAGTTTTCTACCTACAATGTAGGGACATTTATATTGATTGGTCTATACTCATCAAAGATCAAAGAACTTACATGTAAACATTTTCATAGATGTTGCAAAGAAAGTTTTTTTCCATATCGGAAAACAATTTGCTCATAAGTTTTTAAGATTTTCTATATGTATGTATGCCCCACAGTTTTGAAAAAAAATTCAAGTCCCAGCTGACATCCACTATGTCAGCTTCAGGACAATTAAGTATAAAAGCTCAGTAATTGACTCACAATGAACCCTCCAGTCATATTTAATTTATATTAGCACATCAGTTCTCAAGAAAATGGAAAAAAAAGAAATTCCAACATTAGCAAACATGCAAGCTAAAATATCTTCTCTGACAGTCATCTAATATCAAAATAGAATGATCATGACACAGGAACACTTTGTCAATAATGACCCAAAGTTACAATATTATCCTTAGGTAAACTGTAGTTGAAAGAGAAGATAAACTTTTAAATCAGACTTCTTTTAATATTGATTGATTGTTAATGCTTCTTTCAATACATGTAAATTGTAGTGTCATTATATGTCTTGAATGCCACATGAGAAACAGGATGAGATGTCAACATCAATGCAGATGATTTGGTTTTAAATGTTGTTTGGTAAAGAAGCAATATAGTGTTCAAGAAATAACATGTTCAGTCATTTTGTTTGCCTTTCAAGGGAAGTAATTGTTAACTGATGTTCGAGTTAACATCGTTAATCATTTATATTACTAATATAAAAAACATGTTAATCATTTATATTACTAATATAAATAAAAATTAATCAAAAACTTATCTATTAGACTTACAGCACATGTCTTCCTAGCTTTTTCATAGGTCAGTTTAGGTGAGAAGACAAACTTGTAACATGTGTTGTCAGTGGTAACCCAATCATCTGGACAATCTGCAAAATGGTTGTGTAAGAGAAAATTATACAATAACCTACACAACTACATATGAGATCAAGTGGAGTAGACTGTTATATAAACCGTAATTTTTTTCTTTAAATCACCCTTAAAATGTAGGCAGTGTGTTTACAATGCAAATTTACATAAAATTTACATTTCCAAGGAGCAACTTTTAACTCCCTTAAAAATAAGTGATTAGCGCTAATTTTTTTCAAACTAGTACTGAGATATAAATTTCTTTAAAATCCAACAATTTAGGCCCCAGAGAGTTTATTTTAATTCATGCTGAGTGGTGTACTATTGCTTTGAAAATTTTCTGTTGTACATATATATCAGTCATATACAAATATATATCTTTAACAATTTCTGATAGCTTTTTTAGTTGCAAAAGTGCAAGAAAAGAATGAATAGACTTAGGTAAATATAAAATTTTGCATGATTTTTTTAGTAACTAAAAAAAGAATTGATTCTTATTACAGATTTAGGAAGTACATATACATGTGTATATATATATCGCATTTAACATGTATAAATTTATGTAATTTTGTAATTTCAGAGAACTTGTGGCTCATAAAAAACCTGTCTCTAAATTTATCAGATTTGTTGAAGTATGCATTATGGATTTTTTACTTACTGTATCTAAGATCTTGGGATAAGACACAGGTTACCAGTAGTAATACCAGGCTGTATGTGACCATTGTAACTCTCTGTACAAAAAAAAATTTCACTAAAAATGTACAACTTTCTATGTCTTTAATATCATGTACAAATGTATATTGTTCATCTTGAAAATGCATTACACTTTGTACATGTGTCAGTGGCATAGATACATATAGTATGAATTTAATACACAAAATTATACCAGCCCAGATTACTAGAAGTATATCAGACAGAAAGTGAAGAAACTATCATATAGGACAAAGGTGGTTTGACCATTACATAAAATGTCTTAAGACTTTGTTTTATATAAATATATGCATAATGTAGTGCGCATTCTTTTTTCCACTAAATTTGATATTTCTCTGTATTATTTAGCACTTGCTAAATTAATTTTCATATTTTAAACTGGAAATTTCTAATTTTCTGCCTCTGAATCATATGTATTACTCGATCCTTCACAGTGTCTAGTTTTTTCAGGTACAACTATTATGACCAGAGGTGGATTTAGGGGTGGGGGGCCGGGCCCCCATTTTGTGGGAAAAATTTGGTTGATTATATAGGGAATCACTGAAGCATGACTGGAGCGGGCCCCCCTCTTAGGCACTCAGTGGGCCCCCTCTTATGAAAATTTCTGGATCCGCCCCTGATGATTTGTAGGTAGCTGAAATACATCTTAAAAGTGGTTTAAACTTAACCCCTTAAAAGAATAAAATATTGTCACTCACTATTATAAAACCTTGTAGTATGCATAAATCTGGTCGGATTTAAATTTTTTGTGCATCAGTTGAATTGGTTTATTAAGTTGTTTACGATTAAATCAAGGTCAAACAACGTGACTGAAATTAACAAATGTGTTTTCCAACAGGTAATGTCGATACCTATATTTAGGCATTGCACAAGGTCATGTTTTTTCTGACTGTTAACGTCTTCACACTAAATCCATTGGATGTTGGATGTGTACTGATTGATAATTTAGTCTTAGATACATGATTTTTTTTATTAGTTGTTGTTGGCCTTGAACTAGATGTACTTAAGTTTTTATGTTTTATGATTTAAGGTTGATCAAACTTTATTATTAATACTTTTTTTTTTATTTTTACACTGCTGGACATAAGGAAGGAAGGAAAAAAAAATATATACTCAAGAGTACTTTTAATGTATTTTTGTTATTAATACTATTTTCATTGTCTATTATAATATCTGTCACGTTATATACTGAACAATGTCTCATGTTTGTTGCTTCTACTATCATAATTGTTAATTGTAAATGCCCCCTGTGGGACCATGATTGGAATAATAAATATTTGATTTGATTTGATTTGATTTTGTACTAACTGTGAGAACTCTCAGATCTGTAGATCTGTACTTTGTATCTTTTTTTGGTAGGGATATATACATATAAGTAACCTGCCATATCCGGTTTTTGTTTTTGTTTGTTTTTCTGCTTTGTATTGATCTAATGAGTTAAGCCCTTTTTAACGATTTTATAGTTTGTTCTTAATTGTGCTGTAACACCTCTGTCCCAGGTTAGGGGAGGGTTGAGAGCTCAAAAACATTTTTAACCTGCCACATTCTTTATGTGCCTGTCCAAGTCACGAGTCTATAGTTCAATGGTTGTCATTGGTTCATATCTGTCATATTTGCTTTTCGTAAATTGTTTTGTTATAAATCAGGTTTTCTCAATTGAATTGTTTCATATTTTTTATGTTGGGGCCTTTTAAAGCCAACTATATGGTATGGGTTTTTCTTATTGTTAAAGGCTGTACGGTTGCCTATAATTGCTTACATCCACTTCATTTGAACTTTGGTGGATAGTAAAATTGTCTCTATGGCAATCATACCACATCTCCTCATTTTTATATAAGAGTAAACCTGTCTTGATTAAAACCATGTGATTGATAAGTATCTCTGGTCAATTGATGACAACACACTAATTGTATCTGTGGTCTGCATATAAAGAATTAGTGTTTGGCACTTTTCGATTTTGCCAAACAAATCTGACAACATTGTCGATATAACTACATGTAACTGTATTGAGTCCAATTTAAAAAATGGGAAAGCAGGAGGCATTGATAACATACCACCAGAAGCTATTAAATTCTTGGATGATATCTCTGTCCTTAGCCTGTTACAACTACTGAATAAGGTCTGGCAAGAAGAACAAATACCAGATGATTGGCGTAAAGGACTTTTGTGAAAATCCCCAAAAAAGGTGACAAGTCATTATGTAACAACTGGAGAGGTATCACTTTATTGTCCATACCTAGCAAACTGCTCTGTAGCATCATCCTTAGCAGAATAAAAAATGAAGTCGATAAGATATTAAGAGATGAACAAGCTGGCTTCAGACAAGAAAGATCATGTGAAGACCAAATAGCCACATTGAGAATTATTATCGAACAGACAATAGAATGGCAGATGCCACTTTACATGTACCTGAATTTCGTGGATTTCCAGAAAGCTTTTGATAGCATTGACCATCAGGTCCTCTGGAACATTCTGGGACGCTATGGAATTCCACAAAAGATCATCCAAATGATAAAACTGCTATACGACCAAATTTCCTATCAACTTATACACGGTGGAACTATGACTGAACCTTTCCCCTTAACAACTGGGGTACGTCAAGGTTGTCTTCTCTCTCCGCTCCTTTTCCTAATGGTAGTTGGCTGGGTTGGTAGATCAGCCTATAAAGATCCTAAAGGCATTGGATGGACTTTCACAACAGGTCTTAGAGACCTAGAATTTGCTGATGACATTTGTACACTATCCCATCGTTTCCAAGATGCACAACATCAGATCAAAAGTCTTGAAGCAGTAGCAAAACAAACAGGCCTTTACATCAACCCACAGGAAACTTAATCAATGAGGCTAAATACAAACCAGCAAGATTGTCTTAAGATCGACGACTCTACTGTTGAAGATGTACAACACTTCACTTACCTTGGAAATATTGTCAGTACATCAGGAGGCACAGACGAAGACAAATTTGGGCGAGAAAAAGAAAGCACAGCAGGTATTTTCCATGCATAAACCTGTTTGGAGGAGTAATGCTTTAAGAACTAGCACAAAGTTACGGATATTTACCACCAATGTCAAATCTGTACTCCTATACAGATCAGAAACCTGGAGAGAAACAGCTGCATCTGTCAAATCAGTCCAAACTTTTGTCAATAAATGTTTGAGAAACATCCTCAACATCAGATGGCCAAACAAAATATCCAATAATGAGTTATGGAGAAGAACCAAACAACAGCCAACAACTCAGATATTAAGAACAAGAAAGTGGAGGTGGATGGGGCATACCCTCAGAAAAAGAGATACAAACATTACCAAGCAAGCCCTAGAATGGAACCCACAAGGACATCAAAAAGGGGGAGGCCAAAAAACACCTGGCGCAGGGGACTAACAACTGAGTTGAGCAAAATTGGGAAGACCTGGAAAGAAACAAAATGAACAGCCATGGACAGGAAGAAATGGAGAGAAACTGTAGTTGCCCTATGTCCCCTTCGGACGAAGTGGATTAAGTCAAGTAAGTAATTTGCGCCCCCCTCCCCTTACCTAAATTTGGGCTAAAATCCTGGATCTGCCCCTGTATACTGAACATATTTCATAGGTATTTTCTAATTTTTACTTAATGTTTGAAAATAAAAGAAATGAAATGTATTTGTCAAGACTTGCATTTAATCTAATTGACCGTTTTAAATCTCATTATGCAACAAATCATCATTGCTTGTGAGTCAACCTGTTGACATTTTACGGAAGCGATATTTTCCAATCTTTACCTGTTTAAACTCACCTGTGCACGATTTACCTAGGCTATGGGTATAAATTAACTTGTCGTCGGTTTCTGGTCTATAAAAAAGTACTTATTACAAAAAAAAAACGAAACTACGAAAAGTATAAAAGATTCGCTCAAATTGTCGCACTTTACATCTTTCAAAAGATCTTGCCTGGGGGTTTAAATCACTTACACGCTTGAGTGATCAAGATAACTTGAATGTTTTAGTTTGGTGAACTTTTTATTGCGGGAAAATTCAAATTTATTTTTACATCTTTTGAAAGTTCCATGAGGGTTTTAACTTTAGATGTGTCCTTCAAATATTTATATTCTTTAATTTTGTAGATCACTTTTCTCTATTCATTATTCATTTTGTCCATTACTCTATACTTTACGTTTCCCAGGAACTTTCTATACTATAGTTAGTATAGAAAGTCCCTGGTTTCTGCACCCCATTATTCTCTATTCTTTATTTTTTTTTGCCTATTCTTTTCTATTCCTTATTCTTTTTACCTTTTTGACTATTTTTCTGTATTCTATAAACCCCATCCAGACCCTCTTCCATCAGCTATCTCAGACTCTGTGGTCACTTATGGGTCATTTTCAAAATACGTCCATATTCTTGTACGGCTGACCTGTGACAGAGACATATATACACATATTGTGTGTATATATGCATATGTCTCTGCCTGTGAGGAAAATACAGCTTTGTCATCATTTGAATTTTGGTGTCCTGCATTATATATAAGTGCAATGTAGGTTCTAATAACTACTTGCAGAAGAAAAATAAGAAATATTAGTCCGTGGCTTTTCTTAGAAATTGTGCTCAAAGCTCTAAAATGTCCCCAAACTGCATGTCCCAACTCCAAAATACCAAATATCGTATCAAAATAGACATCTTTAATATAATTACACAAATCTTACAATCTTCTGTTTTAATATAATACAATGTAGATTGATATTATAAAGGCTTTAAATAGTAGTTGGCTATGGTTTGAGATTTGTCTTAATGTTTTATAGTGTCCTTGATATTATGTCAACTACATAACCTAAATATTATTTATTTCCTAAATAATCAACCAAATTTTTCCGCCCAATCCGTCTCTGAACTACATCACAATGTAGGTCTTTAAGGTCAGTCAGCGGGCCCCCCCTTATGAAAAGTCCTGGATCCGCCACTGGTAGTTGACAATATTGTTAGTTAGGTGACGAAAAGCAAAAGTCAAAATCGTATGTTGAACACTGTAATGACTGAAGTAATTAGAAAAAAGTAAATTTTTCTTATAATATTATGGAAAAGGTCATCATTTATTAGTATCAAAAATTGAGATATCAACATAAATGCTATCGTAATGTAGTTGACACATTCCATAATTTCTGTTATCTCATTTTGCATTTAAAATGATCTTCCCAGTTTCATTAAGACTGCATATTTTAGATTTTGTTCATATAAATTATTAAGAGTTCATTAGAATATTTAAAATTGAATTGATTTGATAAAAATATTTTTTCAATTTCTATCTAAAATATGGACAGATTTTGAAAATGACCCTACTATCACTTGATTGATATAATGTGGGACTATATAGATAAATGAATAAGTCTAAAATATGATATATACAATATCCTTGATTTGCCACACTGTCTAGGGGTATGAATTTCATATACAAATTTCAATTTCTGGAACATATATAGCACCCGACATACAATACCTTTCCATATAATTCACCTTAATTTCTATACCTTACCATATACCACGAACCTGGAAATAGTGACCTATTCCAGTGGCTCATCCCTACCACTTATTACATAGTGATTTGCCCAAAAGGTTTTTTTTTTACCAATTTGCATGAAACATTGTGAATAATGAGCTTCAAGCACAGAAAACACATGAAATAGGTAAATATTACAAAAATTGCACAAAAACACCCTTTACCACTAACATGTATATTAGGTCAGTAAGGAGGGTGACAAAGAAGATGTGGTATCATTGCCAATGATACAGCTATCAACCAGAGTTCAAACGATGTGGATTTAAACAATTATAGGTAAACTAACAAAGAGAAAAATCATTACCATTTAGTAAACAATAAAAGGCCACAGCATAAAAATGTGAATAGCTGGTTACTTAGCTACGTACAGGGCAGCTTTTCGATAGAAATAGAATATATGTGCCACTTCTATGTTTTGTTGAGCCACAATCCTGTTCCCTTTTCCAGGTTCAAAGACTTAAATATCATCAAATGCAACTTATCACCTGATTTTTTTCTTCTCATATACGAACAACATAATGGTTTCCACAGGTGGAACAGAAGCTGCTCAACCTTTCAGAGCATCTAAGTTCACCTCTAATTTTTTGGGGTATGTGTACATTGTTCAATCTTTATTGTTCTGCACAGTGTTTTGTGGATAGATGTTTAATTATGTTTTGATTGATGACAATTTATGCAAGGATTGGAACTACATCATTGGCTACCTTGAATATCTTTATTTTTGTAGCACTTATGAGCGGAGAGGCTAAAGATACCAAAGGGACATTCAAACTCATAAGTTGAAAATAAAATGACAACACCATGGCAAAAAAAAAAGAAAAAGACCAAAGACAAACAACCTTACATTGATCATTGTGCTATAAGCATTCACTTTTACACAGCTGTTATTTTGTCTTATACTTGTATCTTAAATCTGTTGACTGTAGTTATCAAAGTGCTTATGAGCACTGAAGGGAAAAGATTGCATTCATTTTGCAGTGGGAACTAAAAATAAAAAATTGCATTGTACTTTAAGCGTTGGAAAGCAATACTGTGAATTGGAGATATAATATTGAACAAAGGAAGATAACTCTAATTTTGAATATTACTTTAACAATGACATCATTGATATTTTTAGAGCAGATACCAGATTCATGCATCATGAAAAATGTATGTAACTTTCTTAACATGATTCATGTAATGTTATACACATACACATCATTATGTGACTTGAATATCTTAGTATATATTTCATTGATAATTTTTTTGGAATGTTCATGGATAGGATGTCTAGAACGTTTTGCTCAATGCATTATATTTTGTGTATTGCATAAGTAGTGATAAAGTTTGGAAAATTGATAACTTTCAAAACAGCCAAATAAGGGTTGTGATTTCATGAATGCAATCTTTACCCCAAAAAATCTGTACATCGCCAATCTTATGCTTCATGCACTCAAGAGCTCAGCTACTAGTGAAATAAATTTGGAAGATTTTTTGGACTTGTTGAAGTCCTTAATCAGAAATGTCAAATCAACTGTTACATTTTTATACGGCCGCAAAAAATTTTGCAGTCGTATATTGGTATCACATCGTCGTAGTCGTCAGCGTCATCCGAAGACATTTGGTTTCCGGACAATAACTTTAGTAAATGTAAATAGAAATCTATGAAATGAAACACAAAGTTTATAACCACAAAAGGAAGGTTGGGATTGATTTTGGGGGTTATGGTCCAAACAGTTTAGGAATAAGGGGCCAAAAAGGGGCCCAAATAAGCATTTTTCTAGTTTCCGGACAATAACTTGTGGAACGATGTATGGATCTCTCTGAAATTATACCACAAGTTTCCATACCACAAAGGAATGGTTAGGATTGGCTTTGGGGGGTTATGGCTCAAACCGTTTAGGAATTAGGGGAAAAACAAGGGTTTCCTGGTTAATTGACAATTAAAAAAAAGTACAATGTTATGTTTTGATTACCTCCCTTACACTGCTTTTAAATTATGTATAAAGAAATGTTGTATTGTCTTGAGGTGATTACCTGTGAATTTATTTTTAGAAGTTACTATTTAAAAATGCGGATTAAGGAATATTAAATTTAGCCATGATTATGTATGTCATTTCTATTTTAAGACTTTTATGATGTTTTCAATGGGTAATTATGGTTGCAAACTCTATTGGAAATTTGAATTGAGATTATTACCAAATCTTGAGGGAAAGAATTTTTTTTTTAAAAAGGTGAAAAAAAATTGAGAGGGGGGGGGGGGGGGGGGGGGGGGGGGTAAAAAAGAAATTGTGAGGGGGGGGGACAATTTTTTTCTCATTTCAGATTTCAGAAATTAAAAAGAAAATTTCTTCAAATATTTTTTTAATTTGCAAAAAAAAGGGGGTGGGATAATTTTTTTTATGGGGGGGGGGTCAATTTGCAACAGCATAGTGTATTGCACGAGAGCAAAAAAAAAGAGGGGTAATTTTTTTTTTTTGGGGGGGGGGGAGGGGGTCAAAAGCAAAAAATTGAATATAAATTCAAATCATATAACCAAGTTGACTACAGTTATTATGTGTCAGAAACCTATTATGTGTCAAATATTTAGTTACAATCCAAATTCAGACCTGTATCAAGCTTGAATATTGTGTCCATTTCTGCCACAACTGTTCAGGGTTGGACCTCTGCGGTCGTTTCCAGCTGCACTTGGCGAAGCAATTTATTGGTAAACTGTAACTGTGTTTGTGTTTTTGGGGAAGAATTAAATCAAGGGGATATCCATTTGATTGACTGGCAGGAGGAATTTGTAAATGTATATGCTGGTCTGGTAAAAACTGAAAAATAATCTTGACCAATACAGGATGAAAATGAATGTTCTGCCCACACACAAATATTGACAAAATGCAGCATAAAATGGTGTAAAAAATCTGAAATGATAAGTATGTAAACCAACAAGTGAAAGCAACAGATAATAAAGAGCTGCGCCATGAACGCATGATACACCCGTCGCTTTTTCAAAGTTCCATAACTACTCAATGTCATATCAGAAATTTATCAAAAACTTAAGTGAGGTTATTTCAATGTGAGCTGCATTTTAGCAATAATACAAGTTCACAAACTTAGAATTTGGTGAAACCTGATTTAAAACATGGCAATATGGCCTAGTCCTCAGAGTCAGACAAATTCAATATTTCATCAATGGGGTTCCAGTGCTAAAGGGATATAATCTACATGGGGTTTTCTTAAATTGGATATTAAAGCTCAGTATTGGATCAATAAGGAAATAACTTGATTTGAAATATTTTAAAGTTAATATAAAACTGGGGAAAGCTTGCTATTTTGCATTTTTATGGGACTTTTACTACGTTGTATTTTGAAATGCCCATTAAAGTGATGTTTGGAGTGGCTTGATATCAAACAACTCAAGGTGATTGAATAACTTAC